AGTCTCGTCAAAGTTGTAGATATCCTNGTCTAGCACGCCGTACGTCTGGCGCGTCTCCTCTACTAGCTTAAACTAGGCTATAATTGCGATAGGATCCTTAGAGAGAGCGCGCTAGCTATTAAATTTTCTATTCCACTTCGTCTGGAGCTCTAGCTAGTTCTGGATAAAGCGCGACACCTAGCATTTGCCAACAGGCTGTGGAGGTGGATCTTGGCCACGTNCAGCGAGTAGAGCGTCTGCCATCCGTCGCACGTCGATAATATAGGGCAGAAAGCCTCGTCGATCTAGCTCTAGAATCCATTAAATAAGAGACTGCTCTTCGACAGCTGATAGCTTACGATTGACAGACGCTGTCTCTGATCGTGGCTGGGTACCGCGGAGGCGCATGTATAGTGTTGACTTTGGCACATTGTACGCCTTTGTAAGAGCGTGGATAGATTGTTTTGGATTATTACGATAAGACGCGATAGCAAGACTTATTCTGCCTTCACGAGCAGTCTGTATAGAGCGTTGTTGTCGCGGCATAGTGGTTGTGGTGCAGAGCGTTGGGTCGGGTTGGGTGGGGCGTTCAGCTTACTGATGTTTCCAGCTTACTGATAGAACACGTTAACCCTTTCGCGGCAGGTTCGCTAAGAAAGGCGGGTTTTTTGTCTCTGTGTGTGTACGGGCAGAGGGTGGCAAGGCGACTCTCTGCTGCGGTTGCTCGCGGGGGGACTTGGGGTTAGACCGGCTTGGTTGTAGAAGTCGTCATTTGCATTTGAAGTTTTCGTTTCGTTTCATTGTTGCCACTTGCTTATCGGCAGTAGAAATCACGGGGCAGAATGTACAAAAAGGGTGTGGCGAGACGAGGTGGTTGGAGAGAAAAAAATAGAGCCGTAACATGTTGGGCGCCTGGATGTAGAACGGCCAGTTCAACAGTTATCGAGGCCAAAACAAAAAAGGGCTGAGCATACACGTAAAGAGCAAAATACCCACACTTCAGAAACAGACCCGCATGGCTAGGGATCCTCGAAAAACGGTTAGTAAGTGTGGCATGTGCCGCTGTTGAGCCGTAGTTTTGTCTTGGTCTCTTCTCAGTATAGATTGAGTGGGTACCTTGTGGTGGAGATCTCCCATGGCAAAGGGAGGCGGCGCGCGTAGGAGCAGACGGGGCTTCAACCGACAATGGTTGCATTGCTTTGTTGGGTCTGCAGATTAGCACCGATGTCCCCATACGCTGCCGCCTTGGGTGAAAGGTAAGAAAAAATTATTGTAAGGATGGTGATGCGTGGGCCTTCGAGAACGGGGGCTCCGAGGGCTCAATTCAACCGTTGTAAGACTGTTACGCTGAATGGGGGTCCGTGAACTGGGATCGGCTATAGTATACTATGACCAATAGCGTATTGAGGAGAAAAACAAAAGAACAGGACTTTTCCTGCACGTTAGCTAAGCCGCGGAGACGGTTCACGTACCAGTAGTAGTGTTTTTTGTTTTCTTCTTCTTCTTCTCCTTCTCTCTTCTTCTCTCTTCCTTTCCCTTTCACAAACTCAATCTCTTTACTCATAACAACTAGTCACGGCTGTTGTGAAACCCTAGGACCTGGTCTTCACTACCGAGCCGGGGGGAGGGGGGGGGCGTGTATCAAAAAGAGGTAATTACCGATGTGCCTGGATTCTAAGCAAAAGCCCCGATGGAGATGACGAGCCAAGGAAACGTGCTAAGTGATGATTTTCTCACTCAATTTTTGGTTCCGTGAACCCTATCTCGGACCCGGGTGATTGCAAGCCCGGCAGCTAATCCAAAACAAGAAATGTGACAAGTACCGCAGCCTTCCGGACTTAAGACAAGTTACATGAACCGGCTCTCGCGGAAGATAGGGAGCAGTTTCAACCTATCGGAGAATAGCAACCATAGGGTAAGCGGCAGTGCTCTATTGTCTATGCTTTTGCTGGAGGGTTAACAAGTGCCGCCAACGGGCTGAAGATCACCTGCTATCCACAGTGGTTTGCGTGGCGCAATGTGGTGATGATGCTGACTCGTTGCAATGTGGCAAGCACGACGGGAAGAAACGGGAATGACTTGTCAAACATGCTTCAACAGCTTCAAAGGGTTGCGGAGCTCCAGTTACGTAGCAGTAGTGGGCCGTCATTGGAGGCGGCGAGGTACGCACCTAGTATGCACGTGAGACGCAGACTACTGCACCTTAGCTTAGCTTCAGTGGCGCGTCAATATCCACCAGATCTAGCTATCCTGGTGCTTTTGCAGCGTGTTGGGTTGCTCGGCGTCAGCATATTTTGCGTTATATTTGGGTTCTTAACACTGAGGTCCAGATGGCTGTTGTGGAGGCGGACTGGCGGCTCCAGTTTCCATTTTGTTGGCATTGCGGGCCACTATCCTCTGCTTGTATATAGCCGGATGAAATGGTCCCACTACGAGGCGGATGCACTCTATACAGCGGGTGCAGAGATAGAGAGAGAGCAAGAGCGATGTGTCGATAGTGTGTACATAGTGTACAGCGACAAACTTGGTATTGGTGCTAACGTATATGTGTAGGTTGTTGAATAGGTTGTGCCCGTTGTCGTAGCAAGCCGGATTTCGCTCCTGTTGCTCCGAACAGCAACCTGCGCGTTGCTGCACCTGCACGTAACGCCTCACACTTCCCTGCGTTCAACAGCATGATAGGTGGAGCTTGATGGCGCAAGTCGTGGCGGTTCGCATACCTGTAGATGCAGCGCGAGCGGCAAAGTGTCTGGGGAAGTGCATCGGGATTGCTCCATAGAGCTACCCGGACAGCGGCTCGACAGCAGGATGAAGGAAGCAGGCGTTCGTCATCGAGTCGCTGCACGTACTGGCATGCCGGTCGGCATCATGTCTGCGAGCGGGTGCTGTAGAGGTCCCGAGTGTTTCACAAGAGAGGCACGTCATATGTAATGCGTGTGGTGGAACACGGTATGGTCGCAATGCAACAGCAGCGAAAATGACAAAAGTAGTGGGGAGGCGCTATTGGATTGGTGGATGCAAACGTGGCAGGGCGATGCAATACACCTAGACATCGAGGCCAGTATGGGAAGGATGTGTCACGTGATGAAGGAGCTGTTGCCGGACCAATGGTAGCGCGGCCATTAGTGTGGGCTGCAATGGTATCACTTTGCTTAGGCGAACCAAGTTGCATTGTCGCTGCCAGGGTGTTGTGTGGGCCAGTGGACTTTGCGTCCTGCAAGCTCGCTCAGGATATGGCTAGAGAAGTGAATGACGGATCGAGGCTGGGGGGGGGGGGNGGGGGGGGGGGGCGTTGCAAGGAGGCGCAGGGGCGTGTGCTAAGTAAGTAGAGGCCAGTAGGTATGTAAGGACTTAGTAAACATAAAGGATGTGAGTGTGGATCGAGGGGCATGTGGAGTCCGAGACGGAAGATCACGTGGTCTTGGACGGCTAGCGACGATCAGCATCCGACGCTGGACAAGTGCAAGGCTGGCATTGCTTGCGCATGCAGCAGTTCACGCTCCGCCAGGCCTGTTTCTTCTGCTTCTACAATGCTTCGATTGACGTAGATGGCTTCGCCACGGTAGTCGGGCTACTCCACCAGGGCGCTGTCGGGTGCAGATCTGCCACGAGCGAGGCCGAGTCGATTGCCACTGGGTGCGATGCAACGTCAGAGGGCGAGGCTGGGTAGGGCTCTGCAGCATCGACAAGAGTGAATTGCAACGGCGACATGGCTACCCGGGGCTGTAGCTTCGGGATTAGGCCAAAGGGAGCCTAGGGGGGCAGGCGAGGGCAGCCGCAAGATGCCGTCATGGGTAACGGGGTGTGGGAGGTCGGGCGCAGCGTACAGGAAGGGAGAGCAGACATGTACCATGTGCACATGTACGGTATGGAGGTAGGTGGGTGTGAAGCGTCAGTACATTGGCCTACTGGGAGAGGGCGCGGTCGCAATGGGGGCTAGCGGGCACGGCGGGCACGGCGGGCAAGGACAGGCGCAGGACGTCAGGGTCCGGGCCAGCCCAAGGTCAGGTGCAGAGGCATGCCCGCGTAATGGGGGTAGCAGGTAGGGAGGGCGTGGTGGAAGGAGGACGGCGCCAGGCAGTGGGCGCGCGTGCAGCCCGTGGTCATGCGGCGCCATGAGTGGCCGGAGGTTCAGGCGGCCCATGGGACCCATGCCATGCGCTAGTCGCGGCGCTAGCGGTCACTTTACCCCAGATGTTGCCGTAACGGGCTAGCGCAAATCGCTGCCGTCGTCCGAGCGCTGCAGGCTTGACCTCGAATTCCTGGGGAAGAGTGCGGGAGGAGTCGTAGTCGCAGTCGCAGTCGCAGTCGCAGCCACGTCTCACCGATGTCAGCCTACGCGGCTGTCCGTCTTGCACCCCCCCCAAGTCTCGAGCGCTGGCGTCACCCAGCGTAGCGTGCTGTCAGGTCGCTGCCCGTCGCCATGGCTAGGCGCTGGACGGCAGTAGAGACGTGGGTCGCGTATATGCAAGACCCGTCGCCCGCCTGGCTCGCTGACAGGCTCTTGAAACTCGCATCTCAGCAATGGGTATTCTGCCAACAGGCAACTCCCAGCACAAGAGTGGTCTGGCTGGCTTCGGCAGAGACCGATGCTGCTACACATGTACAGGAGGACATGGGATGGGCAATATGCCGCCGGCCTCTTGTAGGACGCGGCCAATTTATTGTCGTCGCAGGCGAGATGAACCCGAGCGAGCGAGGGCACTCCACCACAATACATACAGTACATACATACATGTATGTTTCCAGCGAGATGCGTACATACATACATACATAGTTACAGTATATATATCGAATACATACATCCGAACCGAGCCCGCAGCAATGGACGACCCGCGGCGCAGGCCATGCATACTTGCTGTCGGTGCCAAGCGGCAGGAAAGGTCCAAAAGGCGACTTGTCGGGGCCGTGCTGCTGATCGCATCCGCACATCACTGCCCATCGAGGCGGGCAGGAGACAGCAGGAGGCTGTACGAGTGGGCGGCGGAGGCACTCCGGACCAGGCCCCTGCGGCAGAAACGCCGTTTGCTGGGGGATCCACTGCATATGTCCTGTCCTGTATGTAGGAGCCCTGATGCTTGCAGGGCCCGTCCAACGACCTCCTGGCGCCGCTGGCCAGTTGCATGGCACGCTGCCCGCTTAGCCTGCGCGCGCCGTACCCTCTGCGCTGATGCTTACCACGGCCTACTGTACTATAATGCCGCCTGCCTCGTTGCTGCCGACGCCCATAGCTTCCAGCCCTCCCAAGTCCAAGTGACATTGCACCGCCCGCTGTCTCTTCTTGCTCTCGTCGCCCTCGTTGCCCTCGCCATCGTCCTCGCCTTCGTTTCTTCCCTCGTCAATTTACCCTCCCCCCTCCCCCCCTTGCCCCCCGTCCCACGAACGCTGGCCTGTGCTCAATTCCCCAGACTCGGCGCCTCTACCTGTCACCCGCGCCCGGCCAATCGCCCCCAGCTCGCCCAATTGCTCTCCTCGGGTCCCAAGCTTGTGTCCGCGTTGTAATCTAGCCTTTTGGGCCCTACCAGCACAAACCCGCCTGCGCGCCCTCCAGCCCTCTGTCCTCTGCGAGCCCTCTCACTCTCTCACGCACCCTTACATCAACGCTGGACCCTCGTGCACTGCCCGCTACCACTCGCCTACTCTCCCTTGCCAGCGCCGCCCTTCTTTGCTCCCCCCCGTCAACTCACGCCACCACCACTACCACCACCACCACGTCCAGCGACGTTGTTCCTCTACAGCCGACCTATGTACGGACCGGCCAAGCTTCAGCCAACCCATCGCCTCCTTACATCTTCTTTTCGGCCAACTTAGCCTTGCTCTGCTTGCGCCCCGTTACCCCAACCACTCTTCCCCCACCATCCTCGACCGTCTTCTTTCTCTCTCTCCCCCTCTCTCCTGTTCTCGCAATTGACCTTGGCTATCCACGAATATTGCTATTCCCAAGGCCCAATTCTATCCTGGCATATCTCAACTTTGCAACTGGCTTCCTGCCATCACTCGTCTTCCTCTCCTTTGTGTCTCAGAGCTCTAAGCAGCTCGACCACATTCCGTATCTTGCCGGAAGCTTGACGAGGTATCTTGCATCTGCTCCGTTGCCTTTGTGTACCGTCTGCTGATCTTCTTGTGTTCTTGCAGCCGCCGTGTTTGCAAGCTGTTACTCTAGTCAGTCGGCGACCGTGCCGCCCACACAAGCTCCACGAGCTCCACTCAGCTTCGGTCATCGTTGCATTAACACTCAAACCTGGCTTTGAGGCACGTTGAGTCGGGACTGGCCTGCTCAGCGTACTAACTGCCTACCATCAAGCTTGCCGGAACAACTGTGCTGTGGTGAGCTATTGTGTTGCTCGGTTGTACCAGCTCCGTACACGGAACGACCATGACCAACGTCGAGAGCACGAGCCTGCCGGGCTCCACGAACACGCCGAGCGATGACTCCAACAGCTCTGGCAACAACAGCAGTAATTGTTAGTACAAGAAGTGTACAAATTCTACACCGCCGAGAGCTAACCGCAACTGCTAATTACAGCTTCCACATCTACCGTGAAACCCGAAGCCTCCCCGCCCACCACCGTCCACTCGTTTCCTCCACCCAAGAACGACAAGCCCCGGCCTCACATCTGCACAACATGCACGCGTTCCTTTGCGCGACTAGAACATTTGAAGAGACACGAGCGATCACATACAAAAGAAAAGCCATTCGAGTGCCCGCAATGCACAAGATGCTTTGCACGGCGCGACCTGCTCCTGCGCCATCAACAAAAGCTCCATCAGCAGGGCGCGACTTCTGCCCGCCCCCGCACTGGACGTAGGGAAAGCACGACGGGCCTCCCAACCAACGCTACTGCCCGAGTACGCAAAAACTCGGTATCGAGCAACGCTGGTGGCGCCGTCGCAAAGACTATGAGGCCGCGCGCCAATACCATCAGTCACATCGATCCCAACTCGTTCAGCAGCTTCCTCGCATCTTCGGTATCGGTAAACAGGGGAGGTGTTCCTGGCCACTCACATCACTCAAGCCTTTCTGGTATCAGTCAGTTTGACTACCGGGGCATGTCCACGTCCATGGGCAACCACGGACAAGCTCAGCCTCTGCCGAGACTAGACACCCATGTTGGATTTGGCATGGGTGGAGGCCTTCGCACAGCACCGATCCCGGGCATGACTGGACCTGATGACCGTGAACTTGAAAAGTTCTTTGGGACATCGACTTCCTCTACCATTAACCCCAATCAGTTACATCATTTCAATGCCAGTGTCGGAATCCCCGCATCACCCTTTAAAAGATTTGCAAACCCGTTTGCTGGGAACAACCCGATCGAGGAGGACGATTTTGGCTGGGGCATGGGTATGGACAATTCCATGATGTTTTCGGGGGCAAACGAGTCGGCATTGGATGGCTCATCACCATCAGCGATAAGTACTGCGAGCCAAGGTGCCTTCCATGACATGATGCTAGATGGCTCCAGCCAGCCAAACTCGGCAGCCATGTGGCACAACCCCCTGGTGACCCATACTAGCATTGACACCACAGCCTTCTCTCTCGACGCCATGGCTCCAGTCTTTCCTGAGCTCATGATGAACACTGGCACCTCGCAGGAACTTGGCGATCAGGGTGTTCAGAATGATTTCTACACCTCTACACCGCCTCCTTTAGCGGCCATGAGCCCTTCAGCTGGAATACCCGGTATGCCGAACCAGTATTTTCAGACGCCCATGACATTCGCTTCTGATGCCAACAGCATATCATCATCCTCTATCAATGGCAGCGCAGGGCACAGCTCCGTTTCCTCATTTTCCACTGAAACAATCACAGAGTCTACACGGCAAGCTTTGATGCATAACTTGAGTCAAGCTATGGGCTATGGCCAAATACCTCAACGGAGGTTCTCGCAGCCAGCCATCAGCTCTCCTCTGTCCTCGAACGGGACCAACAAGCATTCAAATCTGGCTGGCCTACTGCCCAGTACTTTCGACATTCAACGCTACGTAAACGCATACATACAATACTTTCATCCCCACATGCCTTTTCTTCATATTCCAACACTATCTTTCGATACCCCAGCATACACATATCAGCTTCGCACTTCTGGCACATTCAATCAAGACACCATGGTTGGGGGAGGTGGTTGTTTGATCCTTGCAATGGCCGCAATTGGCGCCCTCTACGAATTTGAGCAAAACACAGCCAAAGACTTGTTCGAGGCAGCGAAGAAGCTGATTCTCTTCTATCTTGACGAGCGCCGCAAAGCCGGTTTATCCGCTGTCAATGGTCCTAGTGCTGCCAATGATAACATCAACAAACCACCCTTGTGGCTGGTCCAGGCTATGCTACTCAATCTCATCTTTGGACTCAACTGTGGCGACCGACAGGCTGCAGAGGTCGCAAGCACACATTGTGCCGCCCTCGTGAGCTTGGCAAAAGCTGCAGGCTTGGACAAGCCCACTCCTCCAGAGCAAACTATGCCCAGCCCCCCAAGTAATACCAATGGGGATTTCAACATGTCGGATGACTCGAATCCGTCTCTTGATCAGCAAAAGGATACTGTCGATGAGCACACACAATGGATACAATGGAAGAAGGCTGAAGAGCGCAAGCGAACCTACTTCGCCATCTTCTCAATGTCGAGCTTGCTTGTTTCGGCATACGCACACTCACCTCGAATTCTGAACTCGGAGATTCATCTAGATCTCCCTTGTGAAGAGGATCTCTGGTCCGTCGACAACCCTCAAGCATGGGTAGCAATGGGGGGGCCGATGCTTGCGCAAACTCGGGGCTTGTCCTTCATTACCGCAATGACATACCTTCTTGAAGCTAGTACACGACAATCAACTTCAAGAATGCGCAATGCCTACCCAAATGCCTTTTCAGGAGGCCAAACTGTCAACACCCTTTCTGAGAGCGATATTCGGCCTAGCACTTTCGGTTGCTACGTGCTGATAAACGCGATGCACGTCTATATTTGGGAGACGAGGAATAGACACAACGGTCGCTTGTGGAAGGCTCATGAAACAGAAGCTATGCATGCGCAAGTTGAACCTGCTCTCAAGGCTTGGCAAGTTGCTTGGAGAGCCAATCCAAACCACAGCATCGAGCGACCGAGCCCCTTTGGGCCTTTGTCTGCTGATTGCATACCGCTGCTGGACCTTGCCTATGTGAGGCTTTTTGTAAATCTTGGTCGAGCAAAGGAGCTTCTGTGGCAACGTGATTTTGATGGCATGGCAAATGAGTTGGCTAGAGGTGTTGATGTTGTAGGTCAAACGGAAGATTCACCTGAACGGGCATCTTCTATGGACCTAAGTCAGTCGGCTTCTCCGGGCCAAATGAACTCGCAAGACCAAATTAGCCCCGGAAACAGTGGCAATGGCCTTCCCAACAGTGCTTCTTCAAAACGCGAGAGGCATCTCCGCAAGGCTGCCTTCTATGCCGCCGACTCTCTCTCCATGGCGCATAAGCTGAACTCCTCATTCGCCGATTTCACAGCTAGGGAATTGCCCAATTCTTCTGCATTGTGCACATTCGACTGTGCACAGGTCCTAGCCGAATGGGTTGCTACCCTTCAAGACCGTGTCGGACGCTATCTTGGAGTGTTGGGCAGAGATGAAGTCAATTTCTCAGAAGTACCAGCCATCTTGCTACTCGAAGAGGAAGATGTGAAGCTGTTACAGAAAATTGCAGACATTCTTCATCACGCAGATATGAAGCTGGCCTACGATATCTCCTCAAACAATATGCCGATGCTAGGCGGTCTTTCAAACTTGGGACACTGCGGCTATGGTACCAAGTTACTGATGGTGACGGCCTATATGCTGTCCAAGTCAGTTGTCTGGCCTGGTGAGTAAATATCAAGCCCCGTATATATCAGCACTAATGCGTTCGCAGTCACTCATATCCAAGCACGTGCTCTTGAAGCACACGCTCACCATATCAGCCAACGTGCGGAAAACTCTACCATTCAGTAAATACCAGTTGTCACCGAACCTGTACACTACTACAAGACACGGGATTCCCCCGGTGACTGTTCTTGTTACCCGTCTTCGCATTTCTGCCGCACAGTGTGTAGCGACTCCAAGAGGATCATTTTGCGACCCCAGCACTTATCTTCAGAGTCTTCTTCTACGACATTTTTAATCCTTTGCGCTCGGCAGCGGCGCTTCCGAAGCTTCGCCAACAAAACAAAATACCAAACTCAAAGACATGGCTTTGATATGGATTTTCTCAGATGTACAGACGAACTAGGTCAAGGCAACCTATTTTCGATGTCATATCCAACCATCACAAGCACTGTTCACTTTTTTTTTATCAGCAGGCGTTTGGAAGGAATGCAAGAGCGTTCCGTTTTCACAACTCACAGGTTACGTATTAGGGTTCTTTTTGTATAAAGGTTTCCATACATGAGGCAATCTCGGCTAGGTCCGCAGACCTCTCTCTTATGAGACTGGCAATTTACTGCGCATATTCGAAAGAAGGGACGATGTTACGACATATTCCTTGACTCACCTATATTTATGTAAGGAAACCGGGCTATCGGAGTGGGTTGGCGCAAATGGGGAACTCACGGCCCAAAAAAAGTGTTATGGATGTACGCAGTCTAGTGACTTGATGCACGAATTGAATGAAACTTTTTTCCTCTCATAGCGTTGCTGTTTCTTGAGAATATGAACTGTTTGGGCAAATTATCCTTTGTTAATGACATTAACATCCGCTTGCTAAATCACAGTCGTCAATTTTCACAAACATCATTACATAATACAGCCTTTCGTTTGGTTACCACAGCCTGAATCTTATTTGTTAGCTACGCTGATCAAAGGAACTGGACTTGTGGTAGACGTCGCCATATCCGTATTCAGACAGTAGACAGAACCAAGATGCCTTTGCCAAAAATTAACACAAATTCGTCACATGTTTTGCTATCCTGGGTGGTCTGTTACATATTCTTAGGTATTATCCGTGCCTAGTGCTCCTCTCTGCCCAGAGAACCATAGAATGTTTGAGTCCTACCGTTTGAGCAAACTTACCTCAGATGATGGTGCGCGACGCACTGATTGGCTGAGCACCGAAGCTTGGATCGCGTGCACCTTCCGCGTACAATCGTTGTTGATCTAAAAACCACGACACAACTCGAGCAGCGACACACAAACAAAAGTCAACGTTGATTGCCAACTCCGGTAGAAAGATATATAATACATTATCCAGGCAGTATCTTGCATAAAAAACAACAACAACATGTCAAGGCCAGCGGCGCGGAAAGCGGCGCCCAAGGGCGAGTACATCGAGACGGTGCGTCTGAACCTAGCCCCATGGACATGTCTACACCACCACAGCACCTTCCACAATATCACCCATTTTCTTCTCCCAAAGAACAATCAAACCCATTTCCCTTCCTATCAGCTATCCCAACCACCCCATCCTCTCACCTCCCCAGCCCCACCATGCCGCCCCTTCTAATCCCCCCACCCCCAGGACTCAGGCAACAAAGTCTCCCGCCGCAGCGCCATAACGGGCACAGCCAACATCACACTTGGCGGCCGCACCGTCATCATGGCCGATGTGCAACTCCGCGGCGACCTGCACCCGACACGCAGTGCGCCCTCGCAGTCGGGTAAGGACGTGACACCGACGAGCATCAGCATCGGGCGGTGTACGGTGATTAGCCAAGGCAGCGTGATTAAGCCCCCCAGTAGAATTAGTAGGGGCCAGGTACATTACTATCCGATGAAGATTGGGGATAATGTTTTTGTTGGTACGTTTTCCCCTTCTCCCTTCCCTCCCCCATTATCTCAGTCTTTTTACTATTTTGGTCGAGGTGGGCTGGGTGTGGAGCAAAAAGCAGAATCGTCGTGGATTTTCATCTCTAAGATGGAGGAGTACAAGAAAAAAAAAAGGGGGGGGGCAGGTATTTGAATCTGACAACGTAGTAGGACCTAATTCGACTATCCAAGCCATATCCATCTCCTCTCACGTGCACATTGGGAATAACTGCACCATTGGTCCGTTTGTCATTATCAAGGAGAATGTAAAGATACTGCCTCATACGGTTGTACCTGCAAATATGGTCATCGCTTCTGGCTCTGTCATCGGCGGCCGGCCCGCGCGCGTAGTCGGCGATGTAGGCGAAGGGTGGGGTGTTAGTGGTGGCGGAGGCGGCGGACTGGGTGTTGGAGGCGGAGGCGAGGAGAAGTGGGTTGAAGGTGGGGATTTGAGGGAGTTGGTGAGGAGTATACGGTAAACATTTCAAAGTTCCCGTCCAGTCTAGTCTATTCGAATTTGAATGGTGAGAGAGAGAGAGAGAGAAAGAGAGAGAAAGAGAGAGAGAGAGAGTATGTGTGTGTGTATGTGTGAAAGGAGACAATATACAAGTGTTTCTGGCAAAAAACCCCCACCCTCGGTTTTATATTGTATTAAGATGAATCTGTCTATCTGTTTTAAAAATAAAGGCCGTTGGTATGTACACGTTGTGTTATCTATTGCTTTCGCTTGAAAATGTGACCAAAAAAAGATCCCTCCGTCTACAAGACAAATTCTACTTGTCTTGCTACAGCCAGCCAGTGTGCTGAGGACGCGGAGGGAGGGGAAGGAAGGAAGGAAGGGGGGGAACTGCGGGACTGAACCGCAGGTTCGTCCAAGTGTACTACTGTATGGGCGGCGATGAGAAAAAGCTGATCGCTCCATATATATATCTCTCTCCCTCTTTCTCTCTCTCTTGCTCACCCTCTCTTCTTACTCTCTCTCTCCATCCTTCAGTCATCCCTTTCTCTGCTCGCGACTCGTCTTAGCCAAGGCTGCATGTGCCAAGGCTGCATTGGTTCTCCTGCCATGCTCACTTGGCACTTGTAAGCATGCGAGCACGTCATTTCTTTTCCTTTGCCGCGAAGCAGTGTATTCTAATCTGACCGTGTTTTTTTCTAAAAAATAATAATAATAAAACAAATATCCTAATGACTACGCCGAAAGAAGGAAAGACAAGCTTTCACACCAATTCTGGTCCCCTTTGGGCTTTAACTTCCATGGTGGTGAGCTCGAATTCCCTTTTCTGAAAGATGCCTTGAGTGTCCCACGAGTCGGGGGCAGGGTCGCTGTTTGTGTCGTTCAAGGTAGTGCGTGCGTCGGAGTAGATGTGTGCTTTGTGGGATGATTTTGTGCCAATGGTTGGGCCCGGGCCGAATCCGAAGCCGAAGATAGATGGGCCTCTGCGGTGATAACGTTAGCAACGGTTCGAGGATATAGATGAAGATAAAGTTAAAGTGGAGTGGAATAGTTCCGAGGGCTCCCGTTAGGAACATGGGTCATCACGCCACCTTTGTTGCAACGTACCTGCTGCGCCTGGTCAACTCATCTCCAGATGATGCGAGTTTCTTTGAAGTGAGAGAGGTTTTGATGTCGCGAATGAGAGGGCGTAGGACGGGAATACATTGAACGATGATGGTGCCGACAATCTCCGATGAGTACCAGATGTTAGAGTGGGCGTTGCGCCAAAAGTACCATTCGTCTTTCTGGTTACCCTCGTCCTTCCAGCCCGTGCGGACAGCTGATATGACAGCGACAACCATACCCTGATTGTTGTTAGCGATGTTGATATAAAGATGAACCAGGGTCCAAAAAGCGCGTATATCATACCAAACTCATGGCAACACAAAGACCAATCTTCTCAACCCTTCGCATGTCGAGGTTCCAGGTAATGACCCATGGGAAGACAGCCAGGACGAAATCCATGATAATATTGTAGACGTTGCCACCTTCTTTGAAATCATCCCTGAATTTTGGCTCGAGGCAGATGTCGAGACGATACCATACGTCGTAGGATGGCTTTCCGCAGACCTTTGCCCATTGCAAGATAACTTTTGCGATCATGTACGAGTTCATAGAAACGATACAGAACCAGAGGATCCATCTTCCCCAGTTCTTGGTTAGCTTCAGCAGAGTGACTGCAAACGCCGTCTTGGTAAGCGATTGGTTGATAAGAGTACCGCATGAAGTGATGTTGATGAGTATGTGCATGCGATCATCCCAGGTGGCTTGGACATAACCAGTTGCGTATTCAAGAGTAATGATGGAGTTGTTGGCAGCTAGTATCACCTACAACACAATCAGCATTTGGGCAGTCACTCCTTAACGCGCACATGGCTACTCACCCATGAAACGAGGAGAATGTGGTCATCCCACCACAAACCATGTCGACGAGTAACTTTGATCCATATCCTCATAGCCAAGAAAGCAGTTGCGCCGGCAAAGAGTGTCCAAAGTCCGGCATTGAGTTGGACTGCTGGATCCACATAGCCGTGTTGCGCACCATCGTGTTTTCTAGGGGAGATCATCTTGTCATGTCGGTTGGGACAGCAACCGACGTACTACACGGGGCGCCTGGAGTCGAAAAGAGTGTAAAAGTAAGTGCAGACCAAGAAAGTTTAAAAGAAAATATGAACGAGCGGATGAGAGAACGAAATCTTCCGGTGCGCTGCAGGTGGAATAGACAGGACCGGGGTGGTTGGTGGACAAAGGAAGGGACAGAATCGTCGCGTAGGATTGGAGCTGGGCCAGGCTCGAGATGATTCAAACCCCCCCCGCTCGGTCTGGCGCGAGGACCTGTGATGCTCTAGTTATCTTCAGGCTGTCTCCCTCGCATGGCTCACCAATATGCCGGGGATTCCAGACCCAGAAAACGTGAAATGAGGTCCCGACCCACAGGACGATTGGTGGAACCACCAGTCCAGTAATGGTCAAGTCACCGGGGCCGTTGCACAATAACGGTCTTGTTTCCGTTAGATCCTGGGGAATTTCATATGGCTTGCTAGCCATAATCAAGTCTTGCTCGTTCCTGCCGGCTTCTAGAGGGGGGAACTGACGCGGAAAGCCCACAGTCAAGTCCAACCGAGGAGTGAACAGGCTGATCCATGTCGTGTTTGTTTAAGCGGTGGGTCGATTCATGAATCGCCGAACACGATGGAATCTGAGACAGATGCCACGCGCCTCTCGTATGTAGGCCTGTGGCAGTTTCGGAACGCTCGATGCAATTCGTCGCTCGATTTACCACAAGTGTGTAGTCCTCGATCCAAACAGAACTCCTGCAGGGCGTCGTATAGGTATGGTAAGCTTATAGTTACTGGCGGAGAATTTCCTTCTTCTCGTATCCCTGCAAGGCGGCTGCACGGGTACAGTCGAGTTAGATTGACGCAACTTGTCAGCAGCCAAGTTGGTGCCGCGGGAGGGGGGGGGGAAGTACCCAAAGGAAAAACCCGCAGTTATGCCGTTTGAGAAATACAGGCGTACCCAGCGGGCAGACCCTGCTGTCGGGAGTCTCTGACGGCGATGACTACGGATTCGACAAACCACGAACGACGGAAGAGGGAGGCTTTGTTTCAAGCCATCACGTGCCAAGCAAACATGACATGGCTCAAAATCCTACAAGAGGGAAAGCCGGGCCCGGTCCGAGCTTGTACGTCATCCTCTCGGGTATCGTTCTTAGAACCCGGGTTTCAGCGCGGCACTTGGCGCTACCAGCAACACACTCAGATGTGGCGACAAACATGGGGTAAATAGATTGGTATACAGTCTTGGGGTATTGAATGGCGTGTCGCTATGCTGATTGAGAGGGTTTTCTCGAAAGAATAAACGCGGGCACCACTCAACCGGGGCGCCGCTACACCTTCCTCGACGCTAGTCGGCCAGACTTGGATTGTAATATATTGTATTCTCTCCATGACAAAGGCGCCTCAGCACGCTGCTGATACCTCGGTCTCTTGATATATAGCCGTCTCAGCAGTGTGGTAGCGTAGAAACACCACCATAGCCATTCTCGTATGTAACAACTATATTCGTCGTCGTCAGAATGGACTGATCTGACCATTAGCTAAACAGCTCGTATGAGAGTAGCCTCACACATGGTGCGACCCGCAAGCGATTTTGTGAGGCAAAACAAGTGCCTAGCGCTTACGCAAGTCCAGATGGAGATCAAAGCATTACACGGTTCTCTCACGCGGAAACTCCATGTTCATCTACCCGAACTCTAAAATGTCCAAACACGCCTTTTCTATAACTGAACGACTGGTCTATAGGCTTGGGTGGCGGGGATGGCATGCTCAAAGCTCGAAAGAGTCGCACTACTTACATACGTACTCCTCAGTGCACGGCGACAAAGCCGGCCAAAACACAGGGTTGTAACAACAGCTGAGAACGCTGCTTCCAAATCGCTATAAATAATAGTGCAACAAAACGTATACGACATCGTTTCATGTAGAAAATGCTGGCATTGGTAATCATGTGGTACTCCTCAACACTGTCAAGGGTAAATTGTTGGTATTAAAGTATTGAATCTCGCTGTACTGTTATGGCGGCGCAAGTTTTGGTCAACATTTTTTCCTATCGCGTTGTCAGACTGCTACAGTTTCCAGCAAGTGAAGGGTGTTTGTACCTGGTAGCGATATCCCTGCTTGGAAATCTGCGTCTTACTGGGATGATGCAAGTTCATTGGACAAGCACACAAGAAAGGGTATGTACAGTCGACGCTACGTCCCTGTGTATTGCCAATGAACAAACTTTGCATAGCATGGCCTGTCTGTATTTACCTTATGTTTTTCCGAGTATTATGCCTATATATTCCAAGTCAAATATAGCTATGATTGGCGCAATGACCTGGTTAGTGCCCTGCTAGCCCAAGTACTTTAACTCAAAATAGAACTGTTGGTCTCGCTCATAATACCATGTTGGTACTGCGAACAAGAAAGTTTCTCACAAGAGCAACGGGTCGCAAATTGTTGCCGTGGGGTCCAGAAGCACAGGACGGCAAAAAGCCACGTGGGAGAGGCAGATGACGATCCTAATTAATAAAGGGCGATAGATTGCACTCAATCGGATCTCCAAGTTCCCTTCGGGCTGCGGGCGCTCTAAGCTCAGCTGAAAGTGCATTTACCAGGTTGGCCTGGGGAAAAACAACAAGAGACCCTTTTGCGCATAGACCCACTATCTATCTTTATGCAGGTGTACTTAGTAGTACCAAGGCTTCCTGGTTCACAATTCGTGTGTACATTAAATCATAAGCCTGTCTCGCTTGCTGTGGACTACACATAGTTTCCCTAGGAGTACTTATCTCATCAGGCATGGCATTTCGCCTCATATTCATGACACGCATCATTCCGATCCCCGCAACCCCAAGGCTTGGGCGTACTAAAATAACCCCGAAGTCTTGTGGCCAGCGCACTAGCCTTATCACCAATTTCAACGCTGGAATAGCGACGGCTCTTAATGATCAAGTGCTCCGGTCCCTTTGCAGGGCCCCATCGTCCAGCCATTTGCATCACGAAAACATTTGCTGTTATCTCTCTCCTTTTCGGCACCACTGCGGTGCATCCACATCGTGTTCCGCACTGACCATTTGGCCGAAAGTGCTCAGAACTCGCCCGCATGTCTTGCGAACCATCACTGCTCAGTAAGGTACTGAAAGCGAACTTTGCCAAAATTTGACATGACGTAGTAGACATTGTTCCATAATACGAGTCCATCCCACTGTGTATCAGCTTCCGTCGTTCGTGGGATATCAGGCACTCACTTACTGGTATCGACAGGACCAAAGTCGAAAAGAGGGCAATACAGAGTAATCCTCGTGTAAAAGAAAATGTCGAGGACACAAGTACAAGGAATAGCCCAAGAATGCCAGCAGCTAACGTAATTTATTTTTGTATATTCACAATATATTCTGCACATCTTTGCAGTGTCCCGAAAAGTATATGTTCGATACAAACAACAATGACAACCAGTAGGTATTCATGCGTACAACTAGCCATTGAGATACACAGAGCTATTTGTATCTCTATTTAAAAAAAAGACGAAGCATTGGAACTTACTCCAAATCATAGTATACCATTCACAAAAGAGCACAATACACCTAGGCAAAACTCGCAAACACACAACTTACCCAATTGAACCAATAAAAAAAACATCAGCAACAAGCCACTTGGCGAGAGAGAAAAAAAACTTATTTTAATGATGACGATCAAACACATACAATGAGATTGAATCTCTTCCCACAGACATCTTCACACAACTAGGAGAAGCGACCACGAACACCAATATTCATCTCACTCCGCCCTTCCACCAACCCCCCCAACCGCTCAGAGCCCTCCCAAATCCACCCCATATCACCAACTCAAATACATCTACATCACACATTTTTTTCTCTTTCTCGCTACCCAGCTCCAGCAAGTTGGTGGTGGTGGGGGGTGATGTACTCTGCCATTCTCTCTCTCTCTCTCTTTTTTTTCCTGAGATAAAAAAAAAGATATATATTTCAATTTATCTACATTAAAATACAACTTTCAATATATCAACTTTTAATCATCGTACCAATTCCCCCCTTATTTATTTATTTTTTCTTTCATTCCTCTTGTCATTTCTTGGGTGATTTGTGGTCCGAGTGCAGAGGTATACGATGGTTATTTAAATGAGGCAAGGGGTTTTTTTTTCTCGGAGATAAAAGGGTGGGACTCGGTATCGCCTTTAGGGGGGGGTGGTATGGAGAGTCGAGTGAAAAACCGGATAGAGTTATTGACAGGGTATTTATAGTCTTCGGTTTTTTTCCCCGGAGGTCTGTGGGGGAACAGGTAGGAGGGACTTGAAGAGATTGAGGCATGGAGAAGGTGGGATGCGGTATAATGGGGGAAAAAGAAGAAAAGTGGGAGTTGGAATTGCGTTAATCGATTCTTCACTTGGGGTGATTATGGTTTCCTGACGGTGGGATATTTCAGAAAAGAAGGGAAAAAAAGGGGGGGGAAGAGGATTTCATAATAGACCAAGGTACTGAATTGACCGATAAATAAGGAACAGACTAATTTTTTTTCACAAGACACTGGCACAGAGAGAAGAATTGCAAGACAAAACATGTATTGTATAGGGTGATATAAAGCGCAGCACACACATATACCATGTGTACCGAAAGAGGTAAGAATCGAAAGAAAAAAACGTATAAAAGTACATTTTTTAGATGATGGAGTGAGCAACTTCATCAAGTCCAGCAACAGTAGCATCTCAGTCTCCACTCCTCAACAAAAGAAAAGACCAACACCCACCCCTGTCAGCTCCTCCTCCTCCCTTCCCAAGAACCCCACTATGGTTTCAAACCATCTGGTCCCGAACTTCCCCATATAACTTACAACCTCAAACCCCTACGCATAGCCCTCTTAGCAGCAGCAACATCCTCTGGTCCACCATCAGGGTTGGTAACCGCACCAGGGAATCCAATAAGCGTGTTGAACTGATCCGCAAGCGCCTTGTTACGAGTTCCACCCTGGACAGCGGCAGCAGCGCTCTCGCACTGGGCAACGGCGGCGTCGTTGGCCTCGCAGACGTTGGTGAGCTGGTTGCATAGCGCGTTTGTGATGATGTCGGGGTTGAGGGCTTCACCCTGGCCGCCGCGCGCAACAGGGTCCGCGATTTGGAAGGTGAATTCGTCGGCCGGGCGTCCGTTCTCCCCGCCTTGGAAGGTGATGGTGGGTGTGCAGAGACCGAAGTCTGCGCCGCCGGCTGCGGCTCCCGCGCCGGCATTGGCACCGGCGCCGGCGTTGTTGTCGTTTGCGGCATCCTGGTTGTTGTTGTTGTTGTTGTTGTTGTTATTCTGCTGGTTGTTGTTATTGTTGTTCTGCTGGTTGTTCTGCTGGTTGTTCTGCTGGTTGTTCTGCTGGTTGTTCTGCTGGTTGTTCTGCTGGTTGTTGTTGTCGGTGGCAGCATTTCCATTACCAGTAGCAGCGTTTCCATTACCAGTGGCAGCGTTTCCATTACCAGTGGCAGCGTTTCCATTACCAGTGGCAGCGTTTCCATTACCAGTGGCAGCGTTTCCATTACCAGTGGCAGCTTGGTTGTCAGCATTGGCATTGTTGTTGTTGTTGTTGCCAGCATTGGCATTGTTGTTGTTATTGCCAGCAGCTGCGTTATTGTTGTTTCCTGCAGCGGCAGCACCTCCTGCAGCGGCGCCACCCGCACCACCAGCAGAAGCTTGGCTGACAACCAAGTCGCCAAGTCCAGCCTGATCCATGAGATCAAACACACTCAGTCCATCAGCGGCAAGGGGGTTAGCAGCAGAGCTGGCGCTAAGAGCGGCGGCATCGCCATTGACATCGACAGCAGGGTCAATAAGAGGAGTGATACCACGGAGCTCGGGGGTAACAGGAAGTGAGGCATCACCACAGACATTCTGAACGTTGCCGTTGGCGAAAGGGTTGGTGTTCTTCTCTGCTGTTACCATGCCAATGGCAGCAGCGAGGGCATCAGCACCACCACCGAGCTCAGTGAAGATTTGGTCAGCACGAACGAGCTGGATGTTTGTTAGTACAATATTCAAAAAAAAAACGAAAGATAGGCATGTACATACCTTGTCGCAAGAGTTTGCTGCACCAAGCAAGTCAGAAATAGCAGCTCCTGCAATAGTAGCAGCAGCGCCGCCTGCACCACCCTGAACACTGCTGATGGCCGCAATAGGGACTTGCTCCTGTCCGAAACGAGCCTCAACGTAGGCAATGACAGCCGCGATGATGAAAACCTTGGAGACCATGTTGGATGATTTACGGGTGTATTTTCCAAAAAGGGTAATCGTGTAAGGGTACAAAGTTAATCTTTATCGGTCGTAATACGGTGTGAACTGGGGGAGACAGGAAGGACAAACAACGAGAGAACTAGCTCTTGATTGGGTGTTGTAAAAATTTAAAAATAAATGCCAACCTGGGCGAATGAATGTAAAGAGTGCTGAGAAAGCGAAGGGAAAAGTTGCTGGATGCTACTGTTGACTTGATGATGTCGAAGTTGCTGACCTTCAATACGAGGCGAACGTTGCAACAACTTATATACTACCCGTCTGTTAACCATATCTCCGCACCGTTTTTTTCTCCACTCAACTCCAAGACACTGTTCTTTAGCCGCCATGACAAGTGATGCCTCTAGGATCATACACATGTCTCATCCATGCGCCTAGATCCATGTGGCAGCTACCACCATCACCTAGAACAGACCGGAGTGAGCGAAAACGTGATGAAAGAATGATCGAGGGGCGTTCCTGCCAAGGCATCATGCATTCTTTAGGCATGATGGGACGTATGATTGCCGGGCTGCGACTCTCGGTATGCCTTGGTGTCCGTCTCCTTAAGGCTTCTGCGCGGGGCCTGCGTCTCGAAGCGTCGATGTTGCCGGGTGCCTGAAGTAGGGTTGTGACGGCCTCAGTCGCGGTAGGGTTTCATGTGACCTTGCGACGCGGCGCTGTACCAATAGCCACCGGCAAAGGCACCCTTCTGACAGCGACGATCACCAATGCATGACATTCTGGAGCTTGACTGTGAACCATGGAAAAAACAGATTTCGCAATGCACAACAAAACAGTTTCTGACTGCATGTATCCAAACGCAATGCAAGGGACTGGGCGGCAATGATGTCAAGATGCTGGTACTGGGAAAGAAGACGCGGCCTTGCAGGGGCACTGAATGCGACCAAAACATTACTGCTATAACCAATAGTACTGAAAAGATGCCCAGGAGTCAAAATATGAGTCGAGTACATACTATGTTCATGGTACCTGATGTTAAGCGAATCCCAATGGGGCCAGGGGTAGTGAGTAGGCTGGGCGCATGGCCCCGGACTGCACTGTGCCGGTGTACGCTTGCGCGTTCGACCGTCGATAGTTATTGGCAACCTGGCTGTAGTATACAAAGTCCGTATCATTCGGCTCTACGGCCCGAGGTTGCAGTTTCTACAACGTCATGACCAGGCATTCACTATGTCCTATCCAACTTCCTCCGCAACAGCCTCGTCCTCTTCATAAGCTTCTTGTACTTGTGCTTCTTCATCTTGAGCTTCCTTTGCCTCTTCACACTAATCAGATACATTCCATATCTTCGTTTTGCAACGTGTTGCCGGAAGCTTCTTGGTTTGCTCTCTTCTGAAGGTAACGTGACTTCAGTTATACGCTGATTAATGCTAGCTGAGAGACCTTCAGCCGAGTATGAATCAGTCTCAGGTTCCGTTGCCAAGGGGTCGTACGGCTCGGGTGGCGCCGGCGGCTGAAAGGGAACGAGACGAGCTGCCCAACTCTCTACGCTGTGTTGTGTCGGTTGCACATCAAGGTGATATACCTGTTGCTCCGACTGTGTCGCATCGGCTCGTTGCTCCTCCTGCGCATCAATCTCGGCATGCATGCGCTCAAGGAATCCGGTGAGTACACTCTTGGTTGCTTCTATCCTCTCGACCTGGCTAGCTCGGTTTACGTCGAAGAAGGCGTCAAATTCGGCGGTTGAGGTCGAGTTGGGAAACGCGCGCGAAATAGAAATGGGGCGGTGGAGACCAAAGAAGGCCGATAACTTGACATCTACACCAAATTAGTATACACATGGGGGGGATATTAGTATTTTCTGCATCTCACCATCTTCCCGGAGGTGGTTAGTCGGCGGCACAAAAGGCACATTGTTGCCCAAGGTCGCAGTCGATGGCTGTTTCAGCTTCTTCTGCCCCTTTGTCTTCTGTCCGGCACCCTGAAGTTCTGCTGTAGCATTCTGATCTAACTCGGCGGGCTTCTTCTTGTTGTTTGCGGGGGTCGACGGCTTGGACGACGAGTAGCGGCGCTGGTGACTCGGCCGGAAAGGTTGTTGCGGTGCACTGCTTGTGCTCAGCGTAGAGCGGGCGCATGCATTTAGCGCGGCAAAAGGCGCAGCCGAGAAGGTGTTTGCAGAGCGAGCGACTCTGCCAACAGCTGGCGAGAACATGGCCAGTCGGGTAGAGGGGGCGGGTATGACGGTGTTGTTGATGAGGCTCAAGGCGGCGGCCGGCTATCAGGACTTGCTGCAGGCTGCACCGCTCCGATGTTTCCCCGATTGGCACTAGCACTAGCACATGTCACGAGGGCACATCATCGGAACTACGATACCGAGTCGGAACCGACGTTCGTTGCACATATGATCAAGGGACGCATGTGCACACATTCTATTCAACGTGACAATACGAGATATCACCTGGTTCCCTTATTAGTGTTTCTCCCAACTTTTACTACGAATGGCTGGGTTTGCCCTGCTGCAGGCTCTTCCGAGACACCATGGTGGAGACCAGGTAAGGACCTGACGGCGCAATATCACAATAGCACCTATAGAGTAGAATCACCCTTTGGACATGAACTACTCCACTTCCCAAACAACTTATTGCTATGCCTAGGTACAGTAGCTCTTTCTTCACAGGCTCAGCCATGCCGCTTGTTTTATCCTCCTATCACACCACTTTGCGGTGTTCCAACCATATCATAGCCCTTGTATAGCCGCCAACCCCGTCAAAACTTGACAGGCGCCAGAAACGTCGCATACGTTGCTACAACCCATCAGTGTCCAACCGCTCGAGCTCCAGTCTCACGCCAACGCTTCAAACTATGTAGCTGGTGCTCGGGTCGTGCCGCTTAACCGCTTGAACGTTGGTTGTAATTAGCTTACCGGACCACGCCGCAAAGGCGGACAGACGTTGGAGGGCCTCCGCGGACCCAGCTTTAATTCAAACATACTTGCAAGGAGACTTTGACGGGTAAATACAGCGTGCACGGACTTTGTCAGTGAAGGACAGAGGAATGACACACTAGCAGTTAGATCCTGTACGAATTGGGATTGATTGTTCCAGTGTGATGTTGTATTGGGAGAGGCTGGGGAGCTGGTGGGGGTCGGTTATTTGGCACTTTCCTGATAGAGAAGTTGAGCAATGTATTCATAGAGTGCATTTTATACTAGTGTTTGAAGGTGCATGTGTAGTCAAGTGAGTAGGTAATGCTCAGACATGCAGCTGTGACAGCAAAACAGGCTAGCTCGCCTTTGGCTGCAGACCAAAGCAAGGTTAGCAACTGTCTTGGTCTCTCAGGCCCCCCAATCTAATCCTTGTGTCAATCTGTATAGATTCGCGCTTTTGGGAAGCCTTTCGCTACGCTCTGGCAAAACAGAAAAAGCAGCACAAACCCACCCAAGTAGACGCTGATGCATGCAAGAAAGATTGTGTGTGCCGGAGAGTTCAATCTGGGACAAAAGGAAATGATTTCTGTGTGACGCTCCTCCAATGATCCGCTCACGGACCGGTGGGGGTATACGCTTTATACCCGGAAGCTGCATACTGTACAAGCCTACAGATGCTAATCCACTTACTCGCTAACTAACAATACCCAAGAGATTATATCGTAAAATTGTCGTACAGTGGTAGAAGACGAATAGAAAACAAGACAAGATATAGGGGTATAAAAAGAAAGGAGCCGTGGATGTCGTTCTCTTGGAACTCACTGAAAAACCTGTCTGTGGTCCGGTCCTGCTCTTTGTGACCCTCCTAGGTAGGGCGGGTCTATTAGTGGCAGACGTACATGTACTGTAGCTCTCGCTCCGGCGCGTGTACAGTCTGCAGGGGGTAGTGTAAACGGCCGTCCAGGCCGCCCTCCGCGTGGCGACCAGTTGTGATTATTATAGTATCAGGGCATTGAGATTGCGCTGGACAATCATGTCCTGTACCGATGCCATTGTAATCTTGAGCAAGTTGGTGTCGGTCGCGTTTGTGTAGTGTACGTAGACTTCCTTCTTTGGCTGGCGAACGAGATTGCGGAATTTGTTGGCGAAGAATTCTTTGCCGGCCTCGAAGTCGGTGGGCCCGCCGGTGTAGTCGGGGAAAGTCTTGTTGATTGGGCTCATGCCTCCAGCTATTTTTTCAGCGAACAAATCGATCTTGTTAAGGAAGAGGATGAGGGCAGTCTTTTCAAAATATTTGGAGTTTGATATAGACTCGAAGAGCATTAGCGCCTCGTGCATTTGGTTCTAGTATATGTTAGCAAGGGCTCCATTGGCGGACGAATTACCATGACCTACCCCATTTCTGTCTTCTACTAGCACGTGGTCGTAACCGCTGATGGCAACCAGGAAAAGCACCACCTGGACGTTGTCGAAGACGTGAATCCACTTTTTGCGCTCTGACCGTTGACCACCAACATCGACCATTTTGTATGTGAGGTTGCCGAGTTCAAAGATGGTTTCGGAGATACCGGTGGTTCGTAAGCGCGTGCGCAGAATGTCTTGGTCTGTGGGGAGGAAATCTTTTTGGAACAGGCGGTCGATGTCCTGGAAGAAGCTAACGGGGGTGTCAGTGGATGGGCGTCGCAAGTCGTGTAGATGACTTACTAGTTCAAGTTGTCGTGCAGCGCATACTGGTTGCCCTTGAGTATGGTGAGCTGCACACCCTTGTCTGCCCATAGACAGTTGAAAGCTGTAAGAAATTCCTCAGGCATGGGCTCTTCGGTGCCAATGTCGGGCGCAGCGTTGACCATCTCAGAGTAGCGCTATATTTGGTTAGTAAACACGTGGGTGAAGGGTGCGCGTGCGCGTGCGCGTGCGGACACGTACGATGTTGTCTTCATCTTCAAAGTCGGTGTCGTCCTCTTGCATAGCCTGGAAGATTGTCTGGAAGGCGGAAACGAGGTTGTTGAAGATGGTAGCGCGCCAGGTCTTGCGCTCCATGCCCTGGAAACCACCAGCATTGATGATTCGCATCTGCTTGAGGACGGTTGACTTTCCGCTCTCGCCGGCACCTGGACGCTGATCTCAATCGAAGTGGACTTTTGTGGTTGGTGGGGACATGCATACCGAGCAGCAACAGCTTGACCTCGCGCTCCGCCCGCTTCTTGTCGGTGCGGAGCGACTTTTCTATTTCGGCATTTTTCTTGGTAGACTCTGGGTCCGCAGTCGAGGGTTTCCGTCCAAAGCACATGATTGCTGGTGCCATGTAATGTGGACGGGGAGGGGGGGAGAAGGTGAAGTTGTGTTGTCGGGGGGGGGCAGTCGCGATGGAGCGGGATAAAGACGCAACGGATGATGCACAGACAAGCACACGGCTAGTGGGCTGACAGGCAAATGCCTACTCTACTAAGGGCGTCAGTTGAGGCCTTGGATGGCCGTGACTAGCATAATACAATGACAGAGTGCCGGCGCTACCGTTTGGTGGAGGGGTGCACTGGGGAACCCAAGGTGAAATGGTAAGAAGGGCTAGCGAGCAAGGCGAGGAGGGCAGTGCGCAACGAGGGACGAACCAAACGACGACGGGGTTGGGGGGCGACGGCGGCGATGGTGATGATGAAGAGACAGACGAAGAAGCAACGAGGCAGTGCCGGTGGATAGAGCAAGAGGACGAATTACAAAAGAAGCGGCATGCAATTTGCCATCGAGGCACTAGGGAGAGGAGCTGGGCAGACTGGCGCGAGATAGGCCTGGGCTGTCTGAGAAATAACGAACGTGGTGCCGAAGAATCCCTGATCTTCGCCGTTCGTGTTGACGGTCCTTGCTCGTCTTGCAGCGGCGACGGTGGGCCGGGGGGGGGTGGACAGGACGGGCAGTGCTAAGTACTATGTTCGCGCGTACATGTTCTTTTGCGACGCGGGCAGTCAAGGGCAGTCAAGGGCAAGCCAAGGGCAGGTCAAGCGTGCACGGCGTGGTCAGTCGTCCGGCACGTCGATGCCACTTGGGGGAGCGATCGGCGGCGGTAGCAGCGCTGGGAACTGCGAGCGTGCAATCATGGACCTGTTCGCGCAAGACACGGGAAGCTGGTGCGACGATCGATTTCGGCTGCGGCGCCCAGCAGTGCAGGCCCAGGGTGGCGGAGTCGCACGATGCTCGCCCTCGCAGCTCGTCGGTGTCGGCCACTGTTGACGGTCGCTGTGAAGTGCATGCGCATTGCATTGAGCCTTGGCCGGGAAAAGAAGTCAAGGAAGAAAAAAAAAAAGGTCGCCAGTCGCCAGTCGCCAGGCTCTGCGTCGGGGATGCAGGCCAAGCCAAGCGGGCGAATCAGCGGGCGCGACAGCATCGTGGGTGCGGTTGGGGAAGAGGATGCGGCCGCCTCGACGTTTCACTGCCAGTAGCAGTCCCACCAGCCAAAGCCGCCGCCCCAATGCTGAAGCCCGCCAGCCCATGTCCGCCCATTCGCATTCACCACACACAACTTGGCCCTGCTAACCAAGCCGCGTGTCCCGGGCAGTGCTGTGCAGCCGACTACACCTACGCGTGTGCCACACGTGTGGTGGTGTAAGTAGTATGCCCATACCTACCGACATAGTCTACTATGGGCAAGGAAGCTGTGCTAAGATCACCTTGCTGGCTGACTGGCTGACTGGCTGGCGGGTGGGTGGCGCATCCAGCGACAGAAAGGGCAGTGGCAGAAACACACGACGGCCCTATCCGCAACCCTACTCTCCGAAAGTGGACCCACGGCAACCAGATGCTTGTCCGTGTCCACCTTTCCGTCGCTGCATTCCCATGCCCACCTTTTTGCCTGCATTCAGACATCTGGGAAGATACTTGTACATACACTACTTACTTACTCGTCTCTCCTGAGCCGACCCGAGCACAAGGGCTGCTTCTTTCCAGTCCCCACCCGCTATACTGCTTTCCCCTCTCCTCTTGCCTGGATGCGTCCATGGCTACATATGGTGCTAGCTTGCTTGCTTGCTTGCTTCACTCGCCTACATGTGTGTGCTTGGGTGCTTGTGTGCTTGCAGACATCCGCCCAGCATGTCATCGAGGGTCCTTCCCCTTCTTGCATCCGCCCCATGCTGCGGGTACCGTCGACAGGTCCTCCCGTGCCCGCCGCCCCCTTACACACACACTACACACTACGCACTACTTACTTACTTGGATGCCTGCAAATTACCCGCTGCCACTGCCACTCTTAACTCTTCCCATCATCCCTCGCCTGCCCCCTCCACATCAGCCCGCACATTCCACTCGCTGCTCGCTCCGCCAAACGTCACACGCCGCCCTGCGCTGAGCCGTCGTTCGCTTGGGACCACCGGCTTGTCTTGCCACGATCGGGAGGCTGCATGGTGCACGACTAAGTGCCACTTCGGCACGCTCCCTATCGAGACACAAGTGTCCTGTCGACGCTCCTGTCACCACTGACATGCCGAGATTACAGCGACACAATTTAACCCTGCCGAATGGGAGTCCCACCCGTCTTCCTTGTTTGACACACGCCGCCCATGTCCTCTACTGCCTACTTACTCGTTTGCTTTTTCTCCGTCCCTCTCCTCGCTTCCCCACCCGTCACAACCACCATGCTTGTTTCCGGAAAGGACATTCAACCCCTCAATATTCCCTTGCAGCTTGACTGAGACCCGTTGCTTTTTTTGGTTCCTCTGGCTGCATTCATCTGCACGGCTCGCCACCCATGTGGAGATTAGGCCCCGTGTGAACCTGCATTTGCCATGTGCATACCTACTCACATGCGTATCCATCCATCTACTACTGTGTGTTATTACATCTCGTATTCTGGCTAAAGGTCGGCATGCCTGCTAGTCCCCACCATGACTAATAGAACAACAATGATGCTCACTGATCTACCAAGTATCCAACATATGTACCACTCTAGATCATCTTTAAGCTTCTAGCAGTCCTCTCTGAGCTTACTGTCCACTGGTATATACGCACATGGCACTCATTCAATTCCAGTTCTTGGCCTTCTCCTCGCATCTCCGCCATCTCTTGTACCGTTACTTCTCGTACCACATATCTTGACATGCCGTGCCTTCTGCTCTACCAACTCGTGTCTTAATATATCGTATCTAGTGCATTGACCATCCTGTATCTAGAGATACTACAGGCAATACATTCTCTAGCTATCCTTTGGCTCTACACAATCTGCGTGTCGGCCGTCTTGTGATCTTACCTTCGGCACGCTCTGCAGCTATTGCAAGCTGAGGTCAACCCACACTTTGCAATTTTTGCTAATCATGAGACCTTTTGTGCCCTCTCTGTCCATATATTTCTATTGACTGTGAGAGGCTTTGTTCTGCTGCAGCCACTTTGATATCGTCGCCTGTCGGTGAGAGGCGCTCCTTCTAGTACTCACCATGGCAGTGTAAACACAGCACGAGCCTCACCTACACTTACACGTCACCAACAACCCTCACCATCTCTGCACAACAGCCCACCCTCAACTCAGACCAACTGGGTCTTGTAACCAAATCCCACAGTCTATGCAGTGGCACTTGGTCTGTTCGCGCATACAGTACTCAAGGTATGTTACAGAACTATAGAAATTTGGCTCCTGTTAACCGCCATATGCAAAGCTGCACTTCGTAGACATGTCGTCGGCAAATTCATACAGTGGTCCAATGGCTCTTGAAAACTCAAAATATGCCAGTCCGCTACAGAAGAAGTCATCTTCGGCCGCTTCCACGCCTTTCCTGTCGCCTGTCGCCACTCCGAAAAGCGGCAGCACCACCGCAATTGGTAAGCACACTGCACTTTCGCAAACGAACCATTCTAATGCAATAAATGTAGAACAACACGATTCTGCCGTGCAACTTGCCATTGCCCGTGGGAATAGTCTCTATGATGAGGTGAACCAGCATACTGCGAAATTGTCCACGGTCGTCTCGAGCACGGTTGCAAACACTCGCCGTTTACTCCACCTCATTCGAGAGGCATCTCCTGGCACGAGCAATGCCACCGTCGAGGCCCTATGGAGTGAGTTGGAAAAGCTCCATACTGCAATGAATGATGCAAAGGCGGCATTGCCCACGTTTCTGGATAAGCAACGCAACAACATCAGCTTGTACCACACTGCCATGATGAATCGAATGATCCAAGATACGCAGCACGAGCTAAGCATTCAGCACAAGAAGGTCAGTTCACCCTTGTAAGATTTCGCACGCTCACGGCACTTGCTGACTTGAAATGACTAACTTGAAATGACTACAGGTTAACATTCAACATGATTTGATCCTCGAGCACCACGAAGCATTCCACGCATACAAAGAGCAGACTGCCACCAAAATCAAAGATGTTGAGGCCCTGCAGGAACGTGTTTCGCGTCTTACGCTTGAAAAAGGCAATCTCCGTACTGAAGTGGACAAGTATATGCAGCTTCTCGAGAAGGAACATGCCACCAAGGCTGAAGACCTACGCAAGGCCGATGCTATGCAGAAGGAGCTAGAGACTCTCGTAGCTTCTAACAAACAGCTTCTTGTAGAAGTCGATGCGCTGCGACAGAAACTCGAAGAACATCAAGGCAAGACCAAAGCAGATGAACAGTCTACCGAAGAGCTAAAGTTGATTACTGGCCAACTCGCTGAAGAAAGGAAGACGACCGCAGCCCTTATGACAAAAATCACTGGTTTGGGGGAGAGCGAACGTATCGCCAGGCTTGATGCCGACAAAGCCAAAAAAGAGCACAAGATTCTGAGCGAGAAATACAGCAACCAGGCCGCAGAACATGCAAAGGCGTTCACGGTATGCACATATGATTAGACTATTCAAGTGCAGATGAAGCTAACCCATTCCAGGAACTCAAAGAGCAATCCAAAGAGATTGACCGTCTGAAAAATGACATTGGACGCTTCCAGAAAGAAAACACTGAGTTGCAGCAGCGCCTGGCCAAGCTGACCGATATCGACGACCAAGTCGCCAAACTCGACCATGAAAACGTAAAGTTGTCAGGGCTTGTTAGCAGTCTTACCAGCCAGTTGAAGGCGGCTCAAGATGAGTTGAGCAATGCCAAGTTTGAGAAGGAGGCGCTTTCCAAGAGGGTGAAGTCGTTGAGCAAGGCAGTCGAACCCACTGATTCCGATACCGCCGACCTCGTTCACAAACAGGCCGAGAGAATCGCCGTTCTCGAAAACATGTTGGAAGAGTGGACCGAACTAGCCAAGCGCTCGTACAAGGAATACAAGGACATGCTTCCGACGTACAAGCAGGCCGAGCAGTATCGCAAGGATGCACTCGATAAGGAGGAAACCATCAAAGGTTTGCAGAAGGACCTCGTTGCAGCCAAGGCTTCTAAGAACAACGGTGACACCGCCTACTGGAAGAACAAGTACGAGACTCTTCTGGCTACCGTTGCCACGTGAACTGGCCATGTGCACCAGGCTCGATGATGCTGTATGAGAGAAGCTAGAGATGGAGAGTGGGGTTGAGAGCCATACATGTCATTCCATGGATAGTAGGATGAGCAGCTCTCATCGGATGTGTACTTTGGCTGATGAATTCAAAGGCATGGACCCACAGCTTTTGACCTTTGACTTTATTTTCCAGTGATACTGTCTCACAAAATTCTGTGAAATAATGAGAACCACAGAGAATCCATCCAGAACATCAGTCATTTCAAACCCCCCAAAGGAGAAAAAAAAAGAAGCATGCCGGTACTCAACATCGATAGTCTTTCTCTTGTGTCTACATACCAAAATACATCACACATTTCGTACTGTCAACAACCTACTCTGCAAGCTTTCAAGAACAAACCCCTACGTCACACACATACACACCCACCCTCCCATGAACTGTCTATAATGCTGTCATATTATATATATATTCTACGATGAAGAAGGAGAAAATAGCAAAAGCGCCAAGAAAAACAGTCGGACAAGAACATCATCTCTGCATCGATCGTACTCGATTTTTTTTCTTTCTTTTGTCAAGGATGCTTTGTCTTTGGTTGTGTCTTATTGTGTTTGTGTTGGCATGGGTTATCCATGTTGCGGAAAAGATTGGTACGAGGTACGTCATGACAAAGTGCGGGGGAAAGGGGATTAGAGGGATTCTGCGAGTTAGGTGGGATGGGGGATGAGATGGAGAAAGGGAAGAAGGTTAAGCGATGGATTTCATTATGGGTGGGTTTGAGGAATCTGTTGAGTGGTGTGTGTGGGTGTGTGTGTGGGTGTGTGTGGTTGTTTGTATGGGGGTGATGATGGTGCTGTTGAAACAAGCGGGCCATCAGGGGTTCCCTGTGACTATGTGCATGCTGAGTAACAACGGGGTACGTAGAATCACATCATGAAAACGTGGAGGGGAAAAGGGGTAAAAATGATGAAGGGAGTGTTTCAAAGGCTACATGGGGTAGACCGTTTCGATGTACATGTGAAAAGGCCTTTGTGTCGTCGAGTGTTCCGAGGAGGGAGAACGATTAGTTGCTTAGTGATTTGCAATTCGGGCACGCGGATAGAATCCAGTGGCCAAACGCACGGAACGATGGATCCGGTTTAGTCTGGTCATGTTACATCAACGTGCACGCAAGACATTCCACGTGGTCTAGGCAATAAGTGTCGATGCGAGGCTAGTAAGTCTGCAGTAGCTTGTGTGGAGCTGCCCTCAGGGGGGGCCGCAAAGTAAAAACCAGCACCAGAGAGAGAAAGACGTGAGGCCCGGAACTTACCATGACCATGGTCGAGAATATGGGACCCACATGGTCACGGTGTTACGTTGGTGCGTTGCAGAAAGGCCAAGTGTAAGCTACTGCACCGACCGCGATTTGACATGTTGATGGCTGCCCATATACCTACTTAATAGAGAGTAGATGCATATGCCAGCGGTATCGGAAAGAGACAAGCCGGTTGCCCCTTTTATAAAACCAGGGAGCTTCCATGATGGTGTGGTGGTTCCCATTGGCTTTCAATTTCCACTGCCTGCATTCTCTTCCGTCTTCGCCTACACCTTGATGTAAGTACTCTACTGTAAAATCATGTATGCACATACACATAGTGGCTCGGAGAAAGGTGAGGTATTTTGGGTTAGTATGATGATGCCCAGGAAGCCAAAAAGTAAAGGGTACCGTTTCCCAGGCCCATGGGATCGATTCCTCCGAATCGTGTCTCTGGGGAAAGGGACCGGCCATAGATCGTGAGCTGAGATAAAGCAATATTAGTGTCCGCACCTGATGGCCTTCAGACGCACTGTGCACTGCCTTAGTGTAAGCAGGAAGGATACTTCCTGTCCCGAGAAACCTCCCCAGCATCTCCGTGAGTACACCTTCCGCTCAACCAGTGTGCGTTTGGATCTACAATGGCAGAGTGACAGCTAGGATAGAGCATTCATTGGCTGTCTGCTTGATAACATTCAAGATGGCGTGGTTGATCTGCAAGTCCGCTGCGATCTGCACTGCATGTGTACACCAAGACAGAGTCCGCGGAACTTTGCGGGGGAAAGGAAGGGAATAAGGGAAGGTGTGGACGCCAAACTTTCCGTTGGACGGCGGTGTGGCTTGCGGAGGACCCTGGGCTAGAAGGTATGGAAGCCATCACGGAACATTTGTGTACAGTGTGGAGACAGTAGAGACGGCTAGAGTCGGTCAGGATGAAATGAGCTGTTTGAGACAGCAAGACGGCTTGATGTGAGTGGTTTTGCAATGCTGGAGGTGTGGCTTTGCCGTGTGCAGCCGCGTCAGGCAAGGCAACTAGCGCATAGCGGCCATGGGTCGGATGATCCTTGGAGCTGGGGCAGGCTTGGAACTACCGTGTCAGTACAGTATCCGATACTGCGGTGTTGAGTTCAGCTTCAATGTCGCCCCTAGGTAGTCATTGGTGAACGTGTGGCGCAGGCCTTCGATAGCTTCGGTCATGGTAAGGCGTCGTACGAAGTCAGTTTGCCCAGCCCGTCCATGGACACACCGGATGGATAGTGCCCGCCCACCAAATGAAGCTACCGACAAGGGCCTAGGCTGCAAAGGGGCAAGAGACCTCGTGCAAGATGAGGATCAGGTACGCCTGCATTGACCCGGCCCACCAAACACGTTTGAAGGCAGGCTCAGCGAGGTGGCGGTGGCGGTGACAGTTGCACCATACGGTTGAGAGTGAGAGCAAGTGGTGAGAGGGGCGGGCAGAAGGGGTGGCAAGACGCGCTGCTGCTGCTGCTACTGCTGCTGCTGCTGCTACTGCTGCTGCTGCTGCTGCTACTGCTGCTGCTGCTGCTGCGACAAGGTGTGGCAAAACGGCGCTTCAGCTGCAGATCGCCAAAAGCTTGAGTGGCCAGGAGGCGCCGTGTCTGGCTGACTGCCGTGGGCGATGCGTTCACTCTACAGATGCATCGACGTGGGCCGCGAGTGGGATACGGAGTTGAGGCGGATTACGCAAAACGCACTAGTCTTGACATGGCTAGCCCGAGTGGAGCCTGCAAAATCGCGTGTCGTCGCTATGCATGCATGCCCTTCCACACAGACATCAAGGCCTGTTAGCTTCGCTACGCACGACCGTGGTCTGCCATGGCGGCTTATTAACAGAAAACATTTAGCACAAGGCGAGGCAGCCTAGGGGAGGGCTGCTGAAAAAAAACTTCGAGTCCTGCAAGCAAGAGAAAAAGATCTCCGTCGGTCCAATACTCGGTCCCATTCCCCCGCCATCCGACTCGCACCGCTGCACACACGCCCCGATGACGACGTAAGGTGCTAATTGCGGATGCGGTTCTTCAGCTCATGGCGAAGTTCCCTTACCCTTATACCTTCTTATGTGCCTTTTTTCGCCGATTGAGACGCGGAATATCAACGGTAGCCTAGGGCTGCGACTCGCCAGAAACGTGTGGATACAAACTAGATGAATCAGCCCCCCATGGCTACTCCACGACGCAAAGCATGTGTTGAGTGTCGCCAGCAAAAGGTACTTTTCCTCAACCTCGCTTCGACGCGCGACACCCTCAATCGCCAAACAGACAACAAACTGACTTTACAGATTCGCTGCGATGTTGAGCAGCACAAGGTCCCACATGACCCATGCGGCCGCTGCAAAAAGATGGGTTTGGAATGTCGCATCCTTCCCACATCAACCAGAAACTTGCGCCAGACAAAGGCTGAGATGCGCCGGGAGTTGGAGGAGTTGCGATGGAACATGAGGCAAGGCCAGGCCCCCGGCGACCAAAGCTATCCCCATTCGACCGCCTCGCCAAATGTCGACATGCAGAATTATACCCCGCTTGAACATGCTTCCGGCACATATTCCGATCCGTCAGGGAGAACCGACGCGTCGGATTCCATGTCCCCAGCTTTCGATTCAAGGCCTCCCACAAGAAAAGGTTCAGACAGCCAGGGTACTATCCCGCGTGTTCTAGATGGATTCCTCCTCGATTCCAAACGAATTGACGACTGTTTCGCACTGTAGGTTAAATGCCATGTCTAACTTCTCCTCCGCTAACGTTTGCCATAGTTACTTCACCCAATATCACCCGCTGTTTCCAATTCTTGACCCCAGCACAGCCCCTAATGATTACTACGATCAGTCGCCGTTTCTGTTCTGGGTTATCATTGTCACAGGAGCCCGGCGGTATTCTGACTATCCTGAGGTGCTTGAGAGAATTGCTCAGCCTGTCACTCAGCTTGCCTTTTCCTCAATGGCATTACGCACCTCACAGGTTCCCATCATCCAAGGCTTGTTGATCCTTTGCACATGGAGATTACCCACAAACTCAATGTACAAAGATACATCACACCTCATGTGTGGCTCAGCGGTACATCTTGCTACACAAATTGGTCTGCATATTGCGGGCGTAGGTCAGGATTTTGCCAGAACGCCCCTCGAGAAGGACCAATCCCTCAAGGTGCAGCGCGCCAGACTCTGGTTGTGCTGTGTCATCGTCTCTATAAGGTAGGTTTCGGATTATATGCGTTACTTGGGGTTTCTTTTGGCTAACGCCTTGTAGAACGAGTTGTGTTGAAGGCATACCACCTCTTGCCGAGTCTTTCTTCGATGGAGACGAACAAGAGCGTGAAGACATGGTTCCTTACCTCCCAGCTGATCTGCAGTATCTCCACAAAGTCTACATTATCCTCATGCGCGCGATGGTTGCAATGGGTAAAATCAATTTGCAGTCCATCCACTGCGATGTCCGCGTACTACGGTCACTGATTAGCATATTCGATTCACAGCTTCTCAGCTCGGCCCCATCATCCCCAAGCGACCTTGGTGAGTAGTTTCCTCCCGCGCTTGACTATTGCTCACTGACCGAATAGACACCTTGCAACTTAGCTGTGCTCGTATCCATGTCATGGCCTTCCATTTCTTTGCTCACCCAACCAATCCTGGACCTGATGCTGAGGGTCTTTCTCGATTTTATGCATTGTGCATATCGGTCATCCAGTCAGCAGCAACTATGCAAACGGCCACGAAAACAATCCTGTCCTCCGTATCGCAGTCTTTCATCGACCGATCCATCACACTGGCTGGCTTTACGATTCTCAGGCTCGTTCGCAGTCCACTCGCGCAACACCTAGACTTGGTCGCAGGCGAGAGAGCTTTTAGTCAAGCATACGAATTCCTGAAGAGTGTGTCTTTGCAACCAGGAGATGTTCATTTCCGGACTGCACATATCATGAAAGACCTGTGGAGCAGTGATAAGGTCTTCCGAAAGAAGGACGGACGTGTGGAATCGCTATACCTGAGGTTGCGCACCCGTTTGAGCATGAGCGTCAGCTATGACATGTTTTGGTACTGGCGAGAAGAATTCGGCAACATGCAAAATCCTTACAACGGCGAAGAGTCGTCACTCGTCGCCAACGATGCCGCTCAGCAGAATGCAGCTCGTAAGTATCTGGTCACCTCTTTTGGTTCGTTAGTAACTGACAAATAGGCGAAGAATATATGTCACACCAACAGCAACAGCAGCAGCAGCAACAACATCAGCAGCAGCAACAGCAACAGATCCAACAACAATTACAGCAGCAGCAGCAGCAGCAACAGCAACAGCAACAGCTGACAGATCCTTCCCTGAGGGCCCAGCTTCCAGTAACCAAATTCGATCCAAGCCTAGTTAACCCTCAACTACAACCCGACCCATCAGTAATGGGTGGTGGTTTCGACTCTTGGGATAGCCAAGAATACGCAATTCCACCTGTACTGGAACAATTCCCGGATTATGATTGGGCTGCTGGATTTGAGTTCTCGAATGCCGAAGTGCCGAATGTTCCGGTTGGATCCATGAACCCCATGATGCCTGTAAATGGTGGTGCACCGAACATGGGGTACACTTATGGTTAGATTCTCTGACCTCAGATGTGCTCCTGTGGTGATTTGGCGGGCTGAAGGAGTCGGGAGCTATCAAGATTTACAAATGCAGATCCTGGACTGCATCGGTATTAGAAATAGGCAGATATCATATGCCTGAACGAGTATGACCGTAATTCGAAAAGAGTCGTTGAGCAAAAGAAAGATCGGTTTGCATATCCGGTCATCTCTCCAACGATTCTTGGAGCACGACCAAATAAGAAGGCGTAGATGGAAGAGATTGGAGCGATGACATTGGCAAACCCGGATGCGCTGAAACAAGTAACGGTCGCAGCAGGTGTCCTGGTTACCGTTGAATTGCTGAAGACCAAAGTCCGGGTTAGGAAGAGGCCACTCGATTGGAGCGTCATCTTGTGTTGGAGATGTGTCCGTACATTCGAAGGGTTATTTTCTCTGGTTGGTAAGGGTTATTCAGCCAAGAGTGAAAGGGAGGTACAGGACAGTAAAGAGTAGACGACACCCATCGAGCCACAACAGATCTGCCTATGGCCTATTTCGATTGGAACCGGATATCCTGGCCATCACAGCACCAATGATACGGAAGAGTTGACAGAAGGGAGGTCGAGTATGAATCGAAAGTGGAATGCTTGCCGTTATGCTGGCCAGCGGCTCACTTAAATTAAATCTAGCTTCTCGGTTCGCGGAATTCCACAGATTATGCACATGTACATATGTCGGCATCGGCCAGCATACCAATCGGGTCATTCCATCCCTCGCTCTCGAACGATGTTACCATCTGCATACGAGGAATTGCGCCAGACATCGGCGGAGCCGAACTGTTTTCTGCACGCTTCTTCTGCCCAGCCAGTGAGAGGTCCCGAGTGAGGCGCCCGTATCGGTCAGACTACCGGCGAAGTTCGGCAAGCAACGCTACGTCAGCGAGAAGGATGCATTGCGGGGTGACCATCACATGGATTCCTCACATGCGGATGGAGTATCCGCTGCCGTTTGTGGAGCCTAGCTGAAATGTTTTCCCCAGTTGTATGGGTAATCATAGAAGTTTCAATTGAAAGGTTGTTTTTACTTGACTGGTCTCCGTTTTGCGCCCTATCCGATTGTGCTTTCAAGGATATTTGACCGACAGAACCAAGAGAAAGGCGATCGGTGCAAGCCACTCACAAAGATTTACTAGGATGAGCAACTTGGACTCCCACCATCATTTGTCCACACGGTTGTACTAGGTCCGTAGGATTTCAATGTCAGCGCGATACATACCAAACTAGGCCAAAGCAACCTGTAAGGAGTTTTCTCCGGTTGGTTTACGATCGAAGTCTCGATCGAACCAACAGCCTCTTATTGCGCAGATTTCCGCAATATTGGACGGAGGTATACCTAGTTTGAAGACTTCATGTAGCTACCGCTTCCCTTTTTTAGATCATTTTCATGCTTGTGGGTCTTTACATTTTTTCTTCAGGCTCCAAAGAAGGAATAAGAAAACGACGACTCCTTCTCAACGTCTTTGGTTGACAAAGAACCACATTACGCAATACGCCGAGACTCAGCGAGATCTGGTCAGTGGAGGGCAAACTCAAGGCTGTCGTGCCTTGGTTGATAAACTCCATTCACAGACTTGTTGCTAACCATTAATGAACAGACTTCCTCTTAGTAATAATACTACCAACTCTAATAAGATTACGCTGCGTCCTTTTGCACAACGTTTCTTCGACCACCGGTCGTTTTCTTCTTCCATTCGAAACCAACGTACATTCATATGAAAGCAGAAGATATACGAAAGAGCTAGGCAAACACATAAGCTGGGAAAAGAAGAAAGGAAGGAATTTGGCTATACTTGAGGGATATTGTACAAACGGAAGAATATCAAGATGGCAGCCGTTGAGAAACTCCGAGCAATGCTCGCGGATCCAGAAAAGTTCATCGCATGTCCCGGTGTATACGATGGCCTCACAGCACGCATAGCACTTCAAGAAGGCGTTGACTGTTTGTACATGGTACGCCATGCCACCCACGTCCAATGCACCATACCCCACTGCCCTACTACCCCACTACCCTACTCTCCCCTGAACCGTCCCTGCATGCCACCATGTAATCATACTACATGACGACTAACCACACATCTTGCGACCAACAGACAGGCGCAGGAACAACAATGTCACGTCTAGGCGTCGCCGACATGGGCATCGCAACCTTCAACGACATGCTCGCCAACGCCTCGATGCTAGCCTCGCTCTCACCCCGGACTCCCCTCATCGCCGACGCAGACACAGGCTACGGCGGGCCCGTCATGGTCGGACGCACAGTCTCCGCATACATCCGCGCGGGCGTCGCAGGCCTGCACCTCGAAGACCAAATCGTCAACAAGCGGTGCGGCCACCTGAGCGGCAAGCAACTCGTCAGTATCGACGAATTCGAAGCCCGGATCCGCGCTGCGCGCCTCGCGCGCGACGAGTCCGGCGGCGATATCGTCATCATTGCGCGGACGGATGCGCTGCAGTCGTTTGGGTATGACGAGGCGCTCAGGCGGCTGCGTGCTGCTGTTGCTCAGGGCGCTGAAGTAGCGTTTCTGGAAGGCGTAACGACGGCTGAGGACGCGAGACGTATCTGCGTTGATATGGCGCCGACTCCTTGCCTCTTCAACAACGTTCCTGGCGGCGTTTCGCCGGACTTTGGCGTCAAGCAGTGTCGCGAGATGGGGTACAAACTCGCCATCTTCCCGCTGTTGGCTTGCGAGGTCGTGTACCCGGCTGTGCGCAAGGCGGTGCAGCAGATGAAGGAGCTGGGTAGTGTCAAGAGTGTTGAGGAGGATGGAAGGAGATATGGGCCCCGCGAGTTGTTTAGGCTGTGTGGGATGGATGAGCTGATTGATTTTGATGTCAAGGCTGGGGGGTTGGGGTATAAGAATGGGGCGTAAGTGGTGTACAGTCGAGCCTGGCCGAAGCTCTTATAGCTTCATATTGGGATGACGATGCGAGAAAGGAAAGGTGGTTGGCGGCGCTCTTTTTTGTTTCTTTTGCTTAAGAAGGATGCGTTTGGGTAGGAAGAAAAATCCATGGGAGTTATGGTATCTGTGTATATAGTAGTTATATGATCTCTATCCATCATGCTTATGAGCCGTTGTCGACTTAGTTGCCCCAATGATTCAACCCTAATCCAACACTACAATTGTGACTAGGCTGTCGGGGGAAAAGTATGTTAGGAAAGTAGTGTCTAAGAACCTACAGGCACAAAATGTTTGTCAAAAAGCACCAAAGTGAATCATCATGACAAAAGAAATGCGCCAATGGGTGAAGAAGGTATAGTAGCTCAAGCAGCAATGGTTTCATACGAAATTCGAAGTCGCTTCATTTGTTTTCTATGTACTCTGAGCATCTTATGTGCTTTCTAAGGATATCTTGGGTTCAAACACACACACCCCTCTTCCCCTTTGCCTCCACTCACATATTTACTAAAGTTTCTTTATGCAAACGAAGGACAAGAATTAAAAAAATCGAAAAATAAATAAAGAGTGCTGAAGATGCTTTATGTGACAAACACGGCATTTAAAGACTCCTATTTGAAGAAATCGCCAAAAAGCCCACCCAGGAACCGGCCCTAGCAGCAGGAGCAAAAAGGGAGGCATAGTATGAAGCTCACCGAGTCCTTTCTTTGTTTTTACAAGAAAGGTAGTACTACACCCTTTCTTATTGGGCTCCCCCTGCCGTCCACGGTGCTCCCTTCAGCACTGTACCCGGAATCGCGATCGACGTCGTCATTGTCAAAGTCAATATCGAAGTCTGGTTCCTTCTCCTCATCCTCTTCACCGTCCTCCTCGTCGCCGTCCCACGCCTTTTGCGTCGCGCCGCGCGAGTTCCAGCGCAGGGTGCGGCTGATGCTGTCGAACCACTCGGTGGGTTGCGAGAGCACAGTAGGGAAGGGGTATTGAGAGGCTGCGATGGCGACGTGGTCACCCTGGCGGAGCTCAACACGACCTTTGCCGTCAAATGCACAGTAAGCGGTGGCGCGCGACTTGAGAGGTACTGCGATCCTGAGAAGCATGCTGTCGTTGAGAAGCATGGGGCGGAAGGACAGGGTGTGAGGGCAGATGGGGGTCAGGAGAATGGCAGGGATGTCGGGGTGGACAAGGGAGCCACCTGCTGAGAGCGAGTATGCGGTGGAACCAGTGGGCGTGGAGAAGATGCAACCATCTGCTTGCACGACGGTGAGCAGGTTGTTGTCGCCGTACAGCTCCAAGTTAGAGACGTAGGGCGATGGGCCGCGGTCGATGACAAGCTCGTTGAGGACCTCAAACTGCTCAGCTTCGATGTGTTGAGGCGATCCTTGGGCAGCATTCTTCTGGTAACGGTACACGGTACAAGTGAAACGCATGCGTAGGTTCACGCGCATACCCGTTTCGCACATGATCTTGTCTAGCGCAGAGCGGTACTGTGCAAACTCAAAGTTGGTAAGGAAACCAAGACTGCCGAGCGAGAAGGACAGGATCGGGGGAACAATGCGCTGGAAGAGCCACGAAGTGAAGAGGACGGTGCCGTCTCCACCGAGCGTAAGCACAAGGTCGAAGATCTCCGGGGTTTCCCAGCAGAGATCTGGAGTCCACCAGCGAAGCATGTTCTCGTAGCGGGGGTCCTTTGCCAGCAGGGAGGGGGCATCGAAGCGCTTCGACTTGCGCAACTTGTGGTCAACGTAAACATTGACGCCCACATCCGATCCATAGCGGGAGGTGGTCATGAGCCACTCTGCCAGTTCGCGCGTAAGATATACGAGGTTGTTGTCGCGGGCCTTGGTGACGATCATAACATTGCGCACTGTCATTTTGATGGGACGGCGCTGGAGCTGCTTGGAGACCTCGCGGACACTGCATGCGGTCTGCATGAGCCTGGAGTGCGAGATTGTCTCGTCTTCGGACATCTCCTCAAGCACCTTGCCCAGGTTGACTGCCTTGTCAAACTTCTTGTGGAAAAAGCAAGGCGATGCAAGCGCTGCCATCTTACTGGCAGACATATCTCCCCCGTTCAGCTCGAGTTCGGAGATGGCCTTGGCAAGCTGCGCTTGGGTGATGCTCTTAGAGCGAGCGCTCTTGCGCGCGTCGCCAGCACCGTCCGTCGTGGCTGGATCCATGGGTTCTGCCAGAAGTGGGGGTCGGGATTGGAGTGCTTTGAGAATAGTCTGGCGGGGAATGGCCGAGTCGATGGAACAGGCGTTCTTGCGATGCTTTCGGGTGCGGTTCTCGCCAAAGGAAGGTAAGCGCGGCAAGACCGAGAGGTTTTCGATGGAGGAAGAGGTACTGATGGCAGTCGAAGATCGGTTTCGAGTATACTCGTCTGATGTCAGACTGGCTGGTTGTTGTGTTACAGCGGAGGGACCGCCGATCTCAGCGGTTGTGACGGATGCATTATACGGTGCGTCCAACGGGCAGTGGACACTGGTTTGCGGAGGTTGGGGCGATTCTGGGCGTTTGAGATTATTTAATGGTGCGTCGGCATCGACGGGTTTAAGGTCGGAGGAATTCGAGTTGGTCCGTGGCGACAGGAGTGGGTGCACCCTCGCCGGGCTGTACGGCTCCCCATTTTTGGAAGTGGCCGATAACATTGTCGCTCAACTAAGTAGTATGCCTTGTTTTTGCTGAACCGGCGCCAGTAGAATGTGTCTAACCGCCTCCGAACTTGGCAAATGAGATATTAAATTCGGCTCGTGATTTCGGCTGCCGCGGGAATGTATATATACAACGAAGGAGAAACGTAGCCAGACGATTCGGTCGAGGGAAATCGAAGTATGTGGGCGAATACAAAATAGAAAGAACAGAGGAGGCTGTCAAGTGTGCTACTGCATGGGCGTGAATCGTGTTGGTCCTGGCTGCTTGGTTGCAAGAGATGGAGATATTGACAATGGCGAAGGAAGAGTCCGGCTCAACCAATGAAAATATGAAGCGAAAAAAAGAAGAGGGGAAAAGAAGAGAGTGGAAGAAGGGCACGCGACGAGACGAGAAGCCGCGTGGGAGAAGGGCGAGCGCGCAATACAGAAAAAAAGCTGTAGTGCAGGTTGAGGCAACTATTAGGCACGATGCAAGACGTTCTATATTGATTTGACGTCTGCACAACATCGCTGCCATCGCCATTCTGAAGCAAAGCCACACCACGGTCCCACGCGCCAGCCTCAAACAAAGTTACCGTCACTATGTTGCGGCTAACCCGCCGGGTCGTTGTGACACTTCGCGCGTCACAAAACTCGTGGGGCCCCTTCGGACTTTCTACCAAACATAGAACAAGACCACACTCCAACTACAGCTTTGACACACAACCCTTTGTGCCTCAGGCGGCCCAGAATCAGCTGTGAACCTGTCTCATTAGGCACGCTCCATCAGACGGCCATGCCTCTCGACTGCCAACAATCCTTCGAGAGCGCTGAGAAAAGTTATTCGGTGAGCGAGGCCTCGCGTATGTACATGGTTGTCCCGGTTATCGGCTCATAGCGACACCCTCCGGGTTTGATCCACACTTCATCGCCATGCGTCGGGTCATTCCCATCGTGTTGTTCAGAACAAACGCTTTCAGGCAAACATGCCAGGTTGCGCTGCCGCACAACAAAGGAGTTTCTCCTTGGACGCAGTGTTCCAGATGTAGATTAGCTTACTCCTATCTATAATGGACCACCTTGATGCAGATCGACTTCTGGTACAGGGACAGTTTGGGCCAGACTGCTCACTCCTTACTAGAAGCCGAGTTTCGCAACAACTTGATCAAGCGGGAGGATACGGCATGAACCTGCTTGCCGTCAAGACCGACGGCCCACACACTTCATACACCTCACATGGCCAGTTGTGGTACATGTCGCGTATAGTAGAGAGCACAATGGGCTCATGTTTGCAGCCCGTGGTGTTGCAGCGCCCGCCCGCGGCATTTGCGTCCAGTTGCCGGCTGTCTACCTGACGCTGCGTGCTGAAACGCGTGCGTCTTACTGGCTGAACGTCGACCTGAATGCATGCACCTTTCATGTCCTGTCATTTTTCCCCAGCGCTTCTGGGGAGAGAAGACTCGATTACCGCTACACTGGCAGATGACAGTAGCCTTTTGAAGCGTTTGTGATACATACAGTCAATAAATTGCTGACGATACGTCCCTTGTGTGTCAGATAAGATTGACAAGTGAACGATGGTCATAGGGTCAAATTCAGGAGATAGTAAGAGAGATCAAAGTATGGCGCTGCAGCTAGGTATTGTATATTGTGGCCTCTTGATCAGCTCCGATGGTTGTTCTAGAGAGTCTAGCCTGTGCGCAGTGCGAAATAGTTGCTGAAATTCTGAAGACTTTTGTTTTGTGTACAGATGTGCATGACCTTGCAGTCTTCTTATAGCCATTGACATGTCGTGGTATCTAGTGAAGCCGTAACTAAAGGAAAAGTTGCAGGTGAGGCACCTATCGGAGAGCCTTGCGAGCAAAGGTGGGCAGAACAAAAGCCGCCTCGTGAATCTCCTTGCTGTAGTACCTGCACAGCGACTCCTCCTCTTCAGCAGACCAGCTACGGAGAGGCTTCTTGAGGTTGAGGTTGGCGTCCTTGCTGCAGACCATGAAGCCAATCTGGCCGGATGGGTAGGTGGGGATGGTAGTGTATGCGTACTCGACGTTAGGGAACACTTCCTTGCAAGCCTTCTTGAGGTTGACGATAAGGGGCATGTGGAGCCACTGATTCTCAGCTGCACGGTAACAACATTAGCTTCTGGCCGTGAAAAACACCTGTTAGGCACATCGAAGTCGCTGAAGAAAGGCGGACATAGATTAAGGGGTTGAGAGAGGGCTTACAACCTTGGGTGGTAATAACACCGCCTTCGCGGAGCGCTCCGTTGAGGAGTTCAAAGTATGCCTTCTGGAACAGAGCCTCAGCGGGACCCTCTGGGTCACTGGAGTCGGTGATGATGACGTCGAATTCGCCCTTCTTGTCCTCGAGGAACTTGAAGCCATCGCCAACGATGGTGGTAGTCTTGGGGTGCTCGAAACCGACGGACATGCCGGGCAGGTACTGCTTGGAGAGGCGGATGACAGCTTCGTCAATGTCACAGAGGACAGCCTCCTTGACACAGTCGTGCTTGACAACCTCACGGAGCACACCACCGTCACCACCGCCAATAACCAAGACCTTCTCGGGGTTTGGGTGGGAGTTCATGGCGAGGTGGGTGATCATCTCCTGGTAGCTATGGTGCCATCAGCCAATGTGTATGCATGCCATTGTGTACGGTGCAACATACGAGAACTCATCGCGCTCGGTGCACTGAATAACGTTATCGAGGACGAGAACGGTACCGTAGTCGGTCGATTCGAAGATGAGGACGTCCTGGTACTGGCTCTTCTCGTGGTGAAGAACTTCCTTGACCTGGAGCGTCATGGCCTGACCGGGCCACATGCCGGAAATCTCACGGAACCAGCCATCTAGGGTCATAAGTTAGCCATTGCTTCTGTGTACTACTGACGCGCGCAGCAAGCAGCTGGGTACTATCTCGCGAAAGAAAAAGTGTGCCGCCTTACCCTTGATGGTGGGGTGCTCGATGGAAGGCATTTTGTTAAGAAGAGTACGCGTAAAGGCGAGACGGGTGTGTATGAGAGGTGCGATGTGCCTGGAGTAACGAATGCGGAAAGAGATAGAGGATTGACAGAGCCACCAACGGATATGTATGGGGAGATTCAGTTTGGCCGAGTTTTGAGTTTTTCCAGTGTTTGCGTTGGTTGGGCACAATTTTCAGATCGATGCACGTCACTGGTTGCGGGCGGAACTGCCCCGCCATCCCCCACCCTCCTACTAGGTAGGTCCAGCCGCCCAAAGCCCTATTTCCCCGGTCTTCTTCTTCCATATACGTAGGCGATCGACTGTGCGCCATAATGCAGTTTGCTATTGTATCTATGGCCAGGCAGCCATGTTGCGGACCATCGGGCTGGTCACGGAGCCGACGTGATGTAGAGGGCGCCGCAAGCGCGAATGTCTGATAATGAGGGTGGTGCAGACAGGTGCAATCGACAGACATATAAAGAGAGGGATACTGGGCATTGGACAGCAAACATCAATCGCGCTGTCGTCTCCACAAACAAAATTGTCCAAATCGAAAATGTCCGAGCAAGCCGCAAACAGAAACGCCACACAGGAGGAGCGCAGTGCGGTCGAGCAGATCATTGCAACCAAAGCTTATGTTGATAATCCCGAACTACTACCGTGGTACACGAAGGATGTTGAAGAGCCCAAACCAGCCGTCAGGGACCTGTTTGAGAACTATAGCAAGGTACCGTCGCCTGACGTCGTAGCGCACATCAAGCATGTCAGGGACGAAGCTTTCAAGATAGTAAGCCGGTCTTGTTACGTATAGTAGCCTCACTAACATTTTCATGTAGTTTCCTTACCCATGTTTGGGCAACTGGGGCTTCCTCAACTTCTCGATCGGAGTAGGACCGGCTTACCAGGAAGTCGTCAGACGTATCAAGGATGGAGAGCAATTCCTCGACCTTGGTTGCTGCATGGGCCAGGACATCCGCAAGCTGGTTCATGACGGCGTCCCGTCAACAAACACCTACGCGTCGGACCTCAAAAAGACCTTTTGGGACTTGGGCTATGACATGTTCCTCGACAAGTCGACTCTAAAGACGCAGTTTCTTGAAGCCGACATTTTTGACGCCGATTCTCAATTGAAGCAGCTGGATGGCAAGATTGACATTATCAACGCAGCTGCCTTCTTCCATCTTTTCGACTGGGATGGCCAGCTCAAGGCAGCAAAACGCGTTGTTCAGCTATTGAAACCAGTGCCCAACGCTCTGATCGTTGGGCGTCAAGGAGGTCAGCCCAAATCGGGCACCTTCTCACATGTTATGAAGGATCAGACTGCTTTCTGGCACAACCCCGAGTCATGGAGGGATATGTGGAAGCAAGTTGGTGAGGAGACTGGGACTGAATGGAAGGTCGATGCTGTACTTGGTGAAGAAGATTTGTCCAAAAGAATGAAGACTAGGCTTGTGCCTGCTGGGACAAGATTCATGACATTTACCATTCGAAGAGTCTAAGACTTTGTGTACATGAGAAAAGCGAGTTACATAATATCAACCCGAATCAACACGCCACGTGACCCGCAAATTAAGCACGCTACTAATATAGACCTCTATCTTATAGTGTAGTGTAACCTTCGCCGAGGAAATAGGATGGGCACCCCGTTGCAAATCTCCTAGGGATAGACAGTTATGAAAGATGGATAAGACAGCAGGAGCTAAGGCAATCGGTAAATACATACTTGTAACACACTGCGGGATACACTGCGCAATAATTAGATATACAGATTCTGGGTGCGCTAGTGCTGATAGTCTATCAAAAAAAGAGTTGCTCACGCAAACACGGGGTCGTGGGGGAAGAAAATAATTAGTTTTGCTCTGTTCGCTATCTACTATCCTCGTTCATGTTACATAGCCATTGCTATTTCTTATTGATATAGTACATCATTGTTGCCGTTGCAGCGGCTTGTTGCTTCGGCTCAGCTAAATTCCTTGCTTCTGCGGCCTTGCGTAGCCTGCAACAGTGTTATATGACTTAACTACGGACAGACGTTAGCTTTTTAGCTATACCTAGTTATTTGTAAAGAGGCGTTATACTGAAAAGAGCGTTGATCCTAACACCCGCAGAACCACCCGTTCGGTTGTACAAACCTGTTCCACTGGCAGGAAGCGTCGTGATTGCATCGGTCATTGAAACGGCTGCAATCGTCGCCTACACCATTGCACTAATTGTCTTCAGTCAGACTTTGTGAGAGAGAAAGGGTAGCGTAGGTCTCCTGGCAACGTACCCTGGCGTCGGCTTGAGCTTGGGCTCCTGAAATGGAGATAGTGAGCGCTAAGAGGGCGGTGGCAATCTTAAAGTTCAGCATAGCGACTTGTAGTTGTAGAGATATTGGAATGGAATTTGATCCTTCTTAGAAAAGATGGCGTGCGTTCTGCGCCGTTAAATACCTAAGGACAGGGGTTTATCTAAGGACAGGGGTTGAAAAGCTAACCAACTAGTTATACTACATAATTAACGCTATGAATATTAATGATGCCGGGGTGGAACATGGTACACGTATACTCCTCGTAAAGCTGACACTCGTTACATATAATAGCTAAGCACTAGGCATAAAGCAGTTAGGAAGTAGGTCATATCCGTCACGAAGAGACAGACGTCAATAGTGGAGTAAGTAGCATAGATAGGGATAGTGGCCAAGATCGCGCTGCAATCGTGAAGCTGCGTAGTTGTCCAACTAAATCTATCCACATAAGCATGCCGAGACGTACGGTGTAATAGGGCACTTTCTCTTCTAAACCTTTAGCACTATACAAGACATACTATATAGCAGTCAGCTATATACACCCTAAGAATATAAGTACTAATAAAGTCTTTTAAGATAGTTACTAGCGATAAAAGTTAGATATTATTACTATGCTGCTGTTGAAGCTAAACCTCTGATCTTAGACGATGGAGTCAGCGTTACTTTAAGGGCGTGTGTGCTTAAGGAACTATCTCTAGGGTATACTGTAAGTGTGTTTAGTGCTGACTTATCTAATATACGTCGCGGAGGGACAAATCTTGGTGGAGGGACTACCCTACCTCTAGGTAGAGAGTATAAAACCATGTTAATAAGCTGTAATAAACGTGTTTAATTGAATAATAATCTACCTAACCTAACCTCTACCTAACTCTTGGCAACCTAACTATACACCTACCTCTACCTATTTACCGCTGTATATCATAGTTCTAGACCGATCGATACCACGGATTCTGCGCCTCCAGCAGACTCAACTCCACATCTGCTCCATCACCCACATTAGTTGCAACAATAACATCGCCATCATATTTAACCTTCAAGTGGCCCTTCCGTTTTAGAATGGCTTCCACGTCTCCAGATTCTTGTCTTTGAGACATCAAAATTGGCGCACCAAAGGCTCTTGCCGTTTCCACAGGACTCAGTGTTACATTCAATCGATCGAGACTCCACCAGTCCCACAGAAGTATTACAACAGTCACCAATCCAATAAATATAACTGTCAGAGTGGTCCCCAAATACCGAAAGTCCGCTTTGCACACAGTGGTAGAAGTGAACTTCTCCATTGTGACGTTTCGATGGAATTTGCCATTGGAGACTCTTGCGGCGTAGATCGAGGCATGAGCCATGAACTCTTGCATGGCAAAAATTACGTCCTCGGTAGGTCGAAGGTATTCGTTTGCACAACCCTCCGGGTGCGACTTAGGCGCCCAAAACGTCGTGGCAATATGGTCCGATACGACAGCGTTGATGTCCTCCAGTGTTGAAAGGGACCGGAAGAAGCCACCAATTGCATACCCGATGCCGGAAAGAGGTCCAGCCTTGGCGTCTTTCGGGGCATCTGCAAGGTCACCGCCAGAGCGATAAACAGAAATGGGTCGTGGCTCTCCGTGACCCTTGACGATCGACCATTGAAGACTGATAGAAATGTCCACCGTCGCCGCTTGGATTAAGCATTCATCGGACTCCAATACACCCTAGCAGGATTCGTTGACATTCGTAAGATATCCGGTATTGAGAAGGAGACCAGGATCGTTAGGATGTCTGGCTCGAGTGATTGAAATGTTGAAAACGCTCTGGCCAATATACTTTCGCAAATCAATCGTTCTGTTACTTCTCTCGCACTCAAACTTTATTCCGGCGCTGCGGACCATTGCCCGGCAGGTGCTATTGATAGGATAAGCGAATCCACCACAAGTGCCCCCTGTCTTCCTTGGACAAATCTTCTCCCACTCTTCGAGATCCGAAATGTGTGCGGGAATGCTGAACGCGGTCTGGTTTCGATACCAGCCTCGAAGTGCTCTAGCTCCAAGATCTCCGAGTGCCGTTGAAATCCCATACGGTTCGACCATGCCGTTCCGCTTCCCGAGATACCCATCCGGAATCTGATCAACTATTTCAATATACATTGGAATCATTTCTACCACCTCTTTTCCCTCCGTCCTTAGAGCGTTCTGTAGTAGTGGATTGTTCATAAACTTAATCGCCGCAACCAGGATGGCCACGACCGCAACTCTGCGCGTATCGTATCCTGATATTATAGCTGACCAGAAAGTAGCGCCCATGTCGCGCTCCCAGATCAGATGCAAGCTCTTCAACGTGGTACCTCGCGACGCGCTTCGCCACCAGCTGACTGTGACGCCGAACGACAAAATAGTCCCTAGACAGATGTTGACTAACGACGATATGATAGCCAGTACAACAGCAGCTGGGACCGACCATGACGTGACGGAATCGTTGTTGGCGGTGTAGATAATCAGGGCGGAGGCGATCATGGCTAGAAGGACAAGGCCGATGAGTAGGAACATCACTAGACGTGTAAATTTTCCACTTTTAGACCAGAACCGCTCTACCTTTGACCTCGATTCTCTGCCGGAAGAGTTTTCTCCAGCTTGATGTTTGGTTTTCTGCTTCTGTTCCATCTCCACGTAGATGCTATAATATGTTCTATGTGAAAGTAATCCCTAGCCACATCTCTTCATCACTCCCATACTTTAAATCCTTTTGCTGGTCAAGTGGTGGAGTATTAATGCGTAATATCCAAGGGATCTAGACTTCCTACCATCTCAAATTTGCTGCGTCCTTGGCATGAGTGAAACCTATTGCAATATACCACGCGACATAGCCCAAGCCTTCGATGCAACACGCATGATCATCATGCATTCTGGCATATTCAAGGCCAACAAACCAGTCACACAATCGTAGATGGTTCAGCTGGGCTTATTATATCGACTCCGCCACGGTAGACGGTCAACGGCTGTGTTTTGTAAGCTCCCAGCTGAAGTGGCGGAGCTCGTAGCGGTATTTTTATTGTTAAAGCTAAGGTATAAGGGCAACAAAATAGAAATACGTTAACGAATTGTTGCCTGCTGTAAGTGCGGTAAGACAAGCGTGGGCTCAGCCGCAGCGACAGTACGCACCAATTTTAATTTAAACGAAACAACAAAGATTCTCTAAAAAAAGGTTTTATGGGCTTAAAGAATATAAAAATTATATCCTCGCTTATATATTAGAGCTACTTGTAATGGGGTAGGTTATACCTACCTTATTTTAGCTAGGAGAAGAAGAGAATAACAGATAGGTACTATAAATAGATAGCAGAACCTTAACCTTCTCTATAACCTAAGTAATACAACAACTTTTGGCTCCTAGTAGTTTCATATAAGGCCTAGCCCGTAACACTACTACAGGTAACAATTACACTCTAAAGGTTAGGATTTAGAGCTACTAAAAGCTAGAATTTAAAACTATTAAAACCATAGCCTAGAGTTTTAATTAAATATCTTAAAATATAAATCGTTTTATAAAGGTATTATAAGATTAGTTTATAGTTTATTTAGTTATTACTGTAAGGGACTGCGCCGTAAATAAGGTACATAGTTATGTTCTATACCTACTATAAGAACGCTTAGTTATAAGAACTCCTCCGTACGACACGACTAACGAAGGAGTATAAAAGTAGTAGCTATCATACGACAACTTTACTTTCTTATCTTTCTTCTTCTATAGTATAGGTTAATGCAAACTCATTCGAAGGCCTCTTCGCCCATAACATATGTAACACCGTTGACTTGTTAGTGTAGGGGGTTCTATACTAAGCTATATTGAGGTGGCTAAAGGATAAATTACCCAATACGCTTTCTACAAACAAGAGAAATTAGGCAATATTGAATTAAGTGAAGATCTATTCGAAATTAGGCCAGATCGACAGGTTTAGCATCTCTACAGTACAAAACTTATGCCCTGTACCGCAGTAGGGTCAGAGGTTCGGTTTCATCAGCAATACGGTAATATCCGATTTTGTCGCCGGTAACCTTTCTCAAAGCTTCTTTAACACCTGCACTTACCATTATACACAGTGTTACACAGGGTGTAGGAGGCTGCGCTCCATGGAGCAAACGCTGGGTATACAAGAGGTTGTATTCGATAGAGAGCTAACTACTACTTACCTAATATTTACGTACTCACTAGAGAAAAGGTTATGCTAAGTGTCTAAGCGTGTCGTCTTAGCACCCGGTTTCTGTAGACAGCCCGAGATCCCGCCGAGGAGCTATCCAAAGCGCTTTTAACCCGTTACACGGGCTTTCGCTATAGACCACTATTTACAAGTATCCCTCTTGCTCTCCTCTCCGGACTCTTTCTTGATTAACTATACTATAGTTTTCCATTTTTAATCTTTCCCGTTCTAGAGATTATATCACTTCTTACATTAAAAAAATATGAACTTCGTTACTCTTATCTTTCTTATTCTCCCTGTATATGCTCTACGGCAACAGCATATTGGCTGTAGAAAAGCGGTTGGCGGGTGTATTGGCGTTAGTTCTACTAAATCAGGCTCTACACGGTGCTAATTAACAATAGATTTGCGTTGGCAAGACATGTGCGGTCACCAGAGGTCCAGCCGATATTTACTACTTTCCATGTGCCTCAGGCTCAGTATGCATCACATGTTTTTTGTCTTACGTTACATATTATTAACAAAATAATAGTGTAGTGATGACAATATTGGTGCACAATGCCAGGCGTTTGGTGACGCGCCTACTAATTGCCCGCCGTAACGTTCCTCCCTGAGTTCTGGGACGAATAAGGGGTATGTTACACGGGGTTGGTCTATACTTCTCTAGTCTTGGTCTGGGTTAAGGTGAGGTAGCTGAAGGCGGTAGTCTGTGCGATTACCTTTATAATTCGAAACTAGCAACATTGTTAATAGGATTTTGGACATTTAAAAGTTTTCTAAGACCATAAAAAGCCTCGTTAACATTCTATAGCAAAGATTTTAGTTCCCCCCGTTTCTATCGTTTTATTATAACGGCGCAGGCAAGACTAGTTAGATCAGTATCGGTAGACTGAACAGACTCTAAGATGAATGCGAATTAACACGCCACGAGACCCGCAGATTGAACCAAAAAAATCGCCAAACAAAAATATACATACGACAGCGGGGATTCGCTAGTGGTCACCCACCTAACTACTAATCCGCCGGTAAACTGCTTGTATAGGGCAGATCGGACGGGATGCCTAATTCTCAGTTTCCAATGGTCGTATGTACCATGCTGATAAAAATAACTCTATCAAGTTTGCGGCTATAATGATGTTTTGAGTGTAGTGGGACGTCGAGACGCCACTGCCACTGCCACTTCTCTCACCACACACTCAAGTCAATCAATCATGTATACAAGAGAATCTTGGAGGTGCGCAGGTGCAGAGTTCATTGCTCGCAAATGTGTATGAGAGATGAAAAGGATATGGGCTTTGCTTCTGCGAGGCTTTGCAGTTATACAAGATACTAATAAAGCTTGAATTTGGACAGTTTCTTAGGAGCCAAGCAGGATCAAGCGCTCAGACATATACTCGGACAAGTAAATATAGCTTTCGACTGGTAGTTGTTCTGCTACCATTACCCCAGACAGATTTACTGTAGTACACCAGTTCTACAAAGTCAAGGTGTGTTGGCTGGGCTGGCCAATGAGCGGCTTGTATGGTCCGAGCAATCAGCCCAAACTCAATCTGGCTTCAACACCACGATTGCATCTTCAATCGCGGGTCCATTGCTACAGCGTACCTCTGCACACCGCAATCATGGACCCTTATTCCCCAGAAGGAGGTTGGTGTTATCTTGCGCATCATACCATACTCTCATGTAACCCCCACTAACGCACCCCAGAGCTCATCAACATCCACTCGGCCTTCCACGCCGGGGCCTACCAACAAGTTCTCGACTTCGACACCTCGTCCTTTTCGGCCTCCAATGCGCTTCCCGTCCGTGTCCTAAAGCTCCGCAGCCAAATTGCTCTCGGTCAGGCAGAATCCGTCTCTAACGAACTCGCATCCGAGAAGACACCGGATCTCGTCGCAGTAAAGTTGCTGGCAGACTACGAGCAAGGCAAAGATGTTCTCAGCCAGGCAAAGAAGTTGGCGGAGCAGAGTGGACAAGAGAACCTGGCTGTGCAGCTTTGTGTGGGCATAATTCTGGAGAGGGCAGGAGAGACGGAGGCTGCGCTGGAACTCTTGAGCAAGCACCAAGGCAGCTTGGATGCGTACGGCAGCCCGAATACGCCAAATCTGGCACGAAATCGAAGCACAATGGCTGACGTATGAACAGGGTAGCGCTCATTGTCCAAATCCACCTTCAACAGAACCGCACCGATCTTGCCGCCAAGGAAGCGCAGCGCGCACGGAAATGGGCGCAGGATAGCCTGCTGGTCAACATTGCTGAGAGCTGGGTTGGCATGCGCGAGGTTCGTAACTCACTCACTCCCACCCCCACTACGTAGCCAATAGCTGTTGGGCAGAACACTAATATTAGTTTAGGGAGGCGAGAAATACCAGTCAGCATTCTACGTCTTCGAGGAACTAGCCACAACCGCGCAATCGACCTCTCCTCACTCTCTCGTCGCGCAAGCAGTGTCAGAATTACATCTCGGCCGCCTGCCCGAAGCCGAAGCCGCTCTACAACAAGCCATATCCACCAATGGCACCTCTGCCGACACAATTGCCAACCTCATTGTCCTCAATACACTACTAGGCAAGAAGGATGAAACAGAAAAGATGAAGACACAACTTCAATCCGTAGCCCCACAACACCGAGCCATAGCAGACTGGGCTAGTAAGAAGGATGAGTTTGCCAAGGCGGCGGCCAAGTACACTCCGCAGTTTGAACCTGTTTCGTAGAAGCGGGATGGAGGAGTAGAAACGAGAGCGATAGCTTACGATTGATTGATGAACAACCTGTAGGGAGATATCCAATAGATGATAAGTTAGCAATGTAAACTAGCAAACATTGACCGGGCTACTACGAATGAAAAACATATCTAGTGTATGGGTAGGCATGTATGTTGGGTACAGAGCATTGCGCCGGTGACATACATGACCAGCGGAGGTTCCTGTGGCGTAGACCTCGTGTCCTTTGCAACTCAACATTACGTCGTCTTTTACATCTACAAACACGCTACCTCGTATGGCAAAGCATTCGGAGATGCATTTCTCTCATCACCTTTGTTTTTCCAGAGTTTGTCCCCTAATCCCCATTCCCCGCCCTCTCCGGCAGCCTGTCTTTCCGGACGCCACAAAGCACACAGCCCGCACCGCATGTTACCGCATCCGAACCAGAGACCCTAGGCGCCACCTTCCCGTTAGACAACCTCCCAAGCTGCACAGACTGGGGCGGGAGTGCACAGCTCCCAAGTTGGGGGGGGGGCGGTCAGCTGGCGTGACGCCAGATGACATGCGTCTTTGCTGTCATTTGGAGGGGGAACGGGCGACGGCGCTTCTCTCACAGGAAAGATGGAAGGGTGGGTAAAGTGTGTGTGGGTGTTTGATGACAGGGAGTCCAAGCGCGCCAGGATGCATCTGATCGACGCGCCACATGGGTTTAAGCGATCGATCGTATCCAACGCACCGGATTTTGTGAGGTGTGGAAGGGGGGGGAGAGAGGGGGGAGAGGGTAGATTTTTGTATGATGCACGTGGGAAAGCGGGAAGAGGGTCTACTTAGTGTTGCTAGCACTGTGTGCAGAAACGCCTTGCTGCCACAAACACGAAAGGATGGGATTCTCCCACAGCAGAACACCCCCCCCCCATCGCTGCACTCAGGAGAACAAGGAAATTCGTATCTTGGACAATAAAATGACTCAGGGTATCGCGCATGTTGCAGCATCTGACACGTCTCGTGCCGCGACGGCATGCTGCTCGTGCAACGACAACTGTTGTGCCGCTGCCCGGGACGTGATACATCCGAGCGCCAACGTACCCCATTCCACCGCAACGATCAATCTTTGGAAACGAGCGCTAGCCTCGGGGCCTTATCCAGCCAATCCATACCGGTTGCGGTAGGATGGGGGCCGTGGTCTTAATACGTTTTGGGAACACGTCCCGGCGAGAAGGAGGTTTTGGAAGGAAAAGAGAGAAAGTGACCCGCATGGCTGGGTGTGGGCTTTTTTAGGAGGGAGGGCTTTTTTGCGTAGCGTACTTGCTGCTCGGCGGCATGATGCTTAGGGATCTCTTGTTTTTTTCCCGTCTTTTCCTTCTTTCTCTCTAACGTTGCTCACGCCGTCGGGTTGAAATGGGAGTTTTGTCTAGTCTTTTGAAAAATAAGTTGCTTTGCTATCCTACGCAGACGCAACTTGATCTAGTTTGTATCTGACCACTGGTACCATCACCTTACCGCCTTAACGCCGAAATCTCCGCTTCGCGCGCTTGCGGAACTGCCAGGTTATTGGATAGACTAAGGGAGCGACTTCGTCATGTCTGGGGTAAAGGCCGACGTCGGCAGCTCGCTCGACATACCACCATCATCTCATCCTGACAATATGGTTATCGGAGTACCGCCAGTTTTTGAGGGGTTGACAAGAGAGCTGGGCAAGATTGTGGAGCAGCCACTACTTGGTCCCAAGGCCAAGTTTCCTCCAGGTAAGAGGCCTCTCTGTAGCCATAACGCTCGAGACGTGTAATGACCTTCTATATAGCTACTTTTGGTTTTGCACATAAGGATGTATCTGGAAGGAGGAAGCCACAGGCTATTGCACATCGAGGGTACAAGGCCAAGTTCGCCGAGAATACCTTGGGCGCCTTCAAGGGTGCCGTCGAAGTCGGAGCCGATGGTCTAGAAACCGACTTACATCTAACAAGAGACGGTGTTGTAGTATTGTCCCATGTAAGCTCCCAGCTCTAGCCATATGAGATCGTGGACTGATATTCGACAGGACAAAGATCTCAAGAGATGCTTTGGCAGGGATGAAAAGATCATAGACTGTGACTATGAGTTTATAAGCAAACTGAGGACATTGAAAGAGCCGCACGAGCCGATGCCTCGCCTTTTAGATCTACTCGAGTACATGGCACAACCCGGGTTGGAGAACATCTGGGTATTACTCGACATTAAGGTTTGTAGTCGGTGCTACTTTACATAGCCGAGAGCTGACACAAGGCAGTTGGACAACGACGCAGATGATGTAATGCGCCTGATTGGTGACACAATCCGGAGTGTGCCACCCTCGCCATCACGACCATGGCAGAGCCGCATCGTTCTCGGATGCTGGGCAGCAAAATACCTCCCGCTGTGTTCACGATATCTTCCCGGCTTTCCAGTCTCCCATATTGGCTTCTCGACGCTTATTGCGTCGTACTTCTTCACAGTACCAAACGTCTCTTTCAACATGGCACAGGCTGTCCTCATGACGCCGTGGGGTAGGCTATTCATACGGAAAGCACAAAGTGATGGCCGGCCAGTGTATGCGTGGACGGTGAACGACGAGAGCCGGATGCGATGGAATATCCGGCATGGGCTGGATGGTGTGGTGACGGACGACCCAAGGCTTTTTGTGCAAGTCCGTGATTCATGGCACGAGGGTGTAAAGGACGGCGTGTCGGTGGTAACCTGGCTGGATGTGTTGCGGATCAATTTCTTTTGTCTGATTTATACCATCTTGTTCCAGTTGAGGTTTGGGTTTGAAGAAAAGTCGTTAGTCAAGATGAAGGAGGAAGAAGAGCAATGAAGCTGATGAGTCAGCATGCTGCAATACAAACATGCTGCAATTACTATTTCCTGTAGGTCTGTGGTTGCAGCGGTGATAAGTGAAGCGAGTGATATGCTCCATGTACTTTAGAGCCATGACGGCAGGGTCCAAACATTTAGCGACCCGACGCGTGGACCCCGCCGAGGGCGCGTTTGCAAGCCACGACACTGTTGACCAACACAACCATGCCCAGGTACGCCTGCAGACGCACCAGAAGAAACTGCACAAGCTGTGGCTGACTTGGACCAGGGAAATCATAACATTACAGGCTGGCCAGTGCGGCAACAGCGTAGGGCAGCAGTTTTGGCAGCAGCTCTGCCAGGAACACGGCATCAATAAAGACGGAAACCTCGAAGACTTTGCGACAGAGGGCGGCGATCGCAAGGATGTCTTCTTTTACCAATCAGACGATACGCGTTACATTCCACGCGCCATCTTGCTAGATCTCGAGCCCAGAGTGCTGCATTCCATTCAGGCGAGTCCGTACAAGAACATCTACAACCCCGAGAACTTTTATATCCACAAAGATGGCACTGGCGCGGGAAACAACTGGGGCATGGGATACAGCATGGGTGAACAGGTGCACGAGGATATTCTGGATATGATTGATCGCGAGGCCGACGGCTCAGACTCGCTCGAGGGCTTTATGATGCTACACTCAATCGCTGGTGGAACTGGCTCTGGTCTCGGATCATACATGCTCGAACGACTGAACGATCGGTTCCCCAAGAAGCTCATACAAACGTATAGTGTTTTTCCGAACACGCAAGATGGCGATATTGTGGTCCAGCCGTACAACAGTTTGCTGAGTATGAGGCGCCTGACACAGAATGCAGACTCGGTGGTAAGTGCAGATGGCACAGTTAGCAACCACGGCGCACCAGTATGCTAACTGTACAGGTTGTTCTCGACAATGGAGCCCTCACCAGGATTGCCGCCGACCGGTTACACGTCATGAACCCTTCATTTGAACAGACAAACCAGCTCGTCTCCACCGTCATGTCTGCCAGTACGACGACCCTGCGCTATCCTGGATACATGCACAATGACCTGGTCGGTATCGTCGCATCGCTCATCCCCACTCCCCGCTGCCACTTTTTGATGACGTCTTACACACCCTTCTCGGGCGAGAACGTAGAGCAGGCGAAGACCGTTCGTAAGACGACTGTCTTGGACGTCATGAGGCGCCTGCTCCAACCCAAGAACCGCATGGTCTCGACCAACCCCACCAAGAAGAGCTGCTACATGTCCATCCTGAACATTATCCAAGGCGAAGCCGATCCCTCAGATGTACGTTGTTTGATGTCTTCTCGAACCAAAAAACCCCCCTACTAACAGTGTAAAAAAAAGGTTCACAAATCCCTCATGCGCATTCGCGAACGCCGCCTCGCAACATTCATCCCCTGGGGCCCCGCCTCCATCCAAGTGGCACTCACCAAAAAATCCCCCTACGTAACTTCTTCCCACCGTGTCTCCGGCCTCATGCTCGCAAACCACACGGGCATCGCAACACTCTTCAAGCGCATCGTAGCCCAGTACTCGACCCTCCGCAAACGCAACGCCTTCCTCGAAAGCTACAAGCGCGAGGTACCCTTCAAAGACGGCCTGGGCGAATTCGACGAGGCGAAAGAGGTGGTGCAGGGCCTCATTGCCGAGTACGAAGAGGCTGAGGATGCGGATTATCTGACCAAGGAGACTGCGCCGATGGATGAGGCTGAGGATAAGAGGGCGGGCTAGGAAGTCGGCTTGGGAATGTGTGATGGAGGGGGGTTTAGGGCGTCGGCGTCATTTTTGGTGGGTGGTCATGTGTACTGTATAGTTTGAGTCTTTTTCTTCTTGGGTTATCCCTCCCTCTTCTCTCTCTCTCTCTCTCTCTCTTTCTCTGCTTGGAAGGAGGAGGAGGGGTTTTTTTTGCAGCGGCGGCGGGCGTTGGGCGGGAAATGCAAATCATGTGGAGGGGGTTGGAATTGATTCCCTATTCTCCATACGCACTTTTTTTTCCTCTCTTCAAAACAGTATTTTCTGGGACGTCAAAATGTTTGTTGTTGTTTTTTTCGTTTACAGAATGATCTCTTTGTGTGGATGAGAGAGAAAGTGAGAGAGAGAAAGCGTACTTGTTTTCGATTATTGTACATGATTTTTTTTTTACTTTACTTTAGTTACCCTTGCTTCCACGGCATCCTTTCCACACCCCTGACCCACCTCCGTCGTCTCCATTCGCCCTTTCGACTTGGCTTACTCTCTTCCCACGTCCGTCTCAGGACCTCTTTCTCTTGCTCTGTAAAATCAATGCTTCCTCCCTTTGACCCCTCCCTCTTCTTCATCTTCAGCCGCGCGCTGCCCGCCCTATCTTCCTCCGTCTCAAGAAGTTCGTAGTGCAAATCCGTGACCCATCGCTCGCCCTCGATTTCAACTTCTACGCCCGTGACACAGCGATCCTCAACCCACTCGCGGGAGAGGAGGTCGAGAGTCCATTTCTTGTCGCTCCAGCGCCAGCCCCGGGGCGGTAGTACGTCTTCGAAAAAGGGGGTGCCACGCGGTCTGTCGCCGCTTATCCGTGATGGCGACAATGGCGCATATGGCGAGGGGGAGAACATGAAGCTTTCGTATTCGCCGTACTCGTCGTGTAGCGCGCGATGTTGCAGTTCGAAGATCTCCACCTCGCGTGTCTCATACGAAGTTTCGAGCTCAATATCTGCGCGGGAAATGGAGAGTAGGAAGGAGCGACTTTCGTTTTCCACTTCAGCTACAAATTTTTCTGTTTCGGGGGTTGCAAGGAGGTCTTGGACAGTTGGGTGGCCGAGGGCTGTGACTGTGTATCCAAGCACAAGGAAGATGGCACGCCAGGGAAGGAGGTGGGCACTGATGAACAAGAGGACCGAGACGACAAGCAGGATGAGGTATATCATGGAAGAAAGGTTTTCATTGCTAAAGTTGGTAAGTGGCGTGAAGAAGCTCAGTACGGCGTCGTGTACGTTGCTGAAATCGTCCATGCAATTCTGCAAGTCACGCAAGTTGCGGAAGAAGTCCTTGCTGAACTCTGGTGCAGGCTTGATAGTCGTGGCATCCGCGAGGGGCGGTCCCCCCAGGCTTCCCCTCCACAGGTCGCCATCCACGTCCATGGCATTGCTCGTAGGCTCCGGATGTCGAGTGAGGTAGGCGGGGACCATGATGAAGAACATGCCGCATGCTAGCGGAAGGACAGGCAGTAGGTAGGGGTTTACGCATACGAAAGTCCAGACGAAGAGGAAGGACAGCGTCTGAGTAGGCTGTACCCAGGTAAAGAGACGTATGGCCCTGTTTTGGGCGATAAAGGCTACACCAATGCGCGAGTTGAAGCGACGGAAGTTGGACGACATGGTGGGGATGCTGAAGCTGGGCCGGGCGACATAGGATCGGGAGCGGCGATCTTTGATCTGGGGTGTGTTTTTGGCCGGGGTCGAGTGTGAATCCGAGGGCGGGCTGTCGGAGAGGTCCTCGGACGGAAGCACCTGTGAGAGCAATCTGGACGGGTCAGGGTCAGTCTTGTTGTCGGAATACGTTTGATGCTGATGTTGTCTGGCGAGCGTACGTACAGGTTCATCATCTTGTCACCCATCCTACTCGTCGAATCGCGGGTCATGTTGTCGCCCAGGGACTCGAGCTTGTTCATGAGCTTGCTGGCGGAGAGTCGGCGCGACGGGTGCTTGTCGGTCGTGGGGGTGCTGCTGTTTGATGCATGCTGGACTTGGACCACGGGGATGGGCGCGTCGCGGTTTGCGAGGGATTCTGCGTTGCCATGCGGCATGGTGGGCGGTTGAGATGGTGCGGACGGTGGTTGGTGCCGGGTATGTGGGCACTGCCTTGAGTGCTGGGCAGGAGCGAGGCGTGTCACATGTGACAGGGCTGGGGCGCAAGTGCAAGTGTGTGCTCGGGATTGGGGATGCTCTGCGGTTGCACCAAAGCCATCAGGGTGCCGTCATTCTCCGCGTGCTCGTCGACTGTGTGCCAGTCTCCAGGCTATCGTCGTCGTGGCTACCGTCGTCGTGGGTGTCTTTGGACGTGCAGAGTAGTTCCCAAGAGCGTGGAGTGGGGAGAGTGTGGGGGGTTGGTGTTTGGTGGCACTGCAGTGGGAGATGACGCACATGGCATGTGAGGCGTGGTGGCGGTGTTCTGGGCTGGGCTGGGCGTGTGCCGTGCCACCTTTACTCGTTGTGGTGGCTTCCCCACACCCATGGGCCCCGTGCACCTTGGCCGTCGCAATTCCTGACCGCCAGGGATACACAACGCTGCGGAGCCTCGAGGGGAACCTTGCGGCTCATAAAAGGGTCTTTGCACCTCGCACAGGAATCGGGGCGCCTGATTCAAGACAACAGGTCGGCCATGGGGAGGTGCGGTGGGCAGGGCATGTAGAGCCGAGGGGGCTGGCTGGGCATGCAGTGCATTTCCCGTCTAATATCTAATCCAGCGTATATTCATACACAAATGTTATAGTGTCAATGTGCCATGTACCATGTACCATGTGCATGTATGTGTGTGTGTATGCGTGTGTGCGCGCACACACACACACGCGCGCATACACACCCACAGTAGCTCGGGCTACCGTTGGCCGGAGCGCTGGTTTCCTGGGAGAGGGGCGTTGTTTTGATGATGGTGTGCCACTCGCTGCTCGTCCCGCCATAGACAGGCAGGCCGACAGGGGCCTCGTCAACTAGACAACCCTTGGGCCTAGTGTGGCTTTTGTGGGCTGCCGGCCCTCTTTGTGACTTTGACGACTGTCAACCATCGCTGCTGCGACGACCTTTTTCCTTGCCGTCTCTGCAGCGCGCTGTCTCTGCTGCGCCCGAGCCCATTGCTCCCCTGAGACCTTGCTCCCTCCCAAGTCGCCCTCATTACCGGCCCGCCCACCATCATCCTCACCGCTGTAGCCGGTCCCTTAGACATGTCGGCATAGTCGACCTGGGTGCCCAAGCTTGACGCTTGGAGACGACTTCGGCGCATTTCCAAGACGAGGCCTCGTCTTTGAATTTCTTTTTTTGAACCCATCCCAGATCCAGTAGCTCCTATACTGCTCGAGCTCCCTCCATCGGGCTGGGAGTGCGGACCATGTCGATGCAGCCGCGAACCACGACTAGAACCATGGCCTCCGCCTCCGCCGACGTGCCCGAACGCTCAGGGTCCACCGTGTCGGATGACTCTAGTGGCTCGTCAGGTAAGAAAAAGCACAGCCAGAATCAGCCCCAGCTGTGTCCGTCGATGATGCTAACACCTATCGTCTCCCCCCCCCCCAGAAGACCGCGTACGCAAGTTCCAAAAGACGGGCGAGCAGGGCAGCCGACTGCGCAAGACGAGCGCCTCCAATGCCCTCGGCTCCTCCTCCTCACGTCCTCTCCCCAATCCCAACATGACCACCGCTGCTGGGCGCGGCCGGGCTAGAGTCCCGCTGGGCCCCCGCGAGCGTCCTCACGACTTCTCCAAACAAAGGTAGGTACTCGACGCACGGTTGGCATGGCATCCACCGCCATGCCATAGTGCTGGTATCTTGCCTTGTATCTGCGTAGCCGGCTGACTGACGCGTGTATCGATGCAGGATGACGAGTGCAGCTACTACTACCTCTACACCCTCTTCTGCTGCTGCTCCTGCTGCTTCTGCCCAAGCACGCTCCTCCTCCTTCGTGCCCTCCCTTGGCTGCGAGCCTACCACGCGCGGTCCCCCCTCGAACCCACGCTTCAGCTTCTCCAAGCAGCTGCAGCCCGACTCTGCAAAGGAAGAGGCCCGCGATGGCCCCATTTCCTACGACTTTCTGCCTTCGGTCAACTTTGACGATTTTGCAAATAGCTTATCCTACGAGCCCACCCTGAGCGACTTCCCTGCCCCCGGCTCTTTCACCACCGCCGGTGGTCCTGCTGACAACTCCGCTTCCACCTCTCACCACCACAATAACAACAACAACAGCACCCCTAGCAACAACACCAATAATACAAACACTATCCCCACATTCACTGGCATCCCCACCGAAACACGTTCTGCACGCAGCAGCTCCTTTGCCCGCCGCTTCAGTCAATCAGCAGCTAGAAAAGCCAGCGCTGGCATGTCTGCCTCTAGCTCCAACACGCCCGCGGTGCCCCATCCCCCTAGCAACATGACGATTCGCACACGCCGTCAGAGCCAGTTCTCTTCACAAGCGCCACCCAATCCCGCTGCACGGCCACCGCGAAAGAGCGTTGGCCCTGGAATGATGCCAACGAGCAGCTTCGATCGCGATGACCTGGCCGGTATGCCAACCCTGAATAACATCACTTCTGGCGTACCAAAGCTTGCAAGCACTACGCGGAACGCAAAAGCAAAGTCTCTGCAGCCTCCTTCAAGACAGCAGTCGGGCCATCTAACTGTCTCGTCCATGACCCCAGACCCAAGCTCCATGTCTCAGGTCACCACTCGCTCACCAGGTAGAAGTGGTGCACAACGGTCGCATACACCTTCCTCGTCTGCCAACAAGCGGCAATCCACCGTACCCCACATTTCTGGCTTGGGGGCCAGGACTATCAGCCCCACGGATGCCCGGAGGCTTAGACGACTATCTATAAATCCCAACCAGCCTCCAGGAGGGCCGGTTGGACCCCCCACTCCCCAGGGCGACGCGACCTTTGATGAGCGTGCTTTTAGTCAGTCTCCGGCTATGAGGTTGGGAGGCAGTATGACACCTTCGTCGGCGCGCGCAACACCTGAGCAGAAACGCAAGTCTTATGCTTCTGGCGTTTCGCTCTCGTCTAACTCGAGCTTGAATTCGCTCAAGGTCGGCCCTCCTTCCTCAATACCGCTGCGCTCCAACCCCGCTCCGTCCAGTCTCCGCCTGCCTGCACCAAAGCCGCGAAACCAACAAAATACGGGTGGTGGAGAGCAAGAAGAGGTTCCGCCTGTACCAGCCATCCCGAAAGCTTTTGAGTCACCCAAAGATCCCGAACAAAGCACCTTTGGATTTTCAGCACAGCCATCAAAGTCAGGTGCGACTCAATCAGTGTCTCATGAACCTGTCTCAACACCAGAGGCGCAGTCAACTAGTTCTGGCCAAAACGACGCGCTAGAGTCGCCCTTTTTAAAGTCAAGCACAGGGTCTCTCAGGCACAGGAGAGGATTGACCGTTGGGAATACCCCAGAACCTGACAAGGCGGCCACGGTACAGCAGTCCAGCAAGAAGAACCTGCAGCCAATCAGGCTCCCGCCCCTTAACTTGCTACCCCTAGGCACTCCGTTGAACAATCGTATGTCGTCTCTTCCCACATCCGCAGAAGATACGGATCAGGGCAATGTCACGCCGCCGCCAAAGCGTCAAGTCACGAAGACACCTAGTACGCCCATGACAGCGTCCAAGGCCAGTTTCTTCTCGAGACACAACTACCAAGATGAATACCACAGACACCTGCGCAGCAGTAGCTCTGCATTCAACTTGCGCGCGACCGAGTCACCGCTTGATTCGCAAGCAAACATCAACATGATGCCTGTCCCGACCCTGAACCCAACAAGACAAGCCTCTACCACTCCGTTCTCATCCAACTCGCTACCAAAGGGAAGTGCTGAATTCACTCGTTTGCAGCCACGTAAAAGCGGCGAATACAAGTCTCCAGTCAAGGATGTGGAGATGCAGAGCATGGTTGCAGGTCCACGACCTCTCCAGAAGAAAAATACTTCAGAGTCAGTACAGACATCTACGTCAACAGAGCCTGAAACACCGTCATCTGCTTCTTCTTTGCGGCGCAAATTGAGCTTGAGCGGCTGGAGACGGGCATCGTCCAAAGCCGCAAATCACCCATCTCAATCCGCGCAACTCCGAAAGCCAGGGCCCAAGACCGAAGATGCGAGGCAGCAGCCGCAACCGCCGAAACACAGTGGTATGCCTCCACCCAAGATGCCTGCGTCTGCCAACTGGAATGGCGCCGCCCCTCCAAGTCCATCGCCTGCCCACGCTCGCACTCGACCATCTCTTGACTTCGGACGTCGCAAAGCCTCCAATGCAGCTATTGCGAGTGACACTGAGGCTGAAAAGGCCGCTGCTCGCAAGGCTGCAGGTAATGCTGCAAGCCGTGCTGTCTCTGGAAACACCGACCAAGCTGCTGCTCAGCCGACGCAGAAGTCTTCATCCATCTTGACTCCAATGCAACGGATGCTGGGCACAAAGAGCTCCTCAAACATGCTCAAGGCGCGTAACTTGGACCCCAACCTTGATCGAGATGACCTGTTAGCCGACGAAGAGATGAAGAAGCTTGCTTCCAAGCGCAAGGACTTTGAGCATGCTGCACGCGACGTGGATGAGCTCCGTAAGCGCGCTACGGCCAAGGAACGTGTTACCCCAGCCGATGCCGTGCGTATGGCCAACTTGAACATTTTCGAAAGAGGCGAGATTATCGACTACAAAGAGGTATATTTCTGTGGCACTAAGAATGCTAAGAAGCATGTTGGCGACCTGAACGCCCAAACAGCCAACTTTGGTTACGACGATGACCGTGGCGATTACAACATTGTCCTCGGAGATCATCTGGCTTACCGGTATGAGGTGGTCGATGTTCTAGGCAAGGGCAGTTTCGGTCAGGTTGTACGTTGCGTAGACCACAAGACGGGAGGCCTAGAAGCCATCAAGATTATTCGTAACAAGAAGCGGTTCCACCAGCAAGCGTTGGTTGAGGTTAACATTCTTCAAAAGTTACGCGAATGGGTAAGTGACCACTATCTATGCACACTGAAAGTCACTAACATTCTTCTAGGATCCTGACAACAAGCATAGCATGATCAACTTCACGCAAAGCTTCTACTTCCGCGGCCATCTATGCATCTCTACAGAACTTCTGGGTATGAACCTGTACGAGTTCATCAAAGCACATGAGTTCAAGGGCTTCTCACTACGCCTGATCCGCCGTTTCTGCAAGCAGATGTTGTCCTCTCTTGTTCTTTTGAAAGCCAAGAAGGTCATCCACTGCGACTTGAAACCCGAGAACATTCTGTTGGCCCACCCTCTGCACTCGGAGATTAAAGTTATCGATTTTGGATCCAGTTGCTTTGAATCGGAGAAGGTTTATACCTATATCCAATCTCGCTTCTACCGATCCCCTGAGGTCATTCTGGGCATGAGCTATGGTTTACCCATTGATATGTGGAGTTTGGGCTGCATTCTTGCCGAACTCTACACGGGCTACCCTATCTTCCCAGGAGAGAATGAACAAGAGCAGCTTGCTTGCATTATGGAAGTCTTCGGTCCTCCTGAGAAGCATTTGATCGAGAAGAGTAGTAGGAAGAAGTTATTCTTTGACTCGCTTGGCAAGCCGAGAGTCACGGTATCTTCCAAGGGCCGCAGACGCAGACCAAGCTCCAAGACCCTGCAGCAAGCCCTCAAGTGTGACGACGAAGCCTTCCTGGATTTCATCTCCAGATGCTTGCGGTGGGATCCTGAGCGACGAATGAAGCCTGATGAAGCGTTGCATCACGAGTTCATCACAGGGGTTCGTAAAGCTCCTCAGCAACGTCGAGCTTACAACGTTCCTACAAGCGTCTCCTCTCCTGCAAAGCGCGCGCAAGCCCCGCTGGCGGCCAATGCACGCGCTCGACCACTTCCTGAACCGCCAACGCCTAGCTTCCGGAACGGAACTGCTGCCAGTGCACAGCGCGATATATCAAATAGCCAGTCTCCAGTGAAAGCATCTGCTCCACAACGACGTCACTCTACTAATCAAGGACTTGCGCCTGGTGGCTCTGGCACTAAGCGTGCTGCAAATGGCGCTCCACTCAATACCAACACTACAAGTGGTCTGCCGCGGGCGGCGCAGCGAAGTGTATCGGGCAAGCCTGATCTCGCCTCGGCGGCGGCAATTGCAAGTCTCGTAAGCAAATCTTATTATCGGCACGGGCTTTACAGTGGCTAACAGTCTTGCAGAAATCGCGTTAATTACCTTACGAAACTGGGAAATACTCTCCTTATAGATCAATGACTGTCTCGGTGTTCTCAAGGCGCTTCTCCATTAATTTTTTTTAAAAGGGGTAATCGCCCACTGTTGCTACCAGAAAAAGAGGTTTTTGTGTGACAGTTGTGTGCAGATGTGGTTGCCAAGATTCATGTTTTTCCCATTCAGCGACGTTTATACCCCCCGAAAAAGTCTCAGCCTTGAGCATGTTTTCACCGGTGTATGATGGGCATTTTGGATAGGGATGGTCACGACGGATCCCTGATATGACGAGCATCTTAAGGCGTTTCACAAAGTAGACGTATTTAGCTAGGACTTCTAATAGTACGGGAATTGGTGGTTGATTACTCGCCAACAGTCAAGATTAGTTAATTTCTTGTCCTGCACACTCATTTGCGCGAGAAGGGAGTGGTTCATTACTCGTCATCATGGTTGTCATGAAGATTAATTTGCGTAAGATTACAACTCATTCAGGGGCTCACTGCTACTATGGATAGCACCTGAGGCTAGATTGTCGTGGAGACGTAGATCATCTGGTGATGTCAGCGCGTTATCGATAAGCGCTGTCGCGAATTTGACAATCGGCAGACGATTGCGCCACAGGTTCTGCTCGGCAACCACCCCTCGTTGATACCCCACCATTTGTTTCCTCTGGGTGTGTTATACATCATGCCACGCGATCCGCTCATAGGTCTTGTAGGCAAGCCTTCGTCTGGCAAGTCGACCACTCTAAATAGGTGCGCAAATGCCCCTCCACGCCCCCTCCTCCGTCATGGGACCTTTTCTAAGATTTGTTTTACGGCAGCTTGACAGATGCTACCTCCAAAGTCGGTCGGTAATCGCAAAATGTCAATGTGGGAGACTTGTTAGGCTGATAAGAAGTAGGCAACTTTCCGTAAGTCTTATTTCATGCTACATGGACGCTCTTGTAGCATGATACCCTGACAGACTTGGTTTAGATTCACCACAATCGACCCTCAACGCGCGATCGGATATCTTCAAATATCATGCCCATGCGCTCGTCTCAACGTCTCTGAACGATGCAAACCCAACTATGGATCTTGTAATGAGGGAAGGCGATCAGTGCCCATAGAACTACTTGACGTCGCTGGGCTCGTTCCTGGTGCGCATATGGGCAAAGGTCTGGGAAACAGGTTCTTGGATGACCTGCGACATGCCGATGCGCTAGTGCACGTGGTCGATGTCAGTGGGACGACAGATGCCGAGGGCAAGGCAACAAGAGGGTACGACCCAAGTCAGGATATCGTATGGTTGAGAAGTGAAATCGTGCGATGGATTCAAGGCAATCTAATGGAGAAGTGGGGCAGCATCAAGAGGAGGCATGTGGCTGTCAAGGCGACGGCTGTCGAAACACTGCAAAACCAGTTCTCAGGTTATGGGTCGACATCGAGCGTGGTGGCGCGCTGTCTCGACCGGCTTGCTCTAAAAGAGCCTCTTCAGGACTGGTCTGACGAAACTATTGAGCGTGTGGTGAACGCTTTTACCGACGAAAAGTTCCCCACGGTCATCGCCCTCAACAAAATCGACCACCCGGATGCCGATAAGAACATTGCAAAAATCGCAAAGGTGCAAGACCCGAAAAGCATAGTCCTCTGCAGCGCAATATCAGAGGTCTTCTTAAGGAAGTTGGCGAAACAGGGCTTTGTCAAATATACAGAGGGCAGCGAGTTTGTCGATACAAGAGAAGATTTGATTGAGCAAGGTGATCCGGACGGTGGCGGATTGAAGGAACTTGACGAGAAACTCAAGACGCGAATCGAAAATCTCAAAGACATGGTTCTATATCGCTTTGGCAGCACGGGTGTTGTGCAAGTGCTATCGAGAGCAGCTGAGCTACTTGGATTGGTTCCCGTTTTCCCTGTCAGGAATATCCACACATACACGAGTGGATCAGCGAGTTCGACGGCGGTGTTCCGCGACTGTGTGTTGGTCAAGAAGGGAAGCACGGTGGGTGATGTGTACAGGAAGGTCATGGGCGATGCACCCATGGCCTACGTAGAAACTGAGGGCGGGAGGAGAGTTGCAGAGGACGATATTGTCGCCGTGGGGAAGAATGATGTGAGTTTCTTCAACTTCTTTCACGCTAGGCATCCCTGTGGTGGTGTACTGACATACAATAGATTCTCAGCTTCAAAGTTGGACGCGCATAGTCAAGCTGCTTTCGATAGTCACTAGGGGCATGAATACTTTTTTTTCCGGTGAGTATAGCTGCACGCCCAGCAAATAGCTGTGGCTCTTGGTTATCGCCTTGCAGTAGTGGTTAGGCAATCGCACGATCGATTCTCCAAACTTAGGTCCATGTGCGTTGGCCTGCGCGATTTCCTGGTGATGACTTGTCTTTGCGGTCTCCATAGCAGTGCATATGTATGTGCCTGGCCATGGTGCAGTGTATATGCGGTTCCTGATCTGCAACCTTAGCCTACTGCAACAGCAGCTGCAGCAGCTGCACTAGCGTCGGCGAATAGACGGAGACGAAATAATAGCCACGCCAAGGCTGATTGCAGCATCTAGTACGATAAGATTCACAGTCTGTAGTGTGTGCCCATCGAAAGAGGCAAAGAAGGGCCGCCGTCGAATACGCATGCAGCATGTCACTCTTTGCTCACCTCATGGATTTAGCCGTGCTTCCCACCCCCTCCTGGAACGGCGCAATCGCCGATTTCCGTGGAGAACGGGTATGCAGGGCTCACACGGCCTAGCGTGGTCGACTTGAAAACTAGTAGGCGGCCGTCGGCCAGCCGCGCTACCTCCACTTGTAGTAGAACCACTGAATCCGTGTGTGAATTGATTGCTAATGTCTCCCCCCAAGGTGGCGCCCACGCAACGAGATTGCGGGGAGTATTCGGAGCGAGAAATTCTCTTGATGAGCAATTACTGAGCATCGCGTGCTTCTGTCTAGTTCTAGACGGCCCCTCTCCCAACCCTCCCTTTCACCCATTAGGTGCTCGCTCGCTGCCCGCGGCCGAAAGGGCAAATATAATGCTTGTTTGCTCTCACGCCACATTCGCCCTTTTTGCACCACTTTCTGCTACATGCTGTGTCTTATAGCTGTAGCGCCCTGACTGACCTCGTTAGTTTGAACGTCCTAGTCGGTACAGGGTTCTTCCCTTGAACTCAAAAAAAATACCAGTCTGGAAGCCTTAGGTCCCTTACTTCCGAAATCCTCCACCGAAGCCGGGCTGGCATTTCCTTTCGTCCACACGCGACCTCTTAATCACGCCATCTCTCTATTCTCCCAGCCCTCTTGTTCTCTAGGTTCTCTCTCTCTCTCTCTCTCTCTCTTGTTATGAATCCGGTATAGGCTTCTTGCTTTTTTAGCTTGTATCTGGGGTAAACGCTTTCGTGGCAATAATCGTTTTAGGGGTCCACTTCGTCCAGCCTTGTTAGAGCCTCCGACGTCAACCTCCGAATTTAGGACCTGCCTTTTGACCACCAACTTCCAAAAGTACAACCTCGAGAACTCCTTTACCCACACAATACCGACAAAATGCTTCCACAACTACCAAAATTGAGTGACTACGAGGTCTCGGCTCGGAATGGCTTCTTGCCTGATGAGGTACCGCTCGACATCTTACCCGATCGCTACTACCAACCTTGGGAGACCGTCGTACGCAACTTCCAGAGCTTGATACTCGCCAAGCGACTCCGCCGGATAGTGGATGCGCTACCTGTTCTCGAGACTGACCTTCTTCTCACTGAAGCCGAATGGCGGCGAGCATATTCTATTCTTAGCTTCATTGCGCATGGATACATTTGGGGAGGTGACAAGCCGGCCGATGTAAGTTTTGGCAGTCTCAATGTTACAAAAGTTGCGCACAACTAATAGAAATACATAGATTGTACCTCCATCCATTTCGATACCGTTTCTCCAAACATGCAAGCATCTAGAGCTACCACCAGTCGCTACTTTTGCAGCCGTCTGTCTGTGGAACTGGCGGCCACTGTTCGATGGTGAGCCTACAGACACTCTGGACAATCTTGCGACACAGATGACCTTTACCGGTTCGCTGGACGAATCATGGTTCTATCTCGTCTCAGTGGCAATTGAAGCCAGAGCCGGCCCAATCATTCCGATGATGATTGAAGCTATTGCAGCAGCTAGACGCAACGACAGCGACACTGTGGCAGAGTGCCTGAGGTCATTTTCAGAAAGGCTAGACGAAATTGGCTCACTTCTCGAGCGCATGTACGAAAGTTGCGATCCTCACGTATTCTATCACCGAATCCGACCGTTCCTCGCAGGAAGCAAGAACATGGGAGATGCCGGACTTCCAAACGGAGTCATGTTCGACGACGGTACTGGTCAACAGCCCTATGTGCAGTTCAGTGGTGGCAGTAATGCGCAAAGCTCCATCATCCAGTTCTTCGATGTAGTCCTCGGCGTCGAGCACCGGCCCACTGGCGAGAAGCGAACAGAGCCAGGGAGCCCAGCCCCAGTCGGACCGTCTCATGGCTTCATCCAAGACATGCGCAACTACATGCCCGGCCCCCATCGCAGATTCCTCGAGCACATGGAGAGCATCGCCAACATCCGCGAATACGTCACATCGAACCGGAGAAACCGTGCTTTAACGACAGCGTACGATGCGTGCTTGGCTATGCTGCGGACTCTACGGGACAAGCACATCCAGCTCGTGTCTCGCTACATCATTATCAAGTCTCGCGAGTCGCGATCGCATTCTCGGTCTCTGTCGCCCAAACAAGCGACGACTCAGCGCGTCAATCTTGCTAATACCATGGCTCGGACTGGTAGCAAGAAACTTCGCGGTACAGGCGGTACGGCTCTGATTCCATTTCTCAAGCAAGCAAGAGATGAGACTGGTGAGCCGGCAATCGATGCCTGGGCTAAGCGACTGCTCAACAATGGGCCGGCGGAGTTTGGCACGCCGTCTGGTGGTGCTTTCGATGGCGTTGTACGGCTGGGCAAGGTGGCAGAAGGGTTTGGTGGAGAGGTCGAGGTCGTGGGTCTTGCTGGGACGTGGAGTGTTGATGATAGTGAAGGAGGTATCTGCCATTGGTAAATGATGATGGGTGGGGGATAAGACAATGATGATCCTGTCAAAAACAAAAAGCTTTTTTTCTCTCTCTTCTAGCGTTTGTTTGAGGGGTTCTTGGGGCTTGTGGAATCAGCCTTGGGGATATTGATATCCAATTCAACTTCTTAGTTATTTGCGAGACAGAGCAATAATAAATATATTAACATCTTAAGCCGTTACTGTTCTTTTTGTTTGCTATCCTTGTCACCTACAAAACCTTGATCTGGGAACATACACTTTTGCCCAACCTTTGGAATTAACTGCGAAATCAACATCTTAACGCCTATCGTGATGGTGTGTGTATGTGCACTAGAAGAGAGAGAGAGAGTGTGTGTGTGTGTGTGTGTTACAAACCTGCAAGCTGATTACAAGCATCACCACCCTATTGCATCACACCCTCATCCTCCGCAGTACCACGAATTTACACCCCAGAAAATTTCTCAAGGGATGCCACATGTCTCTCTCTCGCTCCCCCTCCCCACTCCGGCAGGGTAAGTGCCACTGTCGTCAGAGCTGTTGCTGCTGCTGCTGCAGGGTGCCTTTTTTTTGCAGGGCGCGTGGGTTGGCGATTTGCGATCGTATTGCAAGTGGGGGGCTGTGACGTCATACTTCACATGCGGGCCCCTTCGTCGCGGTCTTTGCAAACAAGTGGAAGGAGGGGGGGATATATAAAGCCCTTCAGCCTGGAAGATACGTAGGATATATACCTTAGTTGCAAAATCAAAAAAAAACATAACTCTTGAACGCTTTTCAAACCTACCATCACCTGAGAAAGATCAAGTAAATCATGTCGACCAACGAAACTTCAACCGGCCAGTCCTACCTGGACAAGGCTGTAGGCGCCGTTCAGAGCGGTATTGGGTCGCTGACTGGTAACACTGCGGACAAGGTAAGTTCATCCCCATCCAACTTACTCTGCACACAGAAGAGAAAAAAACTCTACCCTCCAATCCTAACACATGCATCCTAGACCCAAGGCGAAGCCCGCAAAGACCTCGCAGACTCAAAACACAACCTCTCGCACACAGCTGCAAAAGCCGGCCCCTTCACCGCCACCCCCGAAGGCGGCATCGCCCAAGACTCACCCGACCGCACCAGCGGCGCCTGGAACCAAAACGTCGGCGCCGCCAAAGAAGCGCTTGGCGGGTTCCTCGGCGCAGAGGGGCTCAAGCAAGAAGGCATTCGCCAGAATAAAGAGGGCAAAGGACAGGAAGCTGCAGGTCAGGTTAATGATCTCGGAAAGGGAATTGGGGATCGTGTGGGGGGCAATATTGGGGCTGCGGTTGCGGGATTGACGGGGAATGAGGCGCAGAAGGAGGAGGCGAGACGGCAGCACGATGAGGGCAAGGCGAGGCAGAGAGGGGTCGAGGCGGATTTGCAGAAGCAGGCCGAGGCGGAGCGGGCGTGAGGAGCGGCGAGGCTTAGGAGTTTGAGATTTATTTTTATACCCTGGAGAGATGTGTTTGAATATACCCCCCCTGATTGAATTCTGTTTTTTTGTTTGAGTGTCGATTTGAGGTGTGGTGATTTTTTTTGGTGCTGTTCAAGGCTTCTCGTGGGGGTATATGTATAGTCTGCAGATTTCGCGTTTTGGTTGCGTTGTATTTGGCTGTACGGCTGGAAAACACGTACTACGATGTTTACCGATTTTATCGTGTAGCCCTTTCTCAGATCGTTGTGCATGCGAGGTCTGTGGATAAGGCGGAGCTCTCGTACTTTGATCGCATTGTAGGTTGACTATACGGTTGGGAAGTACGTGTCATGCTTGTTAGTCTGATCGTGCAGCTCTTTTCTAGCAGCTCTTGGTGTGTGTGTGAATGCTGTAGATGAGGCGGAGTCTTCGCAGTTCGGTCGCATCGTATTTGGTTATACGACTAGAAAACAGGTACAACGATATTTACCAATCTTATTATATAGCCCTTTCCAAGCACCTCATAGTGCGTATGAAGTATAGAAACGCGGCAGAAGCTTCGCATCTCGGTCGCATTGTAGCTGACTATACGACTAGAAAAAATACGTGTCATGCGTTTGATCTTATCGTTCGGCCTTTCCCAGTAAATCATCGTCTCGATAATAAATTGCAGGTCAGATTCAATTACCAGCAAGCTTTGGGAGAAGATTGACAATGCGCCAAGACAGTCCGGCTGTGATGTTTTGCTCATGCAGCATGCTTGCATCGGTACATATAGTTAGTATGTCAATGACGAACAGGGTGATCATTCAAGGCATGAGAAAAAACCAGCCACAACCACGTTACGCCTTGGAATTCAAAACCTGGCGGCGGCTGCCCCCAAGACATTTGCCGAGCAGCCCGAGATTTCCCCAGAGTTTTTCTAGCCACAGACCCACTATGAATACATAGAACGACACTGCCACATGTTGAGGCGTTGGACATGACGATTAGTTGGCCATGGGAAATGAGATCGACAAGCAAACGTTGTCATAGGCGCTTGCGTATCTACTGTGGCGCGTGCACGGTTGTGGCTTGTGCATGATTGTGGCTCGCGAATTCGCATGAGTGTGGCTTAGCGAGTCAAGTTAGTAAGAGTTTTTTTTGATGCGTATGACAACGGAAGAGCTTCGGGATGACGCCGGGGATACTAGTTGTTAATATGCGGATAAGCGGTTCTGGATTCGTCCGTGGTGAGGGTTACTATGCATGCGGCTTTTTGTGCTTACTGTACATACCCAAGTCGCTGGGTGTTTGTGCAAGTAAGTAGAAGTGCGCCTACTGTTTGCCGTGCTCTCCGTTTTCAGCATGGCATGCGTCACTCAGGAGAGAGCGGCTCTTCCAAGTGAGCCCTGAGAGTGTGGAAGCGCTGTGGTGGGCCAGCCTTGGGATGGCTTGGAACCTTGGTCTGGAATCGGATGTGTCGGACGTATGACGCCAGCCACAGTGGTGGGCGCGTGTGTTGGTTGTGGCGCCAAAAACCGGCGGCGGGTGCACGGCATCAGTCATATCCCTGCCACCCTCATCTGTTACGTCATGCTTGTGTGGTCATGGGCCTCCTCCCATCAGTCTTCCATAAATACTCCGTTGCATGCCACTATTGCTTGCGCATTCTACCACACCCTCAAGTTACATCCAAGTTACTTGTACAGCCCTTGAACACCACCAAACAACCACTTCTTCTTACCGAGAAACCCACCAACAACCACTACCATGCCTTTCACCGCTAGGTATGTTCAGCCTTAGCCACTGCGCGCTCTCTCCGTTTCTTCTGGAAACACAATGCTAACTAGACACCAGCGACATTTGCAAGATCCTTCTTGCCATCATCCTCCCACCTGTCGGTGTCTTCCTTGAGCGCGGCTGCGGCGCCGACTTCCTCATCAACATCCTGTTGACCATCCTGGGTTACATTCCGGTGAGTTCCGCTGACCCAATACATTAGCCGATTGCAATGCAGCTAACGGAGTCAACCCAGGGTATCATCCACGCCCTCTACATTATATTCAAATTCTAGCCGGGCCGCGGACGAATGTTTACGACGCCGCATTAACGGTTATGACTTTGTTGTCAAATCATCACGATACCCATCTTTTCCTCTTTTGTTTAGCACCACCACTACCACTACCACCAAAGTCTCAGCCACCTCCGCTCGGCTTGTAAATATCTTTCGATGCATCCATGCTGGGACCTCCTACTCGACATGGAGTTAGTCGGATGACGCGGACCGAGATGGCAGCGCACCGGTTGGGCTTTGAGCATACAATAATGACCTGCTTTCTATCACGGCACCCTTTATTTCCTGGGTTACTTTTTGGTTTGCTTATGGTGCATCCAGGAGCATTCCGAGGAGCGTAGCATAATAGGAATTTAATTGGGCTCTTTACAAACTTTGCATGTGCTGTATTGATTTTGTATGTGAATCGTGACTGAATGGATCATTGCAGTATTTAACGTTGCAACTAAAGTATGGCCCACATCTAGAATTGGTCAACACTCGTGACAACAGGTGTTTGCGCAGTGTAAACTAATTATTTACCTCCAACACATTGCTTTTTTTTAAAGCCCGATGACTATCATTCAATAATTGACGGCCAAATGTCACGCGTACAAATTGACTCCTCTGCGTATGGCTAGTCTTGCGGGCGGAGCACGATGCTTGGCACGTGCCACTCGTTCTTTCCAAGGTTACGTGTTGTGCAGCATCACCAATACTACCACCACCACCCATGGCCATGACACCTTGCCCATTTCGAACCTATGTATTCCCTTCAGCGATCGACGTCTTACTCGCAGCATTCCTATCCCCCGAAGCGCAAGCCGCGATATAAATGCCGCCCGATATGAGCTATCTCACTGCTACCCTTACTCATGCAGAAATCAACCTTATCAGCAATCCAAACAAACCGAGCTATGAGACGATTCGCGACTTAGACGTAGCTTCCCAATCGATACGAGGCAATGCAGACCAGTTTGAGGAATCACTGAGGATCAAGAACACGCTCGATGCATTCGCACGTAGAGCTGCCGTCGAGCCGAGTCTGGAAGTGCTCGCGGCCATTCTGAGCTGCGAGTACAAACTCTGGAAGATGAATGAGGGCATACCAATGCGATTGAAGCCTTTTTTATCGCATTGGATTGAATCGCTTATGGTCATTGATGGGGAACTCGCTGCGCTGCAACTGTACACGGACACGGATAGTCACATGAAGAATACGGTCACGACGGATGAGATTTTGCGTATCAGAGCAAGATGTATCAAAGGTTTGCTGGTGGACAAGCCACTACCTCCAAAGGAACCAACCTGGCGCGCATACCAGCGAATGCTCGAGAATGAGGTTGCGCTGCCAGACTTCGACATCGTACCATATATGCAGATGCTTGTGGAGACACAGATCTGGGACAGGTTACCGGATGCGCAGGCACAAACTGTGGAAAACCATGCGCAGAATAGGACGGAAAAGAATGGATTGCGCAAGGCCAAGGCACAGGGAGTCAATGGCTCGGAGTCTTGGGAAGGGGGTATGCTGCGAAAGCTCAGGGATGCACCCGACGTAGCCGCCGATGAACTTGCACGTCTCCCTCTTGAAATTTCGTCGCTCGATTTTCTTACCAGACTCCTTGTCGATGATACCTTCAAGCAGTTCGATGTCGACGGTCCGAACATCATCCTCCGGTTCATACAGCACGCATTGCGGCTCGTAGAGGCGATGGAGGCGCCTCCGCCGACTTCGGAGCTGACGACAAACGGTATACCAATCGTCGAATACGGAAAGGAAGCGCAGACCCGTGCTGTCAGCATCCTGTTGTTGTTCATCAAAAATTCTATGAGCAAGGGCAAGTTGGATGCTGGAATGCTCATCTTTGAGATTCAGGAGATATGCATCAGGTACCTGTGGATGAAGGAGGTACGCGAGTTCCGGGCTTGGATAGAGCAAGGGCCTTGGGATGATTGAAAGATGTGTGATACGAAATCGGTTGACAAGAAGATCGAAACAGGACAAACTAGAGCTACGACTTGGTACATCGCTCGTATTGTTGGCTATCATGCTAAGAAGGCGGTGTGTTGAAACAGTGTATCACAACGTTTGCTACGTGGTGAAGCTGCTACGAGAGTACGAGAGTCTCGCAAACGTCTATGGAAATTGCAGTGTTCTTCCAGAAAACGCAGAGTTAATCCGCATATCTTCTCTGTCATCATTGACGCGGATAGCGAAACGCCAGAGCAGGCCATGACACGGCATTACAGAATCCAGAAACTGTGGCTTGCTGCATGATATCTCACCGCTGTACTTGTCGAAGCTGCCATCGTCAACCTTGCTCACATGGAAGAGTGCTTTCCGGAGTATGAGTGACACGTTGAAACCGTGTTGTTGCCATATTCGGGGGGTGGCTTTGAATGTTTCGGAAATAATTGGGGTTGGCAGTCACTGTTCCGCGAAAAAGCAAACTACGCTAGTCCACGACCGAGTCCAAACTTTAGAGTTTCAACCCTCATCACTGAAACAACCATTAACTTTATTGCAGCGCCGGCTCCGCAGCCAACCGTTCAGCACCGGAAGACCCTGAGTAGGTGTTGCTTCTTGCGGGATATTATCATCTTGGCTTTGTCAGTGTATACTCTTGGGGCTTTTGAACGGACCTTGGAAGACCGGATATTCTTACGATACAGTAACTGGACCTCAAGAGGAAGGCTGTATACATCGAAACTTCGTTCCGGCATATGTGTTTGAATCGCCAAGTCTGGTACAAAACAGGCCTGGGGTGATACGAATATGCGGATTATGCTTCTCAGATGCCAAACATCAATGCATTCGGTACCGAGGTAACACGACTACCTCTGATCGTCTGCCTGGATACGGGACATGCTTGCCATGATCTTCTGGAGAAGATCGTCCCGCAGTGGAGTATCTCTTCGGACGCTTGACTGTAGTGGAATAACCCGCGCCCATCGTTCGACCTACACCGTCTCAGTTCACAGTCCAGCGTCTGTGCCCCGGGTATCACGACCTCAGTCCGACCCCATTACCGTTTTGAGGCACGGCACCAAGTGTGGATTCGATTTTCCCGTCCAACAAACAGCGCCTAGGTGCACCGGAAACTAGGATGGGGCCTCCCGAAGTGCTTGTGTGTAGCTAAGCTTCTAGGCATTGACGCCATTACTGTTTTACACAGCAGAAGGGCAAGAGAGGTAGAGAATCAAAGTGTATATAAGACACTGGGTATCTGCCCCCCCAAATCAAAATCATCATCATTCAAACCATTAAACCAACCAGACTCGCTTTCTTCTTCTTTATTAATTCTCTCTTATCCATTCCATCCTTCTAATTTCTACTTGCGCCGGACGCTTGCTCTATTCACCCTCTTATTACGCTCAACAAAATCATTCTATTATATCTCTCTTAAGAATCACTCTTGTAAATACCCCCTTAGCCGGCCTTACATATCACCACCATCAAGATGCGTTACTCCCTCGTCTTCACTGCTGCCCTCGCAGCCTCCGTCCAGGCCCACGGTGTCATTACCCAGGTCCAGGGTGCCAACGGTGTCAACATGCCCGGTCTCTCCGTCGCTGATGGCACTCCTCGTGACTCTGGTAACCCGCTTTCTGGTTCCGAGGCTGATACTTCCATCATCCGTGCTAAGGAGATGGGTGGCAAGGCGTCTGCTCTTGGACGTACCGCTTCCGGTCCTGTAGATGCTGGTGCGGCTATTGCTAAGTTCATGGGTACTGGTGCTGCTGGTGCCGGTGCTGCTGGCGCTGCTGGTGCTGCCGGTGCTAAGGCTGCCGGTGCCAACGCTGCCGGTGCCAATGCCGCTGGTGCAGGTGCTGCAAAGGGAGCAGGTGCTGCCGCTGCTGGCGGTGCCGGTGGCGCTGCTGGAGGTCTCGGTGCTCTCCTCGGTGGCCTCGGTGGCAACAAGCGTGGTCTCCTCGATGCCCTCACCGGCGGCGCTGGTGGCGCTGGCGGTGCCGGTGCAGGCACCAAGACCCCCAAGGGCACCACCGAGCAGGGTGTCGCTGCCGCTGCCGGCTCCGGTGCGTCCACTGGTCTCCCCACCACTGCCGACGACGGTACCATCACCATGACCTTCCACCAAGTCAACCAGGACGGTGCTGGTCCCCTCACTGCCCAGATCGATGCTACCTCCGGCGGTACCGACCCCGCTGCCTTCCAGGACGCCCAGGTCACCCAGAACGTTCCCGGTATCGGTATCGGAGGTCTGTCCGCTGCTTCCACCACCGACTTCCCTGTCAAGGTCCAGATGCCCGCTGGCATGACCTGCCAGGGTACCGCCGGTGGCGCCAGCAACGTCTGCGTCGTCCGCATGCAAAACGCAGCTCTCGCTGGTCCCTTTGGTGGCTCCGCTGCCTTCACCCAGAGCGCTGCGGCCAAGAAGAGGGCTATCGAGTACAACCTCCGCAAGCGCCACATGGCCCGTGGTATCCTCGGAAAGCCTGAGTAAGCTTGTCAATTACTCAATTTGATGAATGAAGAGGTGGTGTGTATTGGAGAGAAAGAGAAAGAGATGGATTTTAATATAATGGGAAGAGGATGGGGTAGAGGACGGGGAACAGAAGAAGAGATGAAAGAAGAAAAAGAGATGGAATGATCAATCCTCTGGTGTGAATCTTTGCTGTGCAATATTCACTATCAAGATGGATCAGGTAATTGGTTGTGGTGCATGATTTTCCTACTCTTTTATTTACATCGAGACCCTCCCGGTCTTTGGTGTTTATAACTGACCTATCATACACTCATTTCTTTTTACTTGAGTTGATTGTTTCGTATGATATCTCTCTTTTTTAGTCTCTTTTCCTTTGTTTCTTTGTTTGGAATTAATTGGAGGGATGGATGGATGGGAGGAAGGGAAAGTTGTAGGAAGGGGGTAGCTGCCTTGGTGGGTTTCTCTGGGCTGCCCCTGGCCGCTGAATACCGTTTTTTAATAAGAGAGAAGCAATTGTATATAGAAGAATGAATAGTGAGTCTGGTTTAAAAATCTTTGCCCTCTTTTGGTTGTGTGATGTTGGTTGTGTGTGTGAATGAGTGGAAGTAGAGGGGTGGCCTTTAGGTAAGAGGAGGATCTAAATTAAGGACCTGGGTGAGGTTAGTGGAAGTTTTGGGTTCCTGAGAAATTTGGGTGTGGGTAAGAGAAGAGGCCTTGTGCAAGATTTCGCTAGATGAAGTCTGATTACGCATCAGAGATATATTGGAGTTTGATCATTACTCAACACTCTACAAGTTTGAATCTGACGTGAATACATGTACCGTTCAAACAGGGCATTTTGTGGGTAACCCATAGTGTTCGTCACTGTGTTGACAGGAGCAGATGATCTTTCAGGAACGAGTTGTCACAAATCTATGCAAAGCAGGTCTAGGTAATGCAGATCAAGTCACCTGTGGACGTCTTTTTGCTCCTTGTCGTGTCTTCCACCGCAGATAATTATTGTGAATTTGGTTTGATGCAGGTTAGCCAAAAGCTGCAGATATTATTGATAAATCTGTGGGTGCTTATGATACTGTTACTGATGCCTTGTTTTGTCAGAACAGGCATGCGAGAGGTATTATCTGTCAACGGTACAGAAGTACTGTAGTATACTACTTCTGTTGCAAGGTAGGTGCTAGGCATCTCATAGTAATATAAACGTAGCACATGATACAGCAAATAAAAACATGCAGTCATATATGAGATTTACTTGATGGATATTTCACAGTCCTTTTGAAGTGGGGACTGAGCAAAGTGGTGCAGTGTTCGTAGTCAGATATTTTAAAATCCCGCAAATGTTGCTCCGCCCAACACTTCTTGGACAGGCAAGATGATCAATCTCGAAATGGACTGACAGGCATAATCCGGTGCAACCGTCAGATGATGACTGGCAAGAAAATGCCACTGCGTCGTCTATCGCGGTATGTGATATCAAAAGGGGAATAAGACCGCAGGAAGATGAGCGCAACCAAATGTCATGGCCGTTGAATCCGGCACCGTGCATTTGTCGATCGGAGGAAGCAAAGCCAGTGAGTGCTACACACATGCCTCTCCATGCGTCTTCCTTGCTCATCTTATAGCATCCTTGGAGCCCAACAAAGGCCAAATTGTCAGCACCACCGCATCTCATCATCATCAAACGCATACTCTTTCCCCACAATTAACAAAGAATGAATAAGAAAACTTTGCGACGTATATGAGGTGTGTGGTTAAGATCAACTTGCTATAATGATTAGACGGCCCTTCTTTGCTCGCCTAAGCGGTCCGATTGTGAAGGGCCGACCACAATGACCCGTCTTGAAATTTGACTGTGGCAGGTCGCGTTTGACGTCAGATGGTATGGGGGAATGTGCAAGAGATCGAAGATGACCTGTGGCATGATAAATTCTAGCAGGTTGTTGTTGACTTTTCAAGGAATATAGCCGGAGCATGGGGCTGGGGTGGCTGGCGTTCCGGCCCACTTGATTTGCTGCTTCTGGTAGGTACCTAGGTCTCATACCATGTTGCCAGAGATCAGGTCTTGCTCGCGACATTATTGATTTCGATCTTGATTTCTTGAGCATGAAGTCGAAAAAGAGAGGCTGTGCACTCCGCAGCCGAGGTAAGCTTATGCGAAAATGCGTGTTCACACTCTCTCTAGCTTTTCTGCGTAATAGGCTCGGCAATTGCAGAAATCTCACCTCAACAACTCGACTTGGTGATATTCATCTATACAGAGCATGCCACGAGCTGCGCCAAGTTCCAGTATTCAATGTAAAGGACTACCTACTTGAGTCCTGGTAGTGAGAGGTGATGAGCGTCGCGGGGATTGTGACCGGACCAACCAGGCCAGGGTGCACTGTGTGCCGATAAAATGTAGATGAGCCGCTATGCAACTAATCGATGCCCCGGCGGATACCGAGAGCGTATCCATGTGCATGCCGCGCTGCGTACGCAAGCAGTTTCAGAGGACAATGAGGTGTAGGTGTACCACAATGTCTTGCAGATCTTGTAATGAGGAGCACTGCTGTGCATTGGTCAGGGATGTAGGCCGTTGGATGGGACACCATGTCGGTGAGGGCAGACTAATCCCTACACCTCCAGTCATGATATGCGCATCAATCGTGGGGTGCCAGGTGGTGCAAATGTGGAGATGCGAAAGTCAGTCTTCGATAGGCGTCCGCGGCCGTTTAGAGTGGAGAAAAACATCCCAGGACGACCACGAGGCCATTGCTGGTCCACAATGATCACGGGAAAGCTGTCGAACTTGTATGGGTGAGTCGAGCATTAGTGAGCGGCATGGCGGGGTTGTGTGCAGTAGAGAGGTTGCGCTTGGCACGAGTGCAGGTGGACAAGTTTACCATGTCTTTTTTTCTGATTCATGCCGTATCCTTCACCAGAACCAGCAGAGCATTTCGGAACGGCTAGCCAAAAGGGGATTAGCGACGCACAGACTCTCCCGCACACCCTTGCGATCGATGGACAACGACTTCTGACGTATGTCGTTCCCTCCAGAGTCGTCATCTTGACATTTCGATCTCAGCATCCTGCTGCTTACACATTCACTACACACGCGACATGTGGGGAGAGATTGTCGCTTTTGAAACAGTCTACTGAGTGCCTAGAGGAGAAAAAACACACACCACTGGAGACAAGCCATCGGCGAACGCAAATGTGTGGAACACGCATTCATTTTCCTTGATTGCAAGGAATCCGGCAGCAGGCATTGCCAGCATTGCGCTGCAGTGGCGCCGTGAGCCGTTGTGATAGAGCACGCTGAGCGGTAGGATCTTTCAAGCACGAGCGGTGAGAGGGCAGAGACGGCAAATGAACGGCTCTATGCATGGTGTTGCAATTTAGCAACATGCAGCACGCGGCTCAAGTCGGTAGCGTATGCTAAACTAGGCGTCGAACTGCGGAAGAGATGGGACGGAAGGTTGAGACGAGTAGTCGGCGACAGGCGGCCGGTCACTGAGCGGCATGGATACCTACCCAGGGTGCTAACAAGGCCAATGCCGGAGTCTATGCTCTAATCCATTCGAGCGAAGCTAGCAAACTTGCCGTATCGAGACACGAAGCAATCGCAACACCATACCGCAACGTTTACGACTCAGTACGCACCGTACGCACAACAGGGGCATAGTTGGCAATTCTCCCGCCGACTAAATCCTCAACATATGTGGCGAATGAGCGATGAGCCCACCAAAAGCAACCGCGATAAGATCTCCATGACCCTGATCTTCAACTTAGTCATTGAAATCCGGCTCGGCATCTCACGGACACGAACATCAGGCATGTTGATCTTGGGATGCTTGGGTTACGACTCGTTTGATGGAACATGTGATGCAGCGCATTCCTCCTCTACCACGACGAAATTGCCTCAATTCCATCCAAGTGTCTTGGTAGACGGTCTTGTCCTGCCTATCAAGCGCTACGACAACCGGAATTCATCTCACCCTGCATTTCAACTGTGGCGCACAAGCCAGCCTCCCCACATCTATGGCATTCTTCGGCACCCCTGTTCCGTGACGGAAGGGAGGGGGCGAACAACACACCAGGGCAACGCTGGTACCAACAACGACAGCACGGCTAACCAATCGGGAAATGCTGTTATCAAGGTACACACCATCAAAAGATGCAGGGACGGGCGGTTGCCATGTCTCGCGGGAAAAGGAACGCGTCCGTTAGTCCTTTGTCATTGGTTCTTGAGATTGCCTGTGCATCGCCTGTGCGAAGACAAACCAACTGTATCTGTATGACTCAAAAGGGGAAATCGAAGCAATGGTTTGGTCCCTTGATCATACGAGGATGCAGAGGACACATGCCCGCGCCGTTCTATGCCAATGTTTGCGAATGCTCGGAACCGTCCTAGCGCTCTTGGACAAGACATCATGCACAACGATGTCGTTGTGCATTCCGCCTACCCCTCCTCTTTCACCGGGCGAATCAAGCAAGCGTATCCATGCCACACGTATCTTTTGCGGTTTGAATCCCATCTGGCGCCATTTGGTGTTTGTTTTCATATCGGCGAATACGTACATACCACGTACCGTTCGAAGCCCCCACACGTACGATTTCTCCCTGTCATGTCCAAAAGCAGTGAACACGGCATGAACATCTCTTGCGTAGCAGGCTATATCCCAGCCGTGATATGGAACACGGGGTTAAAGAGTGAAATTGCGCGAAATCCGGTCAACGGCCCTTTTTCTCCAGTTTGGTCTTTGATATTCCGCTTTAGTGGTGGAATCGGCGCACCATTGGTGGCTGTTAAGCTCGCTCTGTGACTTGTCTGTTTGCAAAAAAAAACTGCACTAAATAAACACAGAAAGACTTTGCTAATAAGATAAACAGAGATGATGTGAGCGAAACTGAGCAAATCGGAGTAGAGTAACACAAGCACTGCACGCATTACCGCTTTACGCGAGACTAGAGTGCGCACCGTGCATACCTGCATCCCCCTACTGTATGCGATCGTGAAGCGCAACAAAGGGAAAAAACCCCTTCAGGGTCCGCTCTAATCCCCATTCTTTTTCGTCCTCCTGCTCGTGCACATCATTCATTTCGTTTTCCCTTTTCATCTCTCCGTCGCGCTCTATACGAACGGGGGGAGTGGAGGGGTTTGTTGTTAAAAGGAAACATTGAAACTTTGACGCGTTACCCGCCCCTCATCACCAAGTCAAACTACGCATGTATCTAGCCGTCACATTCACGTTTTATAAAAAAAAACTACACGCACACACACGTGCCACAAACTATCTTCAAACCTAGTTCCTTAAAACCTAGTTAGTCCTTTCAAACAAGAAAAAGCGGTAATAAATCCACAAAACCCATACGTTAGAATAACATAACCAACCGAAACGAAATCATGATTTCCCCATCCCAAACCCACTGTAAATTACCCACCCACCGCTTTCATTTCGGCCAAGCACACCACACCCGCGACAGCGGCACAGACACACCCTTCTTACTCCGGGCTCCCAAGGAATCCCCGTAGGATTTTGCAGCACGAGCACTGCTTATCACCTGGCAATTGCTAATTCGGTGTGTGTGTGTTGCGCCCTAGCAACACACAACCACCCACCACCTCTTCCCTTTCCAGTCCAACTCCTCGCACGTGTAACTGTACGTTTACGCAAAAGGGAAGCGAGAGTGGATAGAAAAAGGAAGCGTGATACTTTCTTAAAGTGGAGAGGACGAAGACGCGAAAGAGAGAGAGAGGAAGAGCTAAGCAAACGAAAACAACTAGCACACACACACACCCTTCGAGTGGATACCCCCCCTCCCCTCCCTCCCCCCTTCCAAACTGCTGATCGGGATTTTAAGAAAAAAAGTGTAGGGATGCTTGACATTCGGTGCGGACGGGCAGGTAACGTGCGTGCGTACGTGCGTGCGTGCGGCGGTTGATTCAGTTTTTCTTTGCTTTTCGGGATGCGGCTACTTACTCGTTGTAGCGCGTGCTACGTGCTTTGATGGGAGGTGATCATGGGCGTAGAGTACAACTTAGTGGATACAGATATGCCGCTTGAAAGGTGTGGGGAGGAAGGGAGGTGCAAGGGGAGAGGGGGGGGAAGATGATGGGGCCCGGAAACGGGTAGCGCGGCAAGGCGATTCACGTGGGTGGGACGCTCTTTTTTGGAGGTGGGTGGCGGGTGTGCGTGTGTGTGCATGGGTTGACGAGACAAGGTTTCAGAGACATTTAGGGTTGTGAGTGGGAGGGGAGTGTGATGTGTGGCGAATAATGTTTGTTGGGTATGATTGGAGTTCGGGGGTGGGCGTGTATGTATGTTTCATTGTGGATGGATTAGTTTGGGACATGGAGGCAACAGCATATCTGAAAACAGCATTTCGATAATGGAGTCTTGTCTTAAAGTGTGCAAATTTTGAATTCAACTAGCTATGTACGTATAGAGAAGAAATAAAAAAAGACCCGTCATCTGTCCAGCTCGACACTGATGGTAGTGGAGCGCTTGCGGAGTGAAGCTAAGGACAGGCGAGATGCCGTACATGCTTTGGGGCAAAATAATAGTAACACTTGGTTTGGGTATTCGACAAAAGGAAAAGCGACCGATGCCACGCTCCAGCACTTGGAGGTGATGAGACAAAGAGAATATCTGCGCGCGTCCATGCTCTAAAAGAATGAGACCGTTTCCACAACATGCCTTCTATGGTGATGTTGTATCTGACATGATTCCGTGTTGTTTTTGTCTTGTTTTCGTGGGTGAGTGTGGTGATGAACGCCGTGAATGCTCCTTGCTATGGCCGTATGAGAACAGCAAAAACTCCGGGTGTGTAACCAAAGGAAAGGCGCGTAGGGTAATGATTTGTTTTGTGATGATGTCTAGGCAATCTTTGTGCCGACGGTGCGGGTTGGTGATGGTCGTAAAGTTATCTACCGCCGACGGAGGTAGTCCTGCCGGGAGAGTACTCGCCTCGACGACGAGCCTCCTCCCGAATGAACTTTTCAACGTGCTGGTCGGCCTCGGCTCGGCTTACACCAGCTGTGAGGTAGCCGCCGACCTCATCCTCGAGCTCGAGAGGTGTGACGGCTCCAGGGCTAGCTAGAGGCTCAAGACGAGGGCTGGTTGGCCTGGGTCCAAAGCCCTTGTGCTGACGGCTAGTGTTGGCGAGAAGCTGCTGTTGGTAGAGGTACATTTGTCTTTGAACCTCGAATTGCCTGTTGGTTGATCGAGGAGAGGCGGGCGAATGCGGACTGTCGGGACCAGTGATTGGTGTGTTTGCTTGGCTGGAATGGCTGGAGCTTTGGGAAGAGGCATAGTTGGCAGGATGGAAGCGAGGCAGCGAGGGAAGCCTTAAATGGGCAGCAGGGCCATGGTTGCTAGACTGACGTGGGTTGAGAGCTGGCCGGCGTCGAGCCTGGGAAGGGATGTCGAGAGGCTGGGACCTGGGGGACAGAGGAGAACTGATGGCAGGCATGTTGCGGTCAGAGGATCGTTGCATGTTCTGGTGGTGGTGGTGGTGATTGGAGTGGTGAGAGGTGGTGTCGGATCTGAAAATGACTCGCGAAAGAGAGGGCGACGCTGGCGGCGATCTCATATGATGAGGTGGCGAGAGGACCTCGTCTGACCTTTTTGAACAAAGGAGACGGGTTGGGTGGATTGATATACCAACGGTCTTCCCAAGTGGTAGTGGTGGTGTTGTTGGTGGAGGAAAGTAGCGCAGTGCCGAGGGGGAACGAGGCACAGGCGGCGGCGGTGACCAATATATGTAGGCATATGGATGTATTTGGGAGTGGGAGGGTCCAGCAGGCGTCGGGGAGGGTAGCCGATGTTAATGGCATAGTAAGGCGGTGATCTTCCGCTTGGAGGCGCCGTCGTGCGGTAATCGTGCCTGAGAGGGTAGCAGGGTACAGGGCCGCAGTGTGGAGCCCGTTTCAATAATGGTGGCTCGCACCCGCCAAGGGAGGTGGTGCTGGGGCTGCTGGGGACGGCCAATCTCAGCGAGTGGGAAGGGAACAGGACCCAGCGTGCTGGCGGTGCGTGGATAGCTACGGCTACGGCTACGGCTACGTGGGCATGACTATCTCGTCATGCAGAATGGGTGGCCCTTGTTTGCCGAAGTGCATGGTCATGGTGGAGGGCGGGGCGTTTTTTTCCGTCGGTGGTGGTGAATGTTCCTTGCCTTGTGCACCATGGGCTTTGATGACGCAGTGCAACAAGAATACCGGTTGCCCTCTCCAACCCCAAATGCCAGCCCCGGCGCTAAACGCGTTGTGCGAAGACACAGACGCCATGGCCAAACCTGAATTCCAATTTGCCCTGCAGCGCGGGGGGCCCTGCGTGTGCGAGCCCGTTGCAGACCTGCCCGTCGGCGCTGTTATTCTGCTATGTGCTGTGCTGTGCTGTTCTGTTCTGTTCTGTCCTGCTCTGCCGTGCCGTGTCGTGGCGCATATCGGCGTGTGTGTGGTGGTGGTGTACATACATACATATGTACTATGTATGTACATAGTAGACGGAGACAACGCCCGCAAGACATAACACCACACCACACCGCACCACTCCCACACCACTCCACACTACACTGCTACACCACACCAGCGCCAGATCACCATCGTGACCCTAGGCATACGCGTCGGTGTAGGCGCTGGACGTGTAGTGCAGTGTAGTGTCGTGTAGTGCCGTGTGGCAGCGACGCCACCCATCTTCGACCCAATTCGCGGCAACCATCGATCGAGATCCAAGACGCGTCTTTCCCCTCAAGCCCCCGAGCTTCCCCCCGTCCTTCACCGAGTGGCAAGCTATCCGTCCTCATGTCCAGCGTCCAGAAGCGTCTCGACGGGTAGTTGGTTCTAGACAAAACTCCATGGACCTTCTAGTACTGTCCCTAGCTACTCGCTATGACGATGAACCAAAGTTCCCCATGCTGTGCTGTTAGACCACCGCCCACAGAAACATTGCGGCTTCTCGGTCCGCCCCCAGATGCCGTCATCAACTTCACTCAGACTCACAGCATGCACTCCTCCATGTACCTGCACACGTGCAAGACACCGACATTCCATGCAGGGACAATCGGTCTAGCTCAAAATCCGCTTACCTGGGGGTGTACCAGTATATCCAGCAACGGCTAAGGTTCCGCTACTTGCTTGTGCTCACTTCCCCCACTGCACCTGGCGACCCGAATCACCCTACAAAGTCCGTCCACCGCCTCTTTACTAGCCAAAACTACTGTGACATGACGCCTCCGGTGACGTTGGAAGAGCTAATTACCCCACGTTTCCAAACTATACACCACAACAATGACGGCTGCAGGGTGCGGGAGACGACACGCCAATCTTGACAAGACACATGACCCTCTCACTGCATGCAAGAAAAAAAAGCAACAAAGGTTTCCCATCCAACGTGCGTGTCAGCCGTTGTGCCGTGAATTTGTTGGATTTGTTCGTGTGCAACTGCGTCTTCTCTATCCTCTTGCCCCAAGCTTCTCCAGAGCACGCACGCCCTGTTCTTCCCACTCCGCCTTTGTTATCCACATGTTTTCCTTGTCTGCCATGATGTTTGCCAGCACAGCACCACCCAAGAAGACCATGTGCCTTCGTCGAGGCGGGTCCTCGATGCGCACCTTGAATTTCTACAAAAGTGTTAGTGCCAGTGACCACAACAAGCAATCGGCTACTCACGTTGAGTCGCTCTGGGTTTCCGCCTAGAACTTTGGTGAGCCACAGCTGCTTCAGCTCCTTCTCCAACCGACTGGGCAGACCCGGGTACATGCTGCTTCCACCACTCAGCACAATGGCCTTGTACAGACTGCTTCGCACATCCACGTCGGCCGACTGGATCGTGTTGAACAGGAACTCGGCGATACCGGGCTGTTCCACATCCACAAGGTGAGGCTGGAACAGACATTCGGGGGCCTCGAAACGCTCACTGCCCACCCGGATCACTCGACCGTCCGGAAGAGTGTATGACTCCACCAGCACTGTTGTGTCTTCGCTGAGGCGCTGGTCCAACTCGAGATCATATGATACGTAGCAGAGCTTCTCTTTGATTTGTCGTACCGTTTCGAAGTCGGCGGTTCGGTTCAGGGCGTATCCCCTCCGTAGAAGGAGCGCGATGAGATTGCGGGTCACATCACGTCCGGCGACATCGAGACGTCGAGTAAGGTGGTTGAGAACGGTGCTCTCGTAGACGGGAACAATATGTGTAACACCATCTCCTGAATCGACGACTACACCGGATGAGAGACCCTGTGCGTATAGAGCCAGCACAGCCTGGATAGCCACGTAGACACCGCCAAAATTGTAACGCTCAAACATGACTTCGCACATGGTTTCGCGGTTCTTGAGGGGGTTCATGGGTGGCTCAGTGAGCAGGATCTTGCGGCCAGCTGGGTCGATCTTCATCTTCTCGTAGAAAGTGTAGTCCCACAGTTGTTGCATGTCGTCCCAGCGCTTCACGATGCCGTTCTCCATCTGTGTGGCAAGTGGTCAGTATCCAATTCTGTGCAATAATTCCCTTGCATGACCACATACAGGGTAGGTAATCTGAAGCATTGAGCGCGCCTCCGCAGCCTCGTCACCACACATGATGTCCTTGAGCTGGATGTCACCCGTGTTTTGCTCTTCGGTTCGCAGAATGGGCCGGCCGACTATCGAAGGGTACTGGTGATCCGGGAAGTTCTGTAGTAGCCATCATCAGCTTTGCAGGTTTTGTTGTGTGCTCTAGTCGACACTCACCTGTCCGGCATAACCCGCCTTGAGGAAACCAGTACCGCCATCGAGAACTAATTGGTAGGGTAAGCAGAGCGTTGAGAATTACCAAAGGCGCATTGCTTACCAATAGGAGCTTCAGCCATCTTATAAAAAGCTCTGGGGAGTTGGTGGGGTGAGGGAGGTGGATGTTGAGAGCTGGCTGTAGCTCGGTGCCTACGTGCCTTGAGGTTGACGACGTTGGCGGCGGGGCGCTGATGGCTGGCCGGGGGTCCGTGAGCACTCAATCGGGCAAAGCAGATGGTCAAGCTACAACTTGAAATGCACCAGCTACTTTTGATTATACCAAAATCTGCATTACGATTACAGGCTGAGAACTGTCAGAAGAATCTAACGTGTGACATTATTTGATTCCAGCACGGAATTCTTCCAGTTGGGCACCCAAGAGAGACTGCTTGCATGCTGCCCAAGGATCATCTTGTGTGTGTGCAATCAATGCCAAAGAGCGCCATATTCAAGAGATACAATCTGTCCAAATTCTTGATACTAATTGCACATGTAGCTGTCAAGTCTTGTTCCCAATACTCGTGGTCACCCATCGGGAGCTTGCTTGCTTGTTGGCGTGGTCACCCACCTTGAAAGTTGCGACTTGCAAATCGCTAAGCGACATGGTCCGAGCGCCCACTCCAATATTCGGGCGTCTTGCACCACCACCCTCGAACTTTCTCTCCTCAGCCGAATCTACTAACAGCAGCCGGTCAAGATGCCTTTCGTAAGTACACCTTGAATTGCTCTCGCAACAGAAATCCCCCTCCATCCTACCGCCGTCATGGCAACCCCGCTTCGACGGTTTGTCGAGTGGAGTCTTTGCGAGATGCTTCGAATGCGGGTTTGAAGCGCAAATCGCTGACTCTGGGAAAAGTCCAAGCTCCAGAAGAACGACGCCTACTTCTCGCGGTACCAAGTCAAGTACAAGCGCCGCCGACAGGGAAAGAGTACGTACTAGAGCAATTGCCTGGTTTGCGACTATATCTAACAGTTGGCAGCCGACTACTATGCCCGTAAGAGGTTGATCACCCAGGCCAAGAACAAGTACAATGCGCCCAAGTACCGCCTCGTCGTTCGCTTCACCAACAAGGACATCATCTGCCAAATCGTCCACTCCGAGATTGGCGGAGACAAGGTCTTCATGGCTGCTTAGTATGTTGCACACGACTTGAACTGAACATGAATTGTGGCTAACAAATGCACAGCGCTCACGAGCTGAAGGCCTACGGCATCACCCACGGTCTTACCAACTGGGCCGCTGCTTACGCCACCGGTCTCCTCCTTGCCCGCCGTGTTCTCAAGAAGCTCAAGATCGATGAGCAGTTCGTCGGTGTTGAGGAGGCTGATGGTGAGTTCACCCTCACCGAGGCCGCCGAGGTTGACGGCGAGGAGCGCCGCCCATTCAAGGTCTTCCTTGACGTCGGTCTCACCCGCACCTCCACCGGTGCCCGTGTCTTCGGTGCCATGAAGGGTTGCTCTGATGGTGGTGTCTTCGTTCCCCACTCCGAGAACCGTTTCCCTGGATACGACATCGAAGGCAAGGAGCTCGACGCCGAGACCCTCCGCAAGTACATCTTCGGTGGTCACGTTGCTGAGTACATGGAGACCCTCGCCGACGACGATGAGGAGCGCTACAAGTCTCAGTTCAGCGGCTACATCGAGGACGACATCGAGGCTGATGGCCTTGAGGAGCTCTACCAGGATGCCCACAAGCAGATCCGCGAGGACCCCTGGAAGAAGGAGGAGGGTGCCGGCCCTAAGAAGACCAAGGAGGAGTGGGCTGCGGAGTCCAAGAAGTACAGGACTAAGAAGCTCACCAAGGCCGAGAAGGAGGAGCGCGTCAAGGCCAAGATCGCCGAGCTTACTTCTGCTTAAGCGGTAGCCTTTTCTTCTTCCCACTCTGTTCTATCATGAAAAAAGTACGGCTCTGGCGTCTGGGGATGACATGGGAAGGATGCCCGTCATGACAGGATATATGTTCTGTACTTAGCCTTTCACGACCTCAATGAGAAGATAAGACGACGGGCCACGCAGTTGGCTGTCGCAAACAAGATACCCCCTTTTCAAACAAGTGTTTCTACTCGCTCTGCATATGTGAAACGTGGTGAAATGGGACGACATGGCCCATCTGATTCGGGTGTTGATGGCAGCAAGTCGCATGGGAGCAGTAGACAATATTGGCTTTAAAGTTGCCCCTGGCGGTTTGGTTCTAGATAGCCTTGGCTGTTTGTGCGTGTCTAAGTATTGGTTTGCGAGGGTCAGGTGTTTGGGTCCATGAGGGCGCACATGACCCCGGGTACGGATGATGGGAGGACCCGGCAATGATTGCATCATGTTCGCGGCTGGTTACGACGGGCGGAACGCCAACATATATGTACATAGTACTACCTACATACGCAGTGAGTAGTGTGCACATACGTACTAGTAGAAGGTCGTATATTTACTACGTTGCTGGCGGAGAGAGAGCTGAGGAGGAGCCGAAGCAAGCAGCCGAGAGCATCTTTCGTCATCGCCCCGGCCCCAATATACATACGTGCTAAGCACCGTCGCGCACGTTCGCCATCACCTCGCTGCTCGCCATCGGCCGAAGATCGCACAGGGCAGCTTTTTGAATTTGGCGCATGTTCTGACGTGAGCACCACGGGTCGACTGATATTGTCTTCGGCGCCTGGCAGAACAGCATCCGGGAGCATTTCCTCAGCATTTCCAATCAGCGCGTGGCGTGGGTTGATTACTCCGAATTCAGCTCAGCCAGACCCCGCAGACTCCCGACTCCCTACTCCCTCACCGAGGGTATTAACAGCCCTGGCGCATGGCGCCCCTGGATAATACACAATGACAACCATCCAGACATCGACCGATGCTGCGTCCGCCATGGAGGACATCCATGGTGTAGATGTATCGTGGCTGCATCACTCGACTAGAGGTAAGGCCCGCTTACCCTGGGTGGAGACCGCTCGGCCTTGCGGCGCGACCCTGAATTACTGTCTCTGTCTCGTGTGAGAGAGCACTGCTAATGTTGCACCCTTTACCACAGACCATCACCATCGCCAACGGGCTCCGTCATCACCAGGCCTGAGTAGAGATGCGCCACCCAAAACCTCATCTCATGGCGGAATACCTGTTCGGCCCCGCCATGACGAGCAGCAAACCCAGAAGCCGACACCGGCGACCAACAGACCCGCATCTCCCCCACGACCGTCTCCTGTCGCAGCTGCATCCGCGCCTGTATCTCCTGTGACCGCGACTCCTCCCATCAAAGCACCGCCGAAGCGACCGACACTACTCAGCCGGGGCAGTTCTGAAAAGAATGTCAACGGAACTACGCCGCCAGACTCGAGACTTACGTCGCGGCGCAACTCATGGATGAGCACCATCAGTTCCAAATTTTCCTCGCAAAACTCGCCAGCGCAAACTACCCACGCCCAAGCACAGGGATCGCACGCGTCCCCTTATGGCGCTAACCACGCCTCTCCCTCTGCCAACGGTGCCTTGAATGGTATACAGGCAGCTTCGACAGGCCACAATGGCGGCCCTGACCCCTATGTTCCACAACAGCCCAAGACTTCATTCGTCGGCAATGTCCTTCGGCGCCTATCTTCGGGGTCGCAAGTCAATGCAGTTGGCAAGGTCTACCCCAACGGAGGCGTGTGTCCGCGTAAAGTCATGAACGTTGACCCAAACCGAGAAAGATGCTTAGTGCCCGAGCTCGACCAGCACAAATTGCGCAAAGTTGCATTCTGTGTTGACGTTGAGATTGCTGGAGGGCCCAAATACAAGGACGAAGCGGTCACAGACGAGAAGCAGCCAAAGCAAAAAGAAAAGAAGATGAAGGAGCGCAGTGAAGGCGAGGCACTCAAAAACCCGGATACTGCAGCCGAACAAAAGGAAAAAGCAGGCGTTATCGCTGTCGCGCAAGAGGCAGTTGGAAACGAAAACGAGCCCAACCCCGAAGGCACAGTCATAGAGGACAAGCAGGAGACGAGCAAGAAAAAGGAAAAGAAGAAGCGATCGGAAGCTGAAAGAAAGGAAAGAAAAGAGAAGAAGCGTAGAAAAGCCGAAGAGAACGGCACAATACCTCTAGAGTTGACCAGGGATGACGACAGCGGTAGTGCTGAAGGTGTATCTGCTGCGTCAAGGACAACAGCAGCTCCTCGCGCCCAGGATCGGCCAACGATTGATCCACTCCGCATCTACAGACGATGTTGTCAACTGCGCGAATCTCCTATCCTCAAACGTATTAGTGACCAGTTGGCAGCTCCGAGCGCATGCGCCGTTGTCCAGCCCGGTGTCGTCACCTGTCTGGATTTGACTGGATCGCGGTTACAACTAGCAGATTTCCTGACTTTATCCGACTGGCTGGCTATCGTGCCTGTAAAGAAGTTGTTCTTAGAGGACGCAGATCTGACCGACGAAAAGATACGCCTCGTCCTTGCTGGCCTGCTCGCTGCCAAAGTTCCAGAACCACCAAAACGACGTAGTCTGTCCAGCGACGGTACACAGGATGGGCTTTGCCAAGCAGGTTCTTCGGCAGTAAAAAAATTAGTTCTGAAGAACAACCCCAAAATTACATCCGAGGGCTGGAAACACATCGCGCTCTTCCTATACATGTGCAAGTCTATCGTGGCTGTCGATGTCTCGATGATTCTATTTCCAAACTCTCAACCACAGGTGGCCTCCCCATCTACAGACAGCACACCAGTTCTGTCACCTACCAAAGACACAAAGTCAGCAGATATTGCGGATATCTTCTCGAAAGCTATTTCCGAACGCTTGGGTGGTTCCGAGCTACAGGAATTAGCCATGGCCGAATGTAACCTGAGTTCTGCAAGCATCCGCAAAATCATCGATGGCTGTGTCATGAGTGGTATCCAGCGTCTCAGTCTTGCAACGAACGACATAGATAGCGAAGGATTTGAGCATGTGTTACGATACTTGCGCTCAGGGGTCTGTCAAGGTCTCGATATCGGAGGCAACGATCTCAGATCTTGGATAGGCCAGCTTGGTGAAAGCATAAGTCACTGCGAAAACAGTCCACTTTGGGCTTTGTGCTTACAAGACACTGGTCTTACTCCTGAATCGCTCAAGGCACTATTTCCAGTCCTCGTATCTTTGCCGTCCTTCAAATTCTTAGATCTTTCACATAACAGGGGCCTCTTCATGGGCCAGACTTCGCTATGTCTGCTAAGAAAATACATGCCCCAGCTCAAAGAACTGAAACGGATACATCTTGTAAACGTGGACATGAAGCTCGAAGATGCGATAGCCATCGCTGAAATTCTTCCCGACTGTCCGCAAATTGCGCACATCAACATTCTCGAAAACCCCGAAATCACACGTGTAGCAACTTCGACAGACGAAGAAACCCAAGAAGATGCTGCTGCGCTGTACGCATCTCTCACACTTGCGGCCAGATTGTCAAAATCCCTTATATGCGTCGACGTCGACATACCAGCTCCCGAACAGAGCGAAGTTGTCAAGGCACTCGCGAAGCAAGTTGTGGCGTACTGTTTGCGAAATATTGAATCTATCAATGAAGTGCCTGAACTTCGTGCCGCACCAAAACAAGTCGAGGTCCCGCGCATCTTGATGCGTCTTGTTGGCCCAGACGATGAAGACGATAAAGAGAACGACAATGCATCGTCAGCCGATGATGACTACATTGTTGGAGGCACGGGTATTGCCAAAGCCATGAGCTACTGCTTATCTCACAAGGAGTCAGATCTCAGTAGAGTGTCAAATCCAAGCGGCACATCGACTCCAAGGAGTAGAAGCATGGTCCCAGTACTGGAGGAGCCAAGCAAGGCGAGAGCAATGTCCAAAGACTTGCTTGATACGGCGCGTACCACACGATCAAGGATCCAACCTGCATTAATTCGAGAGGCGAAGAGCGGGAACGATATCAACTACCGTATGTCACATCACCTCAGCATTTTAAAATACAGCTAACATGCAAAGGCCGTTTATTGTTCTTGGATCAAACCCTTCAGGGCATGATCCAGCGTTTTGAAGATGAATATCCAGAAACTCGTCTCCAGCCTTCAGAAGATGCCTCTACCTCTAGCTCCTTACCAAGCACTTCACCGACTGCTTCTACAGCTCCTGCCCTCGAAAACAGCGTCTTAACAGACATGACGGCCCCTGAATCCGATGAGGACGAACCCCCTACTACACTTCGCTCGCGCCACAACTCCGATGTCTCTCTCGCATCCCGTAATATGTCCCTTGAGGAAGGTCGTCTGCATCGCTTTGGCCACCGCGTGCGCACTGGTCTTCTCAACTCCCGCCCAAGCACGCCTGATGATTCTGAGAACCAGTCTCCCTTCCTTTCGGGCACAGCAGACGATGAAGGATTCCCTGAGCACATTGAATCGTTGCGCGAATACTTCATGAACCACAGTGGTGATGATGAGTTGAGGCATATGATTGAGGGCAAAGGATGGGAAGAAGCTTTCGACAGCGTAGTGAAGAACGCTGAGGAGTTAAAGAACTTGGAGAGAGAAGACCCAACGCATTTCAAGATCTTCAAGGAAAGTCAAATCGCTGCCTTGAAAAATCGCAATCCGGACCTGTTTGCTCCAGGAGAGAAGCACGTTAAGAGTGACGGAAATGGTGATGATTTTGCTGTTGAAGACTAGACCAGGAGCCGTTTAATGCCGCAATTCTGGGGGAATGAATAATGTAAAGTAAGCGTTGGGCATTCACTGTGGACTTGAGATACCAGAAGAGACCCGGAGCGTCTCGATTCGCGTAGTTTATATTCTTTTTACAATTTCAACACGTAACCAACGTACCTCCTGTAAGAAGGTGGTTGAAGTAATGTTACTTTGATATTATGTGAGTACTCATACTACCTTTGTGAATGTTCTTTAACATCGGAATTTGTGACAACTCCGGAGGAGATGAATGCAGCCAGAGACATCTAGCAAATATGGAATCATTGAGAGCTGATTTGAGAGTGGCCAAAGTCGCCTCATACTCACGCCACCACGGACCACTTTCGCGATGCATACTAATGCTGCTTCGTGCATGCTCCAATCACAAAGATTCATATATAATCATTGATCTCTAAAGACTAAGCATTTTCAAGCCTTCAAGATGCCCAGCGTCACTACCGCCTCCTTCTACTTACTCTTAGTGCTTGCCATATCAATTCAATACTTTCTCCCCTCTCCCAAAACAAATATGACATCCATCAACAGCCCATGGGCTGACACTCCATGTGAACTGATCACTACACCACAGCATGCAACAGGAAAGGTAGTTTGTTTTGAAAAAAAACCCATACTTTGCTACGGAATTGTACTAATTTATCCATCTCTCAGACCGACATTTTCACCGTCGGCGCCACACACATGGCACACATCCACAACGCCATCCTCCGCGGCTACAACTCCATCTACCTCCAAGCACCCCACGTCAAAGACGCAGACAAAGCAGCATTCATAGGCTACGCACTAACCTGGTTCCGCTTCGTAAAATCGCACCACGACGACGAGGAAACCGAGCTATTCCCCGCCGTAGAACAAGTCCTAAACGACAAGACCATATGGGGAGAAACGCATAAAGAGCACGGTAAACCCCCCCTCCCCTTTTCCTTCCCATACGAAACTCATCATCTAACGAAAGACTGAACCCGTAGAAGCTTTTCTAGACGGCCTAGCCGAATACTCAACTTACCTCTCCACCCTCCCCTCCCTCACCACCCTAAACGGCACACACCTCCAATCCCTAATGTCCTCGTTTCAACACCCCTTCTCCCACCATTTCCACAGCGAAACCAGCACCATCGCCGCCCTCGCCACGCATCCTTCCGCGCCCGCACCCAATACACCTGCGGCAGACGCCGCAGCCGCAGTGTTTAAGAATTGGGGTAAGAAGACGGTGATGAAGGCGGGGGTGCTGGATGTTGTTCCCTTTTTTCTGATGAATCTGGATAAGGAGTTTGAGGGGGGACAGTGGGCGGAGTGGCCGCCGATGCCGCGGTTGGTGAGGTGGGGATTGGTGAATGGCGCTGGAAGCGTGAATTGGGGGTGGTGGAAGTTTGCGAGTTGTGATTCGGGGGGTATGCGGAGGGGGTTGTGGGCGTTGCAGGGGGAGGGAGAGAGGAAGGAGTAGATACGAGGATTGGAATCGTGTATTCTGGAGTTTCATGGTGTAGGGTTTGTTTTACCTACTTGGATTTGATTTTGATTTTTTTTTTGAATATGAGAGGAACGGATATTTATTGTAGGCAATAACTGATGTGATTTGCATCTATGAAAGCGGACGTACCTTCTGTCTGCTCTAAATCAGATACGTATATATCTGCGCTTTCTGTTCTCTCCTGACATGCTTCCACTACAACCTTCGTATCAAGAGATAAAAAAGAACACCATTTTCATCACCCTCTCACTCCACCCTCCACATTCCATTCATAAACCTACATATCATCTACAATGCCTTGCACAACCATAATCATAACCACAACCCAAACCCTCACCTCTCCCTCCACCGCCGCAAACCACAAATCCCTCGAAAAACGTATCACAGCCCTCAGCATAAAAATCGCCACAGACCGCGCCAACCGCCGCGAAATGCTCCCCCTCGATCACACCACCTGGAAGCGAGAAGACCCATGGTCCGCCGATCTCGAGCGCTTCCAAATCGAACTAGAGGAACTGTGGATTGAGGTCCGGGGCCAAACTTTGGAGTTCAAGACGGTATGGGTGGACGCAGTGGAAAAGATGTATGCCGATGAAATTGGAATCTGGAGGGCTTCTGGGATGGTCTGAAAGAGACTCGGTTGAAGGAGAGGGGGAAGAGGGGGATTATTGGTAAGCAAGAAGGTTCTCATTGCCATTCCACCAGTCCATCGATGTAAACCTTTAGTGCGATATCATCGCCATATAGCCCAGCGCTAATACTTATATTAATAGCTAATTCGCTGTCCCCGACGAGAAACATATCGCTTCGCACATCATTTCCATGTAGAGGGTCGTACACGTAGTCTGGGATTCGCGTTTTGACGGCTTGAGGCCAGGTTCCGATTGAGTAGCTGTTCTGAGATTGTTGGGGGACGGAAACGGCTTTGCACCAATAGTGGCTGGTTGCGCGATTGAAGCCAAAGGCAACTGGGTAGTTGAGGGAATGCGCATAAGTGGCAGATTGTACGCGGAGGAGGAGAGCGCCCCAGAATTCGGTGACGTTTTCGGGGATGCGGAGCTCGTGTGAGGCTTCGTCCCAGGCGGCGCGGGGTGTGACGCTAATTATACGGACGGCGGGTGTGATTTGGTTTGATATCCGACGCTGGATATGGAAGCATTTGAAGTCTGCGGTTGTGAAACTTGGGGGGATGGAGAGTTTTTGTCGAACGTAGATGGTCTTTAGTTGGCCTGTCGGCCAGTCGTCGATTGCAGTGAGGGTTCCAGCGTCGACACGTGCGTATTGCATGCTGCCATCTAGACATTTCAGTGTGATGGCTAAGCGCTGGCTCATAGAATTGCTTGATCGAATCATAGCTAGCACATGGCTCTTGTCTTTTGCATCAGGTAGGAACTCGAGCTGGACACAGAGACCTATAGGCGTCGAGGCGATGGGAAAAGTAGACATGATACTCTCACGCTCGATAGAATGGCAATGCTGGAACTCAGCCGGACTTCGTGCAAGCAGGCCCCGGTATGTGGACTGCCGTGACTCATTTGCACGCCATGAGAACAGTGAGTAATCGTCGGTGGTTTTGAGTACCTCTTCTTGTAGCCGGATAAAGGCCTTTTCGCCTTCCCCGTACAAAAGCGGCATGTGGATATCGAAGATACCGAGTAAGCTATATGCCACGTCCTCAATACGCGTGCTCTGACGATGCGCAGCCCACGACATCCGTTCCGCTACCGAAACTTCACTAAGTGATCTGGAATCCTCAAGAATATGGACCGGTATGTTGGTCACATCCGACAGCTCTTTCAAGAACTCGACCTTCTCGCCCATCAATGTCCAATCCTGGAGGTAGAAGCGGCATACAACAGGCGCTATAAGTTCTTGAAGAGTCCATCCACGTTGAGTCCATCTGCTATTTGCAAAAGCGCATCTCGCGATTTCCGAGGCGGTCCTGAGGTCGCCGTGGTTTTTGGCAATATCGCTAAGATAGACAATGCACACTTCTGCGTCCCTGTACCAGCGATACATGGAATTGATGGCCTCTTGCAGCTCGGCGCTCGAAGTTTTGTCTATGCAGCATGTATCTACCCAAAGATAGTTGCAGCCCTGGCCCCGTGCTTGTTCGGCTGCATTGATAATTTTGCTGTAGCCAATACGCTTCATGAGATCGCTTTCCGACATGCTTCTTGACGGCGCCCCAGAGTTTCCTCGAATCATCAGTTCCAGTGCCAAAATGAGAGATGATTGCGCATGTTGCTCGTTTTGCGATAAAGAGGTCGACATCGATGATGCCGAGAGTGCGCGGGCTCTGTTGATCCAGACATATTCTTGGTGGTTGACCTCATCTGGACCCCACGTGTGGGAAAGAATGGCGTAGGCAGGGATTTCATTGTCATTAAACCATCCGAGTTCGAGTGTTCTTGTGTCTATGAGACGCATGACAGGTGCTCCGCAATGTACCGTTGTCGAAAGTCATTGGACTGGGATGCAGTGGTGGGGTCAGTCCGCTCCGAAAACGATTTGTGCAAACCGCTCGAGAAACGCGCCTTCCGCTTCAGTCATCATCATCGCCCAAATCCGGGGTTACCATATGTCCTTCTCCATCACTTTTAAGAAATATATACCAGGGAATACATGTAGAGATGTCTATAGAGCATACTCAACTCAATCAACTAGTCACCACATGGGAGCTATTTTTAAGAAAAGATTGGAATCGACGATTCGTATGCTCGATTCCAATCCTCAGTACAGCAATTATGTTTTTACATCAACTATACCAAAGAATTTTTTATTACTATTGATGCGGTTCAAGTCTCGATAGAATCGTTAAGTATATAGCGAGTATCAAGAATAAGGCATTGCTCCCTTGTGTGAGCTAAATGTTGAAGAGAGAGGTAAAGAAAAGAAAAGACAGGATAGAGTTCCCACGATATGAATATGAAACAAATGAATAAAGCCCCGATGGTTGTGGATATATCCAATCGTCATCATCCCTATCTTGAATGATTACAAAACTGATTAAGTTCTCGTCTCCTATGGGCCATGAGTATGTTCTGCATGTTACTCGCTCGTTTCCTGAAAAGTCACAACCTATTTGGGTTGAACTCTTACATGAAAGATCGTCTTTGATGGACTACCGATATTGCTGCTGGAAATAGCTGATGTCGAAGTCCCTGTTCCAATGTGAAATGGGAACCTCAGCCTTCAGAAAGGCTGCAGAAGTACCATTTAGACCCGACTAGCAGCATCGTGGCGCGAAACGTTGAAGTCGCGGTCGACCCTGATTTCGTTGCTCTTTATACTCTTGGGAGTAGGTACTGTAGGAGTGAGAGGAATGCTCTCAATGTCCTTGCTCTTCGTATCAGACCACACACTCATCTGACGACTCTTATCGCAGACAGTAGAGCCCCCGACCATTGTAGCTCTGGATCCAGAGTTGAAGTAATCGTTCCTGATAAGTCGCTGATGAGCATCGGGCCCTCTGGAGGCAAGGTCCTGGTCGTTCACAACTCCCGCCCAGATTGCTGATAGCGGGAGGAAGATGCAGACGACCGTGAGGACATGAGTAACAATCTCAGGAAGGAAGCCTGCATATTGAAGTGAAGAAAAGATTGCTTTAGGTATGTCAGTTGAGTCTCGACATTAGAAATATATGGTAAACATACCTGGAATCAGCATAGTCTGACAGCCCATGATAAAGACGACTTGGATCGGTCCAAACTGAGGCATGTTGAGACGACGCCTCTGTATAATCGCATAGCCGAGCTTCCAGGTAAACACGCAACTGAAGAGCCAGATCGCAACGGTCTGAAGCATATAGGAAATTGACACTAGGTACTCAATAGAGTCTAGGGGTTGATAGGACAATGTCAACTTGGTGTTGTAGTACACAGCAGCGACTCTGTACCCAAACGAGACGCCAGCCATGATTAGAGTAACAACCATGATGATGCTTCGCTGTAGAGGCGGTGTGGTGACGCAGACGGTCCACACTTGAAGACTGAGCGAGGCGAAGACCAGAGCGTTGACCAGGATACCGAAGATATTGATGGCGATATGATTGGCAAAGTCTCCGTTAGTGATGCGTCTCCAGTCCTGGCTGAGAACGGAATAGGGATTGTAGAATTCGCCGGTGAGCCAGCTGCTGAACAGCAGACAACGGATGCAATTGGAGAAGACACAAGCGACATTGAGCAAGAATATGGCGGACTTTCGTCGATCGGCCTTGGTCGTGATTAGGAGAACCAGGAAAAGCAGTAAACATGCTCCGAATCCAGCTCCATAGCTGATCGCAAGACGAAATCCATAGTACCGATATTGGTCAAGGTCCTGCATGTTTCTCGTCACCACAACCCATCCGCCTTGGCCATCGGAAACTGTGATGTTCAAATTCTGGCTCCAAGGGTCGAAGTTGGGTGGAACTTGAACATGCTCCATAGGAACACCCATGATGCTTGGCAATGGTGGGTGTTGTCGTTTGAGAGCAGCCGAGTTTGGCTTCTCGAGGAAACACCTTGAGACAGGTGCTGAGGCGGAAGAGAATAGGTATAAGAAATTAGAAGACAGTCACACAATCACTAAAGGCGGGGTTGTGTAACTTTGGTCGTGGTGTTGAAGTTGGGACCTTGTATGGCTCAGAGGAATGGTAGTAGAGGCAAGGGGTGGTTGAGAAGAATGAGAGGATCCCGCAGCAACGAGGGATATACGCTGTGCGAAGCAGCATGTATAATAGCTACAAGGCAACGATTTTTTCTTGATGAATGTTGTCGCTAAACATTGTAGTTGATAGGGTGAGTGGACGAGGTGCGTTTGGTTCCCGAATGGATAATAGCAACTGTAGTGACAGCATGGGAATGATCGGCCACCTCGACTCACCGATCCAAGGTCTAGAGCCAAGGTGAAAACGCGGTCTTGAAGATTTCGATACTCTTACTATTGTTCGTGGTCCCGGCGGCTGTGTGCGTCGAGTTACTGACTGTGACAAGTTCCAGTTCGGTGACGCAAAGCCAATGTCCTGCTGTTGTACTTCTCCTGTCTCACTGCAAGTCGCAAGGTCGCCTAAGAATTCATTAGAAGCAATCGCTTTTGCTGTTTGAGGCGCGGATGGAAGTGATGATAAGATAGCGTAGAATTCCTTAGTATTGTTCTTCGACTCAAGCCCCGTCCATGCTCTGAGACCCATCGGATCCCGGAGCGCTGGTGACAAGTGGCATCGAGGTCGGTAGTGACTGCACCACATATCTTGCATGTTCTAGGCATATTTGTAATATCTCTGTGATCAAGACACGCAATGCACATGTGGCCTTTGCAGCATACATATGTGTGGATGAGGATACGGTAGTCCGAGATGTAGGGATGATATGTACAATGTTATCGTGAGCCAATCAGAGCAATCGCCACCCACTTATCCTGCACGTCATCGCTAGCTTAAGTGTTCTGAACTTCACAAACGTGACCGCGCGTTCCTATCTAATCTCGCCACGACGCGTCCAACGACTTCAACAATGTGGACGCTGGTCTCGTCGAGCACTACTGTTGCCCCTGGATCAAACGAATTCAGCTTGCCCAATGAAGGCATTGCTCACATAATTGTGAGTGCAGAATCCAACCATGCTGAAGTAGTGCGCGTATTGGATCCACGCATGCAACGGGAACTTGGCCGCATCAGTGTGTTCTTCCATCCTCAATTTCTATGCACGCGCACTTACACCGCTAGTCGCTGGACCTTTTGGGGTCAAGTTGGAAGCTGTCAACGAAAAGTTGACTATTATACCTGGTCAATCACATGCGCCATCTCCATCCTCCGCCAAGTTCGAGTTACAGCCACGTACTGACAACCACTCGGAAGCAATCTTCCTCCGTCATGGCGACATACTTAATCTTTCCTCTTTAGAATCAAGTTTCACCTGCCAATGGACCGACTCCGAGGTCCAAGTCGACTCATCGGCAGTTCCTAATGCTCGTCGCATAGCTGAAACCCCAGAAGATGAAGTAGGTGATGAGGGTTTGACTGAGTCTAAGCCTGACGCCAGAACTCAAAATCGGCATTTCCGGCTTCGAGCAACTCCACAGCTTCCACAACAACAATCTTTTGTGGTCCAGGAGACCCCGACAGCAGCTCGAGTCAATAGCATATCAACTTGATTGGCTGCAGATATCAACCCGCCTGACTTTACTGATAATACGGGCGGGCCAGTAAAAGAAACGCGACCTTCATCACGGGAACAAGAGCCAGAGCCAGTATCAGAAACCTTTTCTACTGCTCGAACAAGTGAATCACAGAACACGAATGTTTTTCAATCAACAGAAGTGCCAGCTATCGGCTCAGTTATGAACAAAACCAGGCCTTCACTTCGTAAAGCCGACAAAAGTTCTCCGCAAGTACAGATTCCTCCGAAATCCAACAGAAAGCGCAGCACCTCTGCTTTGCGGGAGAATTTGAAGTTCGAACAAGAAGCACTTACAGTGGGGATCAAACGTACAAAGACAAATAACGACGAAGATACACGAGATGCTCGACTGAGTAGCATTGAAACGACGTCTCAAAAATCTGGCAAGAAGAGAAAGAAGCGTCCGACGAGTACGTCTCACACGGAAGCACTCGACGAGGCAGAAGAAGCGGATTTGATGCGATCTCCTCAGAGCACCCAGGATTCGACATGCGTCACGACGGAAGTTTACGATGGCCATCCGCCAAGAGTAGCTTCTAGTAACTCTACCATCACGAAATCAAGTCAGGCAGTCAAACTGCTCAAGAAGCAAGGAGGGGCATATGTAGAAAAACTGACTGACGACTTCAACATACTATGGTAAGCTCAAATGTGGCTTGGAGCGTGGAGTTTACTGATTAGTCATAGTGTCAGAGACAGCGACCTTCAAAAGAAGACGAAGGTATTATATGCGATTGCCCGTGGGATTCCCATCGTTACGGATGCATGGCTTCTGGAATCGGCAAAAGAGGGCCGTTTGCTCTCCTTATCCGCTTACAAGCCTTCCACTTCCAAGCAAGAAGAGGAATGGGGATTCAGATTCGACGATGTGTTTGGCCAACCGCAAACGCCTTTTGAAGGCTATACCATTCATTTCACAAAGAATCTCAGGGGTGTATACGAGTCATTCCCTGAAGTCGTAGCAGTGTGCAAAGCTGCAGGTGCGAAAAACGTTACATCTTCCAGGATGAATACAACCGGGGATAATATTGTGCTTGCGAACAACTACGAAGATGACCCAGAAGCGCAGAAACTGATCAAAGATGGCATAACATGCTATACGAAAGATCTCTTCACTATCAGCATCTTTCGCGGCTATCTCGATCTTGAGAGCGACGAGTTCAAGATAGAATCACCCAACGCAGATAGCACGCCATCGAAAGAGAAGAAGAAGAGAGGCCGAAAGACCATGTAGAATATGACATACATGCCTCCGACCTAGAGGGAATATGGATGTCTAGCTTGGAGCATTTCTGAATATCGTTTGCTGAACAGTGAGCGAAGTTTACAGCTTGGCTGAACACAAGCGGCGCAACTTGGCACGCGCCATTCTCTATAGCCAGATGCTACTGCGCTTTTATCTACAGCGATGAGAAGTATCGACACAGTTCAGGCTAATGTCATGCATTGAGATACTCCAAGGTGTTCTGAGACGTCTCATGCTGCGTGTAAGCGAGCAAGACCCACTTCCTACCCCCGCTCTACCCATTGAAAACTTGCACACAACCTTTGCGCGTCAACCCTTGTATTGCTTCTTCCGTTACTGGGGTATACAAATGCTACACTTTGTCTTCATCCCATCAATCACATGACAATAAGCCACGAGCAACAACAGCTCAATATCCTCCGTGGCGCAATTGGCTAGCGCGTCTGACTGTTACAGCACTATGTAGCTTATCAGGAGGTTGGAAGTTCGAGCCTTCCCGGGGGAGCAGCTTTTTTTGTCGAATAATTCTTCAAGGAAACGGTGCAACTTTGTTTTTGTAGGAAGGAGAATGCGGTTGAGGAAAACGACTTGGGTGTTAGTGCGTCATTAGCGTCGGGTTTTCATTTCGGAACTTGAGATGGGGAAAGAGAGTGGGCTGTACACCACCAAATCAATCACGATCATAATTTATGACATCATTCGCTATCCAGATTTGATGAAAGCTTTGGTCTATGAGATTCACAGCCATCAAGGTCTCAGTTATCCCGCTCACAGCCTATTCTTCTGATGCCTTTTTGAGCTAGATGCCTCCCAATTGCAGTGGTACGTCTCCGCTACCTTGCAATATCTACCTATAACAATTTTCTCACATACATTTAGTTGCGCCTATATTTTCCTACATAATTTGTCTCTGGTTGATGTGTCTTTCAACTTTACCTACAGTGCAGCTGGTTTTGGCAAAGAGAGCCACATACCTGCGCCACTTCCTTCGGACTTAAGTTCAACCATGTGCCCGATATTTGGGTTGCTCTGACAAGGGTCTATCTTAAGAACCTAGAAGCCGCAAGACCTTGGCCCTAATTAGGAAGTCAGCATGGCCAAGACGTGCGGCTGAAGGCACGGCGCCCATTGCCGTGAGGCTAAGCCAAGCGACGTAGCGAAACACTGGCCCTCCGAAAAGTAGCCTCATAAACCCATTGGATAAGAGCCTTATCATGCATAAGCTGCCGTCTTACTTGATGAACTACGCCTAACACATGGGCTTATTAGCGAAGTCTTTTTAGGTTAATTTGCAAGGCTGAGTTAGTTCACAACTACTTACCTCGGAAATTTTTGCGGAGGACCGCGCGGAGGTACAAACATGCACTTTTGATGCTTCATGAGGAAGTAGTCATGCGGTGAAAATGTCTCTGCCGTATTTCTCGTGAGACTGGACACTGACGCGTGTATGGCCTAAGAGCGTATATAAGAGATAGGGACAGCATGGAGAAAGAAGACATTATCAACATATTACTGCAACTATCACAGCACATTAGGGAATAACAAAAACCACCAAACTTTCGTTTTACCAATATTTCACTCCAAAAATATGATCCCCTCCGTCTTTGCATCACCTTTGGGACCCGCACAAGCAGCTGCCCAAGCCCAGGCACAGGGCCAGACGAAGGGTCAATCCTCGTCTCAGACTCAGTCTTCGTCACAGTCTAGCACATCGCAGTCCTCGAAGGTATACTTTCCATCTTTGCTTCAGCGTCCAGACCTTGGCTGACAAGTCCAGTAACCCGGATTGCAATTCCTGCTCCAACTTTTCTCTCTTTCCCTTCCTCTTTCATTATGTAACATCAGCTTTAGCTTCAATACAATTCAATGTACATAAACGCACTAGAGTCCTTAATGGTATTCCCAGTCTCATCACCAAGGAGACATTGACAAGAAAAACGGGAAATGATAGAGATTAGACGGTAGTTGTGTGGCGGAGGAGAATGGATTATGGAGAGGAATTTTGTATTGATTTCTTGTTACAACTCTCTTTGGGTACAAATATAGAAGGACATAGACTAAGACAATAAAATATTGTACAACAAGCCCGCGAGTGCGCAACTCATACACTTACAGTTGACACATACACGAAATCGTCAATGGAACCGCTTCACTCTCCGTTTTATTTTTAACCCCAAGAATGACCCCAAAACTCCGCAGACATTCCACCCAAAACTCACTCAAAAGTAATCGCTCCAGTCACCCAGTCATCACGTGCCAGCGCAACAACGCTAGCAACCCCACCGACAACGCGACGCGTCAAACCCTCAAACCCAAGCATCACCGCCACCCGTTATCCCTGCCCCTCACACACCCAACACTCGCCAATTCCCTTCCTTTCCCTCGCCCACCAACCCCGCCAATCCACCCGCCAGACTTTCCATAGCCTAAAAAACGAAAATGGATCACCCGCAAACCCCCCGCATCATCGCCCCGCACCTCTCCGAATTCCAACACCGCATCGTACGCATACTGGGCAAAGTCGTGCAATTACGCGGCGAAACGGCCGTGATTGATGCTGGAGGCAATATCGATGTTATTTTAACTCGGGTATGTAGACGTACCCTTTTTGTGGGCCTGGGGAATGGAAGAGGAAGGAGAGAAAGACGAGAAGACGAGAGGATAATAGAGGAGAAGAGAAATGAGAGAGGGAGTGGAAAAGGGTGTCAGGCGAACGAAATGCTGACGTGAATTGAATAGGATTCGCATCTCACGGTTGGTCATGCAGTAGAGATTATCGGCAAGGTGGATCAGAATTTGCACGTCAAGGTGCAGGCTGCGACGGATTTTGGGACGGGTGTTGGTATGTGGGTTTCTTTTTCCACTCCTTCTTTTCCATGATTTTGTTTAGGTGTCATAGCCACATAGCGTGTTAGTATTGGATGAGGATTATATCGGAATTGTGAGGAAGCAGAGGCTAATGTGGAATGTAACAACAGATTTCGACGCAGCGATGGCAGTGGTGGACGTTACACATCGGTACAAGGAGATTTTCTACGACGGTAACTAATGGCCCCTCGTTCGGACTGGTGGGTCTTTGTAAATGGAAGAGATGAGAATAAGATGCGAGGGCGAGGTATAGCCCAACTCGACAGACGAAATGCTGTTCTTCAAGAGCATACACAACGAAGAACCGACACGTTACTCACGGAAGTGAGAAAATAAGAGCCACATTGAAGTAACATCTAAAGCATGACAAGATTGCACTTTTATTCATCAAGAGGTAATGCCATACAAGTTCATGGTATCTCGTATCAACGCCCTCTTCCCTACCCACACCAAATAGAAGAATTCCTCATGTCCAACACCCCCAAAATGCTGAAAATCTCTATATACGACACGCTAGAATCCATCCTAGAATACGAGAAAGAAAAAAACGAAGAAGTCATTTACAGCTTACTCTTCACTACCTCAAGTCTAAACTTGACGTCCTTCAACTGCTTGCCCGTAGGCTTCCACTTCTCAAACAAGCCAAGTAAGCTCTCGACCTCATGCCCAAGCTCCTTCTTCACAACATCCTCTTCCAGCAAGCCCCTCATAGCCCAAGGCAGAAAAAAGGGATTTGGATTCGTCGAACTGCCGCTTGGTTCGTACTCTTGTACTCTAAGCTTGAACACATCTTCCTTTTTACCCGTGCTCAGCTTCTCCCCGATAATCGGGATGTTGATGCCTTGGAAACTTCCTGCAGTCGAAGGGCGCTCCTTGCTCGAGGGGATGGGAAGGGATGTTGTTTCAAGGGCGTGCTGAACAGCGAGGGCATATACGGCAGGGTCCTCGTAGACGCGGGAGTGACCTTCGCCGCCGTAAAGCGAACCAGCTAATGCAGGTGAGAGTTCGCGGATGAGCCCGTGGTCGGGAAGCCCCAGGTTACGTAGTTTGAGTGTGAAGCCGACGAGGTGGGTGAGGAAGTCGGGGGCATGGATGCGGCCATCTACGAAGACGGCACGGTAAATGTAGGGATGTGAAAGGGTTGAGAATGTGGATGACTAGAAGGGGAGTTTGAGTTAGCATTTGGCTCCTTACAGGGGACAGGGGGATGTCATACTTCGAGTGATACCAGTTGATCATCGATGCTGCCAACGTACAGTATACGCACTCCAGATCTCAGAACCTCATCAAGGGCAGCGAGGTACATCTGGCTGACGAGACTCTTAGGATTTGTGAACTCAAAGAGCTCTGCAGCCGTGGGACCAAAGTATTTGGTCTTGTATTCAATAAAAGGGCCCATGTTGATACCAGCCATGGCACAGAGTCCAATTCTTGTAGCATTGACACAGCCAAATTGGATCAGCTTGGCCACAAGCATCATTGCGACTGGCACGCCCTGAGAATGGCATGCTACAAGAATGAAGTCTGCTTGCTTGATTTGGTCAATCCAATTCAACAGCAGCTTCCACAAGGAATTGACACGCTCGGCAATGAAACCTTCACCTTCCAACGCAATCTGCTCAATCTCGGGTGTGTACCCGCGCGCCTCGGTCCAGTCTTTGATAGCTGCTGCTGCGGCATTTGCAAACCGGATCGATGTACCGGTGGGCTGACCCAGCACTTTTTGGATAATGGGTGCAGGGAAGAAGCCGTGGACACCAATGGCTACAGCCTTCTTGATTCTTGGTGGTGCAGGGTTAATGTGCAGATGAGGGGCTCCAGCCTCGCCTCCAAGGAAGTATTGGCGAATCTGTTTCCAGAAATTCGGTTGTTGCACCATTTGGTAGGTGTTCCTAAACTCTGGCAACAAGAGATTCGGCGGTTCCTGTTTGCCCTTGCCCGCTTGTTTCGGGACGGACTGGGAAGCGGCGGCTGTCTCGGACTTTGTAGGCTCACGCACTGGAGATGTCTTAGTTGGAGTATTTGCTTTGCTGGAGCTAGGAGTATCAGCCGGGGTATCTTTCGCCGCAGCCTTTGTTTTTGGGCGACCTCGTAGTGATGGAAATGATTTCCTGGGTATGGGATTCTCCTCGCGCTGTTTTTGCGGTTCTTTGGGGGTTTCTTGGCCAGAATTTGGCTGTTCCTGCTCGTTGAACTGTGCAGCCTCGGGATGTGATTGCGAAGGAGTATCGAAGACAGCTACTTCGCCCACATGCTTTTGTGGTCCAGCATCGCCTAACTTCTTCTCATCTTCTGGCTTGCCTCTGTACCAAAATGCCCAAGCTGACGGTTTCGAGGGTTTGGACGTTTGTGTGGTAGGGCTAGCATCATTAGGCCTAGCAGGCTCGGCAGTAACAGGTGCAGCAGCAACAGGATCAGCAGCAGCAGCAGGTACTGTCTCAGTCGTCTTGGCCGGTTGAGCTATCTCGTTCGGTGCTTGAGAGGCTGGCTGAGATGTCTGGTCTGGAATCTGTGAGTCAGCTTCTTGAGGTGGTGGCTCAACAGGAGGTGAATTGGCCTGAGCATTCTGTGCACTACTCCACATCCAAAACCAAGATCCAGAAGTAGCCTTTGCTAAGCGTTTGGCAGTAGAGGGCGGGGCCTCGGATTGTGCTTCTTGGGTAGATGGTGGTTCAGGAGCATCCTTCATTTCAGTATCTCCATTCTCACCAGTCTTTGCTGGTGTTTCGGTAGCATCCAAGCCCTTGGTCTGAGCATCTGGCTCTTCTGAGGGAGTAGGTCCAGGTAATGGGGTGGTAGAGGCTGCTTCGACGGTCGCCTTTGCCTCAGTGGTAGCCTTCCCAGCTTCAGTGTATCCATCTGGCCGCGACCACCAACTTCTCCATCCCCATGTGCTTGCAGTAGCAGCAGTTTGTGACGCAGATGGCTCGGGAGGCAATGGAGGCTCGTCGATCGTGGTGGGCGTAGATGGTTCGTCGACGCTCTCTGGCTCTGGGGTTGGTTTCGGCATGTCTTCGACTAGACCGTCTGAAGAGACGTTGACCTGTGTGATGGCGGCAGGTATGACTTGGCTCTTGCTTGAACTGCGCTTGGTGAGAAACTTCTTAGGCGACTCATCCTGGGGCTTCTTCGCTTCCTCGCCCGGCAGCTCGTTGGTTGCGCCCCCACTGACCCCGATGCTTTCTTTTGCAGTTTGAACTATAGCTGGTGCCTTGGACCGCCAGCTACCCGACCCTGATAGCCATCTGCTCCCGCGGGGGGTTAGTGAGCCGGTTGAGGTCGGAGTTGTTGTACCGACTGAAGATGTCGAGTCGGCTACATGCTGGTCTGAGGTAGTATCGGCAGGGGCCTGTGTACTTGGCTTAGATTTCTTGCGTGGAATCATGCCTGCAGCACGGGAGAAAAAGCCGGGTAGTCGGAGAGGCCTCTATCTTTTGTTATGGACACAGACACGACATGTGCAGCTGGCGGTTTACCTTCATCCTCATGCGGTGGCCCAGGCACGCGTCGAACTGGCTGGCTGGCCGGCCGGGTGGCCATGACGCATGCTACATGTCCCGTGCGCTACACGGTACTAGCGTGCTTTACTCTGCCCTAGTGTGCTTCAGACTGCGCGTGTGAGATTCTGCCACCGCCCGGCAATAGCGCCGCGCATCCCAAAATTTACTTTGGCGAACTTTTTGCCCGCGCCATCACGACAACCCCAAACCGCAGCCATGGCGATCCAAAAGAAGGTGCGCAAGGAATGATATGGAATACGAAGCACTCAATGGCTAACACATAACCAGCACGGAAAAGGTCGTCTCGACAAGTGGTACAAGCTCGCCAAAGAAAAGGGCTATCGCGCGCGTGCTGCCTTCAAGTTGATCCAACTGAATAAAAAGTATAACTTTTTGGAAAAGAGCAAGGTCTTGATTGATCTTTGCGCCGCGCCAGGATCATGGTGTCAAGTCGCTTCCGAGGTACAATTTCCCTTCCAAAGAAGCCATGCGCCAGACTTCGTACTGACACCTCCAGGTTATGCCCGCAAATTCCCTCATTGTCGGTGTCGATCTCGCCCCAATCAAGCCTATCCCGCGATGCATCACCTTCCAGAGCGATATCACAACAGACAAGTGCCGAGCGACGCTGCGCCAGCACCTTAAGCATCTCAAGTGCGATACAGTCCTTCACGATGGTGCGCCCAATGTCGGAACTGCGTGGGTCCAGGATGCCTTTACCCAGGCCGAACTTGTGCTGCAATCCATGAAACTGGCGACCGAGTTTTTGGTCGAAGGCGGAACTTTTGTCACCAAGGTTTTCAGATCAAAAGACTACAACTCGCTGCTCTGGGTCTTCAACCAGCTCTTCACTAAAGTCGAGGCAACGAAGCCGCCATCATCTCGAAATGTCTCAGCCGAAATCTTCGTCGTCTGCCGTGGCTACAAGGCCCCAAAGCATCTCGACCCCAAGTTCCTCGACGCCCGCAGCGTTTTCGCCGAGCTTGCAGACCCCACGCCCAACAACGAAGCAAAGGTGTTCAAACCCGAAGTGAAGAAGAGGAAGCGTGAGGGTTACGAGGAAGGAGATTGGACACAGTTCAAGGAGGCTCCAGTATCCGACTTCATTCATACTACTGATCCCATTGCCATGCTTGGTGGCCTGAATAAGCTGAGTTTCGAGCAAAAGCCCAACGGCGACATTGCCATCGCCACCATCGACAAGCTTCCAGAAACCACAAAGGAAATTAGAGACTGCTGCGCAGATCTCAAGGTCTTAGGACGAGCCGACTTCAAGCGCCTTCTCCGCTGGCGACTTAAAGTACGCGAAATTTTCGGCTTTGCGTCAAAGAAGGACAAGGCAGAGGAGGCCAAGGCTAAAGAAGCGCAAGAAGGCGAGGAAGTTGCCGAGATTGAGTCTATGGACGAAGAGATGCAAATCCAGGAAGAGTTGGAACGCCTGAAAGAGAAGGATACAAAGGCGAAAAAGAAACAGCGTCGCGCGGAAAATGAGCGAAGGCAGAAGGAGATTACTCGGCTACAAATGAACATGGCCACACCGTTTGACATTGGCTTGGAACAGGTCGGACCAACCGGCGAAGACGCCATGTTTGGTTTGAAGGCCGTCGATAAGGCTGGTGCTCTTAATAAGATTGCCAAAGGAAAGATGGTGCAGATTGTTGAGAAAGAAAAGCCGGAAGAGGTTGAAGAAGAACTTGAAACTGACGAAGAAGAAGACTATCTCGAACGAGACCTAGACGCTATGTATGGCGAGTACGTCGAGCAAAGATCTGCTCGCGATGCCAAGTACCGGGCAAAACGCGCCAGGAAACAAGACGACGACGGAGAATGGAACGGGTTCTCTGACGAGGACAAGGAACAAAGTGACGATGAAGAGCTTGTACAAGACGTCGACAGTGACTGGAGCAGCGACGAACAGGAAGGGCCTCAAGAGCTAATCACTGATCTCGATCGCGATGGACAGTCCAAGCGAGGTCTTACCAAGCGTGCCGAGCGTTTCTTTGATCAAGACATTTTTAAGGGAATCGATGGGCTCGATGACCTTGAGGAAGATGACGACAGTGGCATCGATGTTGAAGGCGATACCGAAATGAAGGAGGAGTCGGCTACACCACCTTCTGCATCAGAGAAGGCACTGTCAATCCGAACAAACAAGAAGAGTGCCTCTCCTGCAGTAGCTTTTGATGACGAGTCCTCTGATGAGGACGATGACAAAATCGAAGAAGTCGCGCGCGACGAAACACAGTGGGAACAAGATTCCATGCCTATGAAAAACGGCAAACCAGACATCGATATCATCACAGCAGAAGCCATGACCCTCGCCCATCAGATGGCTACCGGTCAGAAAACAAAACACGACCTCCTGGATGAATCATTCAACCGTTACTCACATCGTGACGTCGACGGTCTTCCTGACTGGTTCCTCGACGACGAAAACAAACATTCTAAGATACAGCGCCCAACTTCAGCAGCCGCAGCCGCAGCCATCAAAGAGAAGCTCCGCGCGCTGAACGCTCGCCCTATTAAGAAGGTCCGTGAAGCACAGGCTCGCAAGAAGTTCAAGGCTGCCCAGCGCTTGGAGAAGCTCAAGAAAAAGTCTGCTCTCTTGGCAGACGAGGAGGGTATGACAGAGAAGGAAAAGGCCCAGAGTATTGCACGATTAATGTCGAGAGCGGCAAAGAAGAAGCCCAAGCAAAAGGTCAGTGTTGTTGTGGCCAGAGGAGGTAACAAGGGTATCAAGAACCGACCAAAGGGCACCAAGGGTAAATACAAGATGGTTGATGCTAGGTTGAAGAAGGATGTTAGGGGCGAAAAGAGGGCAGCGAAGAGGAACAAAAAGAGGTAGACAGACATAATTCACCTCATTTTGCGTCCCCAGGTGTGGCTTCAGAGGAAGCTCCTGGCTGGTCCGCTCAGCAGTCGATACCACTTTTTGGAATAGCTTTGAACATGTTATTTTCTGACACATTTTACCTACTTCCGAGGAAAACGGATACACATCCCGGCATAAGTGCTCATTCCTAGCCGTGTAGCGTGGCAGCCATCATACCTTTGCTTGCGTAATTACATATAACAACTTTCGCATGATGAAGGTAGTTTGCGGTGATTTTGAACAAAGCCAAACCAGGCCGTATCACCAAGTTCAATGGCTCACAAACATCTGTAATAGAAGACAGGGTATCTATGTTGCTAGCCTCGAGTTTGTAGGGTATTGCCAAGCGTGTTTGACATGCATCATGGCTATCGCGTATCGTTTTCACTGCAAGTTTGTATACCAAGATAGCATTTGCCAGTTCTCTTTTGGGTGGCTATGTGACAAACCAAGCAGTCGGCAATATCTCGTTGAGATGCTTGTATATAGGTAAGTTATTTTTACTCTCTGCATTTCATCACGGAGAACTTCCAGTACCTTATACCATCTTCTCGTTACTTCTACATTCAGATTCAGATCACACATACACTTTCTTTCTTGATTTCAAACCTACAGATTGGGTACCCTCAGCTTCAAAACGATGAGCGATTTCGAACGTCTTACAGAGCCGTCCCTGCGTCGGCACATGAATGACGACCCTTGTGTCATTTGCGGTACCAGCGGTCATGATGCATATGACGGTGCTTGTCCAAAACTCAATGTACCCACTGCAATTGATTCGCCTCTCGCTAGGATCTATGGTCCGGGCAAAGCCAATGCTGCTCGTCAGGCTATTGTCAAGTTCCGCAAGTCGAAGAAGCCACGATATCAGGATCCGGCGGAAGAAGCAACAACAGATGCGAACGCGGAAGCCTTAGCACGAGTGAGATTGGAGGACCAGACCCAGAATACAACTAAAGGCTCAGTCAAGGATGTGGCCATAGATATGGCGAAGGATACAGTCGAGGGTACAGTTACAGATGAAGACGTCATGCTGAACGGAATCCTTCGGTCAGTCGGTCACTCCACTGAAGGTCTGACAGCGGTTCGCGATATCACACAGACAGATCCTGTAGAGACGTGTGCACCAAAATTCGTCCTTCTACCGGATAGAGACCGAGTTGGCCCAGGCAATGCGTTCCAACCCGAGCTTGCTCTGAGCAAGGCAAAGAGAGCCGAGTTTCCGCTCCGGACAGCATTTGCTCAAGCATCTTCAGACGTTCTCACGAATCATTTTGAAGTTCGCTTCAAGCCCAAGACTCGCTTCTTTGTCTACGAAATTCTCAAGATTCCTGGTGGGAAGAGCAAGCGCAAAGCCAAATACATCTTCAAGACGGCTGAAGAGGCATGGAGTGTGCTTAGAGATAACAAGGAACACTATGCCACAGATCATGTCAAGACAATTGTTGCATGGAAGAACCTCCATGAGACGATTGGGTATCAGCCTGTTATCCCTGGAGATGATGGTACTCAAGCTGGCGCTGTATGGCAGCCCGAGGCTATCGCAGATGGAAGTGAGAGAGTTCAGCTGTTCCTCAAACTCCACCGCGAACTTGACCTTGATGGGCTGTATCGCTACATGGATGCAAGCCACAGGGAGAGTGATCCAGAGTTCAACTTCAACCCCATAATCAGCGCGCTCAACCTTGCGATTGCCAAAAGCATGACTTCAGAGGTCTTTCAACAATTCAGTAACAAGTTCTTTGTCAAGGGTGGTTACGTGGATTTGCCCGGAAAGCGCTCCCTGAAATCCCTGTGTGCGATTCGAGGCTACTATTTCACGATCAAACCAGGAATGCAGAAAATCTTCCTCAACATCAACCCTGCTACCAGCGCATTCTTTAGATCTATCACGGTTGGCGAGTTCTTGGCTGATGACACCTTCTCTGAGGATGAGCGAGTGCGGCTTCTCAAAACACTGCGTGTGTATATCGAACATGAACGCTTGCCGAACAAAGACAACCAGGACCAGATCAATCGCCTCAACAAGCCCCAGAACCGCGTCAAATCCGTCTTTGAACTGGGTAGGAAATTCAGCGATCCGAGCATGAAGTTTCTAGATTCAACAGACCCTAAGAAACACACACGTGTTGAGAAGCATTTGAGAGATGTATTTGGTAAGGACTTCAACAATGACCTTGCAGCTATCAACGTTGGCAATGAGAGGGAGCCAGTCTATTATCCCCGTGAATATCTGCGAATCCTGCCGTACCAGATTTATAAGAAACTTCTTCCAGAGGAACTGATCGACAATATGTTGAAACTGGCGGCACATGTACCCGATACCAGCCGACGTCTCATCGAGGTCGAGGGAATGAAGAGTCTCGGACTCAAACACCTTGATGGAGAACAGTCGCTCGTAAGCCCCATTTCCACGATTTCTTCCTGAAGCACTAAAGCTAACACATGTGTCCTTCTAGCCTGGCTGTTCGCACCTCCTTATCAAGCCGACGATGCTCAAGATACCATCCGCGCAGTTGAGAGCTCTCACCATTTCGTACGGCCCCGGAACTCCTGACGCAAGGCCGAATGACAAAGCTCAATGGAACCTTGGGAAACTCAAGAAATTTTTCGATTCTCCTGGTTATTCTACCAAGAAGCAAATCAACTACCTTTTGCTTGTCGAGGCCAGTTTACAAAAGGATAGCGATACGGTTATCACCTACCAAAATACTTTCAACGGCCTGCTGAATCGATACAACATCTGTGACGGTGCGAATTGCTTGGGCTCGACGTTAGTCCAAGGCCTTCGAGGGGTACCGTATGACTCTATCAAGGCGACGATCCAGCAATCCATCCAGAAGATGAAGCGGGGCCATCCTAGGGCTGGCTTTGTAATTATGCTACTGAAGAACAAGAGCATCCCGATTTATTCTGCTTTCAAAGACGTCGTGGATCGTTATGAGGCTCTGCAGTCTCTCTGCATGACTCAAGCTCCAAATGTAAAGCGAGGGACCTTCAATAAGGACATCACCCAGTACATGGCCAACATCATGATGAAGGCGAATCTCAAGTTTGGCGGTAGCAATCATGTTGTTCATTTCGACAACACGGGCATGAAGAACTCTTTGCAGGAAACTCTGGTCCTTGGAGCAGATGTCACTCACCCCGGCACTGGCTCACTGGTTGGATGTCCCTCAATCGCCGCCGTAGTTGGCTCCATCGATTCCAACGCAGCCAAATTCCGAGGCTCCATGAGACTCCAGAGGACTTGTAAGAAAGAGGTAAGTCTCAGATGCCATCGACAATCTCCAGACACCAGCTGACAAGTATTGAAAGATCATTGACGACCTCGAGCCCATGGTCTTAGAACGCCTTACAGCCTACCGCAATGCAACCAAAGCCCACCCCAAGAGAATTCTCTACTACCGCGACGGCGTCAGCACCGGGCAATTCGCCCAAGTCCGCGACGAAGAGCTACCCCAGATCCGAGCCGCATGCAAAACGATCGGCATCGCCAATATCAAAATCACCGTCGTCGTCGCCGTAAAGCGCCACTCAACCCGCTTCTTCCCCACCTCCGTCGCTTCCGCAAACGGAAACTGTAGACCAGGAACTCTCGTCGACCGCGCAATCACTTTACCTCACTACTCGGATTTCTACCTGCAATCGCACCACGGTCTCAAAGGCACAGCAATCCCAACGCACTACATGGTCATCGCCAACGAAATCGGAATCAAAGATACGGAGCTCCAGGAACTCACATACAAGCTTTGCTACACGTACGCGCGGGCTACACTCGGCGTGTCGTACCCGCCTCCAGCATACTACGCGGATCGACTATGCGATCGTGGCCGCGCGTATCTACGGAACTGGTTCAGCCCCGACAGAGGCAGTGCAGACCATAAATCTTATGCGGATCTTGTAAGTACGATCAAACAAAAGGAGCAGGTTCGTTTGGCACGGCGGAAAGCGATTTTGGCGCCGCAGACGTCGCAGTCGGGGAAGGGGGCGCAGAGGAAGTCGCCGGATGAGATTGCGGTCGAGAGGGAGCATGAGAAGTTTTTGGAGAGCGAGATTGAAAAGGCAGTGTTGAACCGCGCGGTTTTGGAGTGGAATCGTGCGAGATCGGGGGGTCCGGGGCCTTGGGCGAAGGAGCTAGATGATACTATGTTTTGGATGTGAGTTGGCTACCTGGGCAACATTTGGGATAAGATGCGCGCCGGATAGTTGGATTTGGGTGGGATATCTTCTCTTCGCTCTTTGGTTGTCCTTTCAAGGTGGTCTTTTTTCTTTCTTGTTCACCATAGACCGTTGTTTTTCTCCCTTCCGTCAGTAGACTATCATTTTGAAGCTCAATAGAATCCTTGTTCGGAATTCCCCTCTTCTTTTGATCAAGTTCATTCGACAACAGCACAGGTGATTTGACATCTGGACATGGCTAGAGCTCCACATGCTTCCTCAAAAGAGTAGATGACTATTGTGAGCAACACAATTGGCTTTTCGAATGCATTCACATGCAAATTACTGTAAGGATCTCGAGTTGCAACAAGCGGAGAAGATGGGATCGAAATCTACAAGCTGCGCATGTTGTACTGCATCGAAGACGTGCGAATGACGCAGCGAATCTCGTCTCACCATATTCGGTTGTCCTAAATTGCCAACATTGTGGCTACCCTGTTCTCGTGACGTGTATATGTATTCCCAAGCGTGCGCCGCGGAGCAACTTCACAGCTGCAACGGTGCGCTTTGATACCTTCACATGGTATAGTCAGATGCATCCAATCAATTTGGGGATGATGCAAATCAAAATCTGTCAAAGCTGATTCGCTAGTTGTGACAGTCCCCCAATTTTACCCAATAACATGTCTTGTCAAGAAATGCCATGTTGTGTATCAACGGTGGAGTGGCAGTGTCAATGGTGTTGTAGTGACGTTTAAGTGATGCCGTCCAATAGGCACGCTTCCGATTTGAGACGCAGTAAGCGTGTTCCT